AATGTATTATTAAAAATTATCTATCTTGGACAGAACTTATATTAAAACAATTGACAGTAATTATGTTATTTGTATGTGAATGTTGATGTCGCATTGAAAATTCTAGATTGAATTATTTGTAAGAAAATAATGACATTCTCATTTTCTCAATGTCTAAAGTTTTTTCAAGTTTTGTAAAGTAAAATTTATGGTTTTAAAAGTTTTTAAAATCTTACAGTTTACACTAGAAACAAATTTTGCATCAAAAATAAAATTTTCAATTAAAAATAAAATAACCAAAATGGGTTCATACATGGTTTTTTCTAAGTTTCACACTTTTATAATCCAAAATCAAAATCTTCGGTTTTTGGTATAACCAAAAAATATTTCTTTATGTTTGATAAATACTTTAAAATTTGACAATTATCACATATTTTTAAAGTTTATAAAAATTTTTTCAAGTTTTCCGTCTGGTTTATATTTTTTTAAATGAGAATTTTTTTTTCTTTTTGCGAAAAATTTCGTCATTTTTTCTCTTTTTAAAGTTTTTTTAAGTTTTATCCCAGACGGTCTATTATAAATTTAGAAAACGTATTATACCCAGGGCTATCGTTTGGCTCCAATTTGAAAGGTTATTTCCCCGGTTCCTCCTTTTGCACTTTTGTTCCGATTTTGTTTTTTCCTCAGTCAGACCCAAAAACAATACATATTTATAATTATTCGTGAAACAATTATTTTTCAGTTGAAAAATATAATTTCTAAGTAAAAACAAACTTTTTTTACAATATTTAAAAATTTATTAACAAAACCTTGGCTAACGAAATTATGTACATACACCTTTTTCTGCTAATTCAAAGCCACCACCTACTTTTTTAAGTCAAGTTAATCAATTAGCCAATTAAAGTTTCAAATAACCAAACTTAGGAAAATTCGTCGACGTTAGCAGATGAAATATGTTTGTATAGAATTTTTCCAATAGATGATAATATTGCAGTTTTGACATTTTAGTTGAAGACTTGAAAAATTTATTCGAAGCTCCCTCAGTTTAGCGCATTGTAGTGCAACAGCTGAAAGAGTATTTCTTCTGTTAATTTGATTAAAACTAAATTGAAAAACTCCTTTTGTCTTAAAATGGTAAGCAACATTTTAAATTCAAAAGAATTATTAAAAAATATTTATGAGAATAGCTAGGAATCAAATTGTGGTCTTTTTTAAACTTAAAGTAAGAAAATTTGAAGTACACATTTTTTTCATTTGAAGTACGGTTTTTCAACACCATTTTAATCTACATATATCATCAATAAGGCGAACGATAATAAATTGTTTTTTTTGATGAAATATAGGAATTGGCTCCACTTTTTTAAAAATGGCTCCCTTTTTTGAATATTCCTTCTCCCCATCCAAAAAACCAAACGACAATCCTTATTGTACCATACGGTTTGCATGCTAAAACTCTTTAAAACTGTTTGAAGTTTTATAAAGCTTTTTAAAACTTTCTAATACCAGACAGACTAAATAATTCATGAAAGTATGTAACCGTTAAAGTATTTTCTCTAAATACCTTTTAAAAAATTCACTTTTGTATATCGTGAACAACAAGATAGAACTTCAAAATAAAATGAAATTCAGACAGACAAAACAATACATAAAACAAAAATAGAAATTTCAATAAAAATACTATTTTCCGAATACAATGTTTACAAAGTTAAATTTTAATGAGTAGGTAAATCGACATACAACGCCTGAAGGAATATAGTATTTGTTTTGCAGAAGTTAAATATTTCAATTCAATATTGTCTTTGGACTCTTTCCTTTCGTTCTATACTAATCTGAGAAATTCTTCAATATACTTACGCACAAAAACAGTATATGTACAGTATGTACATATTCATGTATGTATTTTAATCTTGCTTATGTAAAATTTATAATAAATGTAGAATGGGTACATTAACATAGGTACATATGTATGTTTGTACATATTATTTTACTACGCGTTTTTGTAACTATTGAACATAACCCATTTGCACAAACCGAGTTTTCTAAGCAACATATCAAAAAATTCAAATTTTAACTTTAATTTTGATTAAATATATTTTCGAGCTTTTTCGGCATTATTTTGAAACCGCCAAGTCAGGTCACAGGTCCGGAGAATTGAGAGTAAGAAATAAAATACACTAAATAAAAAAAAATTTAGTGCTACATTTTTTAGGCTAGAATACACGACATAAAATAAAGTTTATTAAAATTATTATAAATTAAATTAGATTACAAATCAGATTTTGAGTTTTAATCATTATTTTAATTATTATTATTGTGCTTTTGTAATTTTAATATCATTGTAAAAAATATGATGTCCCCTACATGAAAACGAATATAAAAACATTGTAAGATACTTGTAAGATAAGTTTTTAAAGTTTCTTGATGCGGTAGTTTAGGTAAATCAGTGAATTAGGCTTACTAACAATGTAAAAATATTTCCTAATCTAACTGAAATCACATAGGTACCTAAAAAGAATTATATGGACTTTTAATATAAGAATACACATTTGCAATAATTTTTATGAATTATGAAGCGTATTAATTTAACTAATATAGTATACACATGAAAAATACATATGTATATTTGCTATACATATATTATATAAGAAGGCATTCATTGTAGACATATCATTCATAATTAGCAAACTTATTAATGTCAGATGTACATTTTCTCAAATTTGAAAATATACACAAAAATCATCTTAATACTTTGAAAAAATAATTTGCATTATTATTTTTCCGGCAATTTATTGAAAAATTAAAAAATTTGAAAATGATTTTGATGTCTCTTCACAACTTCCATAAGAATACGTGTAAATTCGTAAGCTGTGAATTGTTACTCTATCTTAGGGTCCAGGCCAACCAAAATATCTTGATTTTGAAGATTCCCTAAAAAAAAAATCTTCACGAATCCTTCAAGTCTTCAATTGAAGTTAAATTGAAAGAAGTAGGAAGCCAAAATATGACGATTTCAATTCGAACTAAATTAGACATCAAAAAGAAACTTTATGACATATAAAGTAGAATTAAATAAAGCGGAAAATATCAAAAAAAAATTGTCATGGAAGTAGCGTTACTATGCGTTGCCTATTAAATTGACTTTTTGATCAGAATGTTTTTTGTGAAGCTTTAAAAAATATAGAAAAATGTGAAGCTTTAAAAAATAAAAAAAAAATTCCAATTCATTAAAAAAACAAAACTTCATTAGCATTAAAAAGTCTTAATTTTGAAAATATTTCTGTATGTAAAATTAAAAAATTTTAAAGATTTTATTTTGAAATTTTTTATACAGAACTTGACAAAATAAGATTTTTAAGACCAAAAATTTAATTTTGAACATAAATCTTCACTATTTGCAGTGCTGGGTCCAGACCAATATTTCTGTCCGGCTGTGTTGCAATTCGTCTGATACACGGCTGATAGAAATACAGAGCTGGCCTGAGCCCTAAGAGAAAATGACAGTTCACAGCTGACGAATTATTGTATTCTTATGGGATCTGGCCCTTTTTAACATCATAAATCTCCCACTAGATCACCTTTTTTCAAATATTTAATTAGAAAAAGTTAAAATTCAATCTTTTTCTACTTTACTAGTGCTTACTTTCTTAAAGTTTTGTGTAATTAAAACATTAAAAAATTTATTTAAAAAAAACTTCCAGGCTCAGTTAATTTTCAAGATTTCAATAAAATGCTACACTACAAGAAAAAAAAATAGTGCAATTTTTTTTTTCGAAGTGTTTAGGTGATTTTAGTGTATTCTTTCAGTTTTGAAAAAATGTACATTTTATATTAACAAGTGTGCTAATTTTGTATCTATACCCAATATTGTCTCCCAAAATTCATACTTATATAATCACATATATATTAAATGAAATGATTTTCTGTAATGTCAAGGTCTGATATATTACATTTTAAGAAAAAGTGAGAGGATAATATGTGATTACATCGTTTTCTCAATGTTTAAAATTTTTTTCAAATTTTGTAAAATAAAATTTAGTGCTTTAAAAACTTTTAAAATCATAAAGCTGTCAAAACAATTGTTCTTTATGTATGTACCGTTTATATTTAATAAATATTTTGAAATTTATTATATTTTTAAAAAGGTTTTTAAAGTTCCTTCAACTTTTCCGTTTGGTTTATTTTTTTTTTCAAATCACAATTTTTTGTTCTTTGAAAAAAGTGACGTCACTGTTTTCTCTTTTCAACTTTTTTCGAGTTTTATACCAGAAAGAAAAAGGACTATTTTTTATGAAAAAAAAAATTATTTGACAACAAACTTATATTTTCGATTGTACAATTTTCTGGATTGAGAAAGGGATTTACGATTTACCCTTAATTTTTGTTTTCATTGTGTTTATTTTCGGTATTATATGTTCGTTTAATAAGGCAATGACAGCAGCAAAAATAATCTTTGCTTTAGTATTTCTAATTTATCAATATGGGACTTTTTGTTTTCACTTTCTTTTGTGTGGAATATAACAATCTCAGTTTTATAAAAGAACGATAAACCAACTAGCTGTCAGTAATTAAAATGTAACTGAGTTATTTTAAATTTTTGTATCGTACTTAATATACATAAGTTTAATACAATAATATACATAATACAATAATATACAATAAGTTTAATACAATAATATACATAAGTTTGCTGATCCATTTTTGAAATCTTTTCTCGAGCACGTAAAGTGGTAGCATCCTGGATCGTAAAAGAGAACGCAAAGCTTTAGCCCTGAATGCTCTGAGGTTAAAGAAACCACTAATCTATTTTTTGACAGTTATGAACTTGTTCTCTAAAATGACATCCTTAAAAAAGAAAAAGCTCCAAATGTTCGAAAAATGATTCTGGCATAAGTGATTGCTACCATTTTAAATTCACCTCTGTTTGACAGTATATACTGCTTACAAATTTTAAAATTTTTGTTTTTTTTATGAAACGGAAGCACTGCCTATATGTCACAACATTTAACACTTCATTAATTAAAAAAAAAACCTGGTTGGTAAATGATAGTGTTTTCTTCGAAAATAAAGCGAGTACGAATTACGAAAGGTATTTTATATTTTTAATAAAATTCTTTCAAAGGACCCATTTTACTACTACTTGTATCAAAATCGAAATGTTTAGAACAACTTTTGAATAACTAAAAGTTTATAATGAATTCTATGTTTTGTTTAATACTACTTTACTTAACTTCGACCAAATTTCATACTGCCGGCGATCCAATAATAAATAGTACTGACACAATCATCATCAAGAGATCCCCAATTTTAGATAATTTACTAATAGAAAATCCAGATTGTCAGGATTTAAAGTCAGTTTGCTCATTTTTAAAATTTCAAGATGATTTATCAATTTTAGTAGATTGCATACAAACAATGCCGTCATCCAAAGTTGAGTATTTAGATGATAAGTGTCAGCACGTAATTTTCGAAGCAACAAGAAATATTCTTAAAGATAGCCAAGTTAAAAAAATAACCGACAAACCTTGCAGCAGACACAAAGATAAATTTAATGATTGTCAACCAAAAGGAAACCAAATTGGATATTATTTATCTTGTCTTGTAGAAAAAGTGGATAATTTTAATGATATATCTATATGTCGTGACATAATTCAAAAAGTAAGGAAACAGTAAATATTTTCAAAAATAATTTTTTTTTGCTTTTAGCTTGAATCTATAGCATTCACTGATTATCGTTTAGTAACAAATTTTATTAAAGATTGTGGCACAGAAATTTCAAATCACAAATGTGGGAGAATCAGTTTAGAAGAAGGAAAAGTATCACAGGGAGAAACAATAGCATGCATGCAAGAAAAAATTAACGAACTTAGTTCGGATTGTCAAAAACGAATATTGAAATTATCTGAATTACAAGCGTCCAATTTTAAATTAGATCATCAATTTTTTATTTCATGTGAGAAAGATTACCAAAGATTTTGCCCTAATGATAGACCTGGTAGTGGAGAAATTTTGAAATGCTTAATAAAACAAAAAAATAATCCAGAATTGAGTGTCAAGTGTCGAGAACAAGTAATGAGAAGAGATAAATTATTGGCTCACGATTATCGCTTAAGCAAAGGTCTGGCTAAAAAGTGTAAAGATGACATAAAAAATAATCACTGTCGACGTAATGTGTCTGAAGACAAAAGTATTAGATTAGCACAAATACTTCTTTGCTTAGAATCGGTTATTAAAAATGGTACAAAAGTTGCTGAAGAATGTCGATCTGAAATAGATGATCACAGGAGAATGCTTATGATGGACTACCAATTGTCACCAGAAATTCTATCAGGTTATATGACATATGTATAAACATACCTTAATTATTATAAAAATACGTTATACTGCAGGGTGTTCTGATGATATACCCAAATTTTGTGGTGAAATTGAAGTTCAAAATTCTGCTGGAGGAGAAATAATCCACTGTTTGATGGAGCATGCACGTTCAAAGAGAAAAAGAGATCGACATGTTTCTTTTACTTGTATGAGAGCTATTGAAGATCTTATTAAAGTTTCTGACGTAGGTGAAGATTGGCGTGTTGATCCTGTGCTTCGTAGAAACTGCAAGTCGGTCGTCGATATAGCATGTCGCGACACAGATGGTGGGGATGCTCGTGTGATGTCATGTTTGATGAACAATATAGGATCTCAAGTTATGACGAACAATTGTGAGCAGTCTTTACTTCTTATTCAATATTTTGTGGCAAGAGATTTTAAATTAGATCCTCAACTCTATAGACTTTGTAGAGACGATGCCATAAAATATTGTCATGGTAAGAAAATCAAACAAATAATTATTTAAAAAACATATACATATTAAGTTATTGTCTTTAAGCGAAAAAAGATTGGGATGGCGACGGTGAAGGAGGGCAAATGGATCCAGAGAGAGGACCTTTAGTTCTTCCATGCTTGCATAGAATCGCTTATAGCGAAGTTACTGGAGAGCAACTGAGACCCATATGTTTACAACAAGTTAGAAGAGTAATGCGCCAGAGAGCCATTTCGGTAGAGCTTATACCAGAAGTTGAAGACAAATGTTTGGATGATTTGGCTGCACTTTGCTCCGATAAAACAAAAAAAGGTGAAGAAATGCAATGTTTACAAGATAACTTAGAGAAATTACAACCAGAATGTCGAGTAAGTGCATAAATATATAAAATCAAAAATTGTTATTTTTCGTGTTTTAAATTTTTAGAAAGCCGTGACAAAATACACAGAAGAAGAAGCGGGGCATATTGAATTAAATCCAATAATAATGAATGTATGCCAAGAGGCAATGAAAAATCATTGTGATCACATTCTAAAAAAAGGCAATGAACAAGGTCAGTTGATTAAAAAATAAAAAAATAAAAACTAACTAAGCTTCAAAATTTTTAAAAGGTGATATGATGGAATGCTTGATTTCGCATAAAAATGATCCAGATCTAAGACAAGATTTAAAGTGTCGAGCAGCTATAGAACATTTCCAAATTATATCATTAAAAAACTATCATTTCACATACAAATTTAAGCAAGCATGCCAACCTCATGTTATACGTTTTTGTTCTTCAAGTACTACAAAGTACGAAGTCGTCGCCTGCCTAAGCGAAGTAATGCGTAATGACACAATTCGGGGACAACGTCACATTATACCAAAAGAATGTCGGCAACAAGTCAAAGCACAACTTTATCAACAAAGAGAAAACTTAATATTTGACCCAAAATTAAAAAGTGCTTGCAGGAGAGAAATTTTGGAATATTGTCTAGATGCTCAAGGACCTGGCCAGGTTAGTAAACGCGAATTTTGTTAGTAAACGCAAACTAAAAATAAACGAAAACGTTTTCTCAAACATTTCGTATCGCGATTACTTGCGATCAATTTTTAAAGAACAAAATTAAAAAAAAGTTTCTTATTAATCTACTAGTACAAGGGTTGCATCCATATTCCAACAGGTTTACAGTTCTTACTCCCAAATCTTAAATTTTGCATATAAGTAAAAGTAATAACAATACCTATGAATTTCTATTTGTGCGAAATCAATGAAGTTTTATTATAAATTGCGAATACATAAAATTTTTATATTATTTGAACTTCATATTAGGAAAACAAAATTTTACAATATATAAGAAGCTTAAGTAAATCAATCTTCATTTTAAAATTTGTACAAACAAAAATTAAAAATTTGCCCTAATTATCATATATGCAACGAATAAAAAAATGTACATATTTTAAATTTTAGAAATTTTAATTATCGTACTAGAATGTGTTCGTATGTATTTATATTATTTTCCTTTATGTATTATATATTACAATTTTAGGCGCTTGAATGTCTTCAAATCAATACACCTCATTTAGGTTCATCCTGTCGTCATACCTTGTTTTCAATTAAAAAATCAGAACTAGATGACAGTTCAACAGACTATGTTCTTGTGAACACTTGTAAAGAGATGACATATAAATATTGCCAAAACTCAGACTTGGCTAAATTATTAGACTGTCTTAAAAATTTTAAGGATGAACCCAATTTTGATCAAAGATGTCACCTTGTAATTGTAAACAGAATGATTGAGCAAAATACAGATTTTCGTTTCAACCCAACATTGCAAAATGCTTGCGGTAAAAATATTGATCAGTTTTGTTCTCATATAGTAAGTGAAGCCAAACCAAACGAAGAGTTGAATGGAAAGGTTATAAATTGCCTTAAACAAAAATTCCGTGAGGCAAAACTAGAACGCCAGTGTCAGCAAAAAATGATTGAAATATTACAAGAACAAGCGCTTAATTATAAGTTAAACCCATTATTACAAAACTTTTGTAAATCCGAAATAAAAGTTCTTTGTAAAATCAATTCAAATGATAATGATGAACAAGGTGAAGTTGAAGAATGTTTGAAAAATGCTTTCCTTCAACAAAAAATTATTAATCAAGACTGCCGTATAGAGGTAGCAAATTTGATTTCTGAAAGTAAAGCCGATATTCACGTAGATCCCTTGTTACATAGAGCATGCACGGTGGATTTGTTAAAATATTGCTCTAATGTAAAAAGCGGAGATGGTAGACGTAAGTTAAAATTTTAATTGTAATACAATTCATTCATATATTGCAACAATTTTTATTTACATGCTTTATAATAGAGCTAAAATGTCTACAAATTATTTTACAAGATGAATCAAAAGCAATGGAGGAGGATTGTCGAAATAAGCTACGGAAGAGAATGGAAATGTTTCGAAATGCAGAAAATGTAAGTAAAGAAAACAAAGCATTTGTATTTTCTTTAAATTCCATTGATCTTACAGACACTTCAAATGCCACCAGAAAATATGGAGCAACTTATGAATCAAGTCGTAACGTCTCCAGCGAAAAAATTTTTCTTGGTCGTCTTGTTATCATTTGTTGGTATGATATTTATTTTGGGAATGTTTATGGGGCGGATTACTAAAAAAGCATATATATCAAAAAGCAAATAGAATTTTAAAATAGATATTAGAGAAAATACAATATTAGAACTAATTAAAATTTAACAGATTTAATTTTTGTTTCGAAAGAAAAATTTTTCAGGATTCGGTATAAAAAGCATTACATCTTAAAAAATTGTCATAGTTGCTTACAAAAACAATTTTTTAGTTAGTTTTCTATTTTACAAGACATTTAAAAATTACATATATTTTATATAAATATGTATGTGTTTGATGTACATACTTACATATATACGTATAAAATAAAATTTAAATCCAATAAATATTTTATAAGTTTTTCATGACTTTTATTCATCCAAATTTACGAAAGCAGAAAATTTATACCTAATTATGTATATATATACAAACAAACATATATAAAAATAATATTAAAATTTTTAATTTTATGAAAATATTTTAAACAAAAAACATAGGATTTCTTTGATCAAGGTTAAATTTTATTCGTCGCTTGTCATATTCCATGTCTAGCTTTGATAAATTAATTCTTTCACTAAAAATAAGGACGTTTTCTGTTAATTAACTAAATTACATATTATATCAAACTCACTTTTCAATATAAACTCTTCCTCGATAAGCAACCAAATGCGCATAATAAGCTGGAGCTGGATATGAAACAGCACGAGTGCATCTTGTATATACATGACATAAATTGTTTGTTAAAGATTGTAAATCATCAATATTATATTTCGAATCATCCCGTATAACTGCGTACTTTGTTGGCTTAGCTGTTCCTTGTATAGATTGATGAGACACCATAAAGAATTGGCATTCATTTGGATGTGTTATAACCGTATCAACTACAGTTCCTGGTGGAACATTGTTGAATTTTCCCACTCCCTGCTGCGGGAAAAATCTTGTACGATGACGCTTTTGTACTATAACACAAGTTATAGCAGGGCGAATTTTCAACTAATATTTATTGTTTTAGTTTCAGCATAATCAATAATTAAAAAATAGTTACCTTATAGCAAGCTTTGTCCATTTCTAATAATTCATACTTTTTAATTTGGGGAAATTGTCCATCTGAAACACCATCACGGTAGTAAATAATTTTTTTCGGATAGCATTTGTTATTTTTATGGTATATTTGCAAATGTGCCTCCAAGATTTCACTCATATTTGAAATCATTTCCTTTTTGGGATCTTGTAATCGATATTGTATATTATACTTAACACCATCAAGATCATGCGAGGCTGCAACTCCAACAACACTTGGTATTGATCGTTGATCGGGCGAAGGATGTGTGACATCTGCTCCAATAAACATTACATCTCTGTTTTTTAATATATTTGTAACACATGACTGATCGACTACATGCGCTGAGCCATTCAGTTTTGCATTAACTTTTAACAATATATTTTGTATAGTAGACATATTACATCTCTCAATCGTTCTTTTTTTTATGCATTGCGTCAGTAACCCAAATTTCGTTTCAGCTAACTGTTTAACTTTAGAATAACTATCTTGATTAAATTCACTGAGAATAACAAATACAAGTTCAATTTGGTCACTTTTAAATCTTTCAAAACAATTTTCGACATTTCGCATATCAGATGTGCGAATTATTGGAAATTCAAGCTGGACACCAATGTTGGAACCTTTCTTCAACTATAAAATTAAAAATATAAGTGACGAAAATTTTGTATAAAGTAAAAAATTTACAAAGTCTGCAAATTTTTTCGCATCTCCTTCATTAACATATCTTTCAAGACTTAACACTGCACATTTCATTGCTTTAGTCGGATTTATAAATTTTAAATTTTTGCGAAAGGGATCCCACACTCCTTCGGAGGGCTGACACTTTCTAAAAGAATAATTAAATTAAGGCATGAAAAAATAATATTATAAATATTACCCGTTCGCGTATTGCAAAGATGGTGCGTCAATAATTCGTCCCTCTAGTTTAATAAAATCTTTTCCAATTTCAATTTGAAATGATTTGATAGTTGGATCGGAGTTATGCTTGAACCTATCGAACTCTCTCATTGTTTTTTGTTTGCGCTCATTAGTTGTTGTGGCAGCGAATCGTATCATTTTTTGAACTTGTGCAGGACCAGCTTTTTTTAAAGTATATTGCCCTTTTTCTATCCTTAAAAATTCAGCGGGTATGTAAATAGTTTTCTGAGGATTTCCGACCCAAATACATGGCATTTTTGGATATTTTAATGGATAGTTACGTGAAGCAAAATATTGAGCAACAGTTATAATTCGGTTATTTTCATCTTTAAATTTTTCTGTATCTGACGACTGCTTTATTTCGTTTACTTTGTACGGTTTGTCTTTACTAGAAAAACATGCTGGTGGTCTATAAATTACCTTTAAACCACGTAAGGTATCATCAAGTTTTAATATCCATTTTCTATCAAGTACTTCATTGAGATTTATGTTAAAACGACCGCCTGGCAATTCACTTATCAGATCCAGAACCTGCATTTCCGATGGAAATGATCGATGACAAATATCAATGTTAAGCAACGGTCTTTCACCTAAAACCGCAGCTTGAAATAAACCAAACCATAATTCATATCCATCTCCTAAATCAATCCTTGAATTTGGCGGATTATAAAATGCTCTTCCACCAAAAACTGCTTTGTCGTAGCAAGGAGATCTCAAAACGATATCTAAACATTGCAACGCACGCATCGGTTTATCATAAATCGGCAAATTCCTATAGCTGCAATCAAATACAAGTAATTAAAAAATTTAATATATTAAAAAGTCTTGTCCTTTTTTTGATTTGCAAAAAAAAGTTATCAGATAATAATAGTGAGAGTGAAGTTTTGAAAATACATTTTAAATTTAAATAAAGTATTTTTTTTTTAATTAAAATAATACATTATGTAGTTATCTTACTCTTCCTTCAAGCATTTCAAATCAATTTCCAATGACTCGGTTTCCTTTAAAGTGACAGTCACTTCTTTCCCACCTCCATACTGGTCTGTAACTATTACCTAAACAAACATTTTTTTAATATAAAAATTTAATTAATAATATCTCTATAATTACTTTACAAGTTTTAACGTAATCATCGCTTAAGCGCAATGGACTATATACGTTACACCTCCCGTCAAACGCCAGCTTAATATTAGGAGGAAGATGTACTGCTTTGCAGTATTCCAAAAATGCGGGACGAAGAATACGTTTTGGTTTATCGGGTTCCATCCTAATGTCGTAATGATAAGCACAATCAATCATTTTTTTAATAATTAAATCCAAATAGTTAGTTTCAAGTAATATTTTACGCCCTTTCGTTCCTCTATCTAAATTAATATCAGTTCTTTTATACTGTTCAGTTGAAGAAATAGATGAAGAACTTTCTCGTGAAAATACGCTCTCTGACTTTACAGAAATAACACTTCCTGCTCTGGATTCACGTTGTTGTTCAAGTTTTTGCTGTTGTTGTTGTTTTTTTGGGAACTGCTGTTGTTGCTGTTGTTGCTGTTGTTGCTGTTGTGGCTGTTGTTGTCGTTGTTGTTGTTGCTCTTTTGGGTACTGCTGTTTTTGCCGTTGTTGTTGCTCTTTTGGGTACTGCTGTTTTTGCCGTTGTTGTTGCTGTTGTTGTTGCTGTTGTTGTTGCTGTTGTTGTTGCTGTTGTTTTGGATACTGCTGTTGTTGCTTTGGGAGGGAAGCCCAAAAAGCATTCGCGTCTTGTTGCTGCTCTTTTTGATTCCGCTGGTCTTGCTGTTGTTGTTGTTGTTGTTTTTGCTGTTGCTGTTGTTGTTGTTGTTGTTTTTGCTGTTGCTGTTGTTGTTGCTGTTGTTTTGGATACTGCTGTTGTTGCTTTGGGAGGGAAGCCCAAAAAGCATTCGGGTCTTGTTGCTGCTCTTTTTGATTCCGCTGGTCTTGCTGTTGTTGTTGTTGTTGTTGTTGCTGTTGTTTTGGAAGTTGCTGCTGTTGTGGCTCTTGGTTTTGCTGATCTTTTCTTTCTTTTTTTTTCCATGCGTCTTTTTCTTTTTTCTTATATGGTTGCTCATGTTTCTGCTGTGGGTTTTGTTGTTGTTGCATTAAACTTTGTTCTTTTCTCAAAATTTGGGGCTCTCTTTGCTGTTGCTGTTGCGGGGGATCGGTAACCTTCAGTTCTCTGAAATCATCAGCAACTTTTTTGATACCTGAAAATTAAACGTGCAATTAAAAAAAAAAAAAAAGACAATTTAAAAATATCTAAACTTTTACAACCGCGCTATAGCTTTACTATTGTTTTATAGCCTGTAAGTCACAGCCTACTATAGTTTTAAACGTTTTATACTTATATGTTCCATATAGTAAGTAGTAATTATGGCCTTATATTTTTTTTCGGCGTAAAGTTATTTGGTTTCTCATATTTTCTACATTATCGTAAATTTTTAAAAATAACGCGATGAAAAATTTTAAGCACTTTTAAGTTGTTTTGTTAAAAACTATTATTACTAATTATTTATATTATTTATTATTTTATATTATTTAATATTACTAATATTAATTATTAATATCATATTAATAAAAATATATTTTATAACTATTTAATATGTCAATCAAAATTTAAAATCAGGAATTTTCTTCTTTTTTAACCTCTGGGAGCCATTTTCTTCGTTTTAATCTCCGGGAACCGTTTCTAACTTATATTATTATTGTTGTTATGTAAATTTTCACCCTGTGTGCTCGTTTCACCCAGTGTTCTCAAATGTTAACATAAACAATGGTAATTTAGTAATATATTCTTCAATCATTCAATTTTCTTTTTACTATATTCATTTATTACATTCATTATTTGATATTCTCTTTCCAGCAATTCCTTTATAATATCATCTGGATCATATGACAGATGAAGATGCCTGACCATTACCCTTATAGATCTGGTCTGCTTGTTTTCGTATGAGTGCCACTCCATCTTACCACTGCTTGCGTAATTCGTGAACTCTCTGTGTTCTATTTCCGTATTTACATTGATCTTGACCTGATTGTACTAGCACCGTTCTTACATTGATCTTGTGATGTTTTTGTTCCTGACTTTTTTCAATTACGTTTTTATTGTTCTGTGTAAGTGTACTGAATCCAATTGAAAATCAGTGTTAAAAATCCAAGTGCAAAATTTTATATAAAATTTTCAAAAAAAAAAAAAGAATTTTGAAGTAAAAGAAATTCATCGAGAAAATACTAACTATCAGAAAAATCATGCAAAAATGTGGCAGCAACTAATATAAGTATTTCAAGTGATCGATCTTCTTGACAGATCTTTTATCAAGATAAAAATCAAATCTCGCATGACTGATAGGGCCATTACTAATAAATTACACATAAGCAAAACTATTTATAGAGGAAGAAATGCCAATTCTTGGAGTTATTTTTTAGCAAGGTATTGCTCGTCCACATGTTCCTCAAAGAACTTTGTAATATTTTGTGTAACGTGCATACCAGATGTATTATAGAAAACAGCGTATCGAAAAAAATCCTAGTACTGTAGAATAGCTCAAAGATTTTTTAAAATAACAGTGATCCGAACTTCCTGCAGAAATTTTACAAAACCTACTTAAGTCAATGCCTAGAAGAATAAATTTCTGTATAATCATGAAAGATTATTATTTTAGGGGATATTATAATGGTCTTAAATTTATACTCAGCTAATATTTTAACTTTTTTCTATATTCTTTTAACCGTTACATTTTTATTTTTTCATTTCTTGTAAAAAACCCAATATAAAATAGGTACGTTTTTTTAATATTTAATAAATAAGAGCAAATTTAAAATAAGAAAATCAAATGCTTCTGATTTTTTTGTCTCAATATTTATGCATAACTGTATATATCAAGTAAAATACATTTTATTTTAAAAAAAGATTGGATTTTTTAGTTTCGTTATTATATTTTGTTGTTTTTCCGTTTCTGTTTGTTAATTGTTTGTGTTATTCACTTTTTGTTTTTACACATTTTTTTTCTCAAGCGACAATTCGAGTTACAAATTTCTTGGAATCAAAAACGCAGTACCCCGGGGACTTTAATACTTTTTAAAACTTGTCAACTTAAGTTATACTTAATGTAAAAAAAAATAATAATCTAAAACTGTAATTCTTAATAATTGATCCAAAAAATTAAATTTTTATTTAAAAGATTTGAAATATTTACGCTAAACTATTTATACATAGTGTATGTTTGTATATTTGAAAACATTGTTTTTGAAATACGACGGGTATTATTTTTATGTACATACATATTTACATACAATAATAAGCATTCCACAAAATTAAAATGTATATATGTAAATATTGTGTCCATAATATATTTATTTTAAAAAAGCAAGTTATTTACTTTTCAAACCAAAAATTTTAAATCTTCAGTTGAGTATATAATTGCTGTACAATCAAATACGAGTATATATAAATACATAAGTATATTACATACATATGTACGTAATGAAACCTCACAAATAATGGGAATTCCCCTTATTTATGCAATTAAACAACCAACCTTATTTAGAAAAAGAATATTTTTAATTATTAAAATTATAGTTTTTTTCGAAGGCAAAGTTTATCAATTTTGCTTTTTAGTATCTTATAAAATGACGTCCATTTCATTAAAAATAAACTTTTTATATTTTTAAATTATTAAATACATGTACATAAAGTATGTATGTACATATGTAATTACCTGAAGTTCCAGGTTTGTTATCTTGTTCATTCAACGTTTTTTTTTCGGCCTCCTATATGTAAAAAATTTATTTAAATTGAAATTACTTAATTTTCATTTTTAATTTGCAAAATCGTATATACCTTCACATTTTTAGAGTCATCTTTTTGTACATCTTCCTTTTCTTTTTTATCTTTATTACCTCCTTAAAATTAAAACATTATGAATAATTATGAAGTTAAAATTTTTATTTGAATAAATACTTTTTCTTCCCATTTTATCAATTTAGTTGTTTTTATTTTTACAAATATGCACAATATTACTAGTACTTTCCAGAATATCAAGTAAAATTCCTATGATGAGTAAAATGGTTTCTAAAGTGCACTCCACGTATTTCACAATGCTAGGGATGCGCTTTTTTTTCAAGCTGTCAGTCAAAAGCCAAATATTGATCATTGTCTTGAATCGATAATCGATTCGTTTATCGAAAGCAAATCGAAAATTTAAACCAAAAATATTAGTTCATATTCATTAAAATTAGTTCATACGTAAATTTATTTAATACATATATATTTAATAAATAAATCAAAACAAAAACTAATTATCACTTAGAATATTTACATAGTGCTATGCTTATGCAGAATTTTATTTATCTAATTTTTATTCATAATTTACAAAAATAATGATATATCTCGATTTAATGCCAATAGAAATTCACAGTTTACCCTTATAACTTTAATATTGAACATTAATATCTAACCCATTTACACATACAAGTTACTTGCAAGCAAGTTTGTATAATATTAATTGTCAATTAGTTTTTCGAAATGTCAAATTACTTGCTATTATGACGTAGGCGTTTAGCAAGTTAATTTTTGAAAATGTTTTTGAGAAGAAAACAACTAGCAATATATATACATAATTGTTTATAAATTTTAGAAACCATAAAACAAAATTCAAAAATTTTAAATTAAAAAAAAAAAAATCAAAACAACAAATTTTTTTTTGTGAATTTCTCAATATGTCAAATTACTTGCTCAAATTACTGGCAGCAAAATTTTCTTGCAAGTTGAACTGCAAGTAAACAAGCAAGTAGAAATATTTCAATGTGTTAGTAAAATTTGCAAAACACAACTTGCAGCAGCAAACATATTTTTCGAATACGAATAAGAAATGTCATAGTAACTAAATTCTCGAGATACGACATCTTCTAATACGACATTTCAAGTTACGACATAATATAAATTTGGACTATTTTTATTCGACTTGCAACATTGTTCCTGACACGAATTAAAAATTTTTTAATTTTTTTTTTTATAGATTGTAGTGGTTTTTAAATAAAAATCTATACCTAATTTAATAATAAGGCAAAAGTAAAGCACATACTTTAATAATATACTCTTTCAAGTTAAAAAATACTAGTCAGTGGTTAAAAATACGAATTAAAGTGATATATATATCAACTTAATGAGATTTTGTTTTATTTATTTTTGTTACAAAATTGATTTTTTTCGGTTTTGTTATTATATTTTGTGTTTTTTTTTTGCAAAACTGGAATTATAATATAAAATAGTTCGTCTAATTCTAATTTGTTTCTATACCTTTTTTCCTTCTCAAACGACAATGCGAGTTGCGACATAATTTTCTGGAACCAAAATTGTCGTATTTTGAGGACTTAATGTATGACACATTCCGAATTAAGGCTTATTATCGATCTGTTTGTTTTGGTTGCGAAGCTTTTTTGCTGTTCAAATATTTTGAATAAATAATACCTTTTTAAAAATAATCAGTTTTTCATTTGTCAAAAAAACTTTATTTACTTTATTTGATGTTGAACAAAACTTTAGAATTATTTGTGAGCGCCATCTCATATTTTGGAATCATTTTGACAGCCGTTTTTTAGCGTTACCGTGAATTATAGCTAAAAATCCATTCATAATTACAATATGCAATATTAAAGTGGGGAATTTTTGTTTTTCTTGGAATTCGTATTAAGAACTTCCTAAATGAAAATTAAAAAATAAGTTTCGCTTTAAAAACTATCAACAAAAGAAAAAAATAAGTGACATTACCAAAAACTTTTATTTTCTGAGTCTTAGTCCTTGCAAAATGGAAATTGAGGAATCAAATGCTAGAGGTGAAAAAATTCGCAAAGGATTTCAAATGTAAAATGAATAACTTTTAAAAGCAAATTTTTAGTTGAATTTTTAATTCTTTAATCATTTCAGAAATTGGATGATATTGAGGGACGTAGATACTGGTGCTATCATATGGCAAGAAAATAAAGATTTTTCTTCATCAGATGAGGAACATGAAGCTAGAGTAACATTAAAAATTTTGGATTTGAGAGCGGTTTCTAGAGAAATCAATTTTAGCACAGTAGAAATGATGGAAAATTTTAGATTAGATCAGAAAGTTCTTTTCAAGGGTCGTATAATGGAGGAATGGTTTTTTGAAATGGGTTTTGTAGGACCAAATACTACCAATACGTGGCAATCTACAATAGAAGCAGCTCCAGAATCTCAAATGATGCCAGCAAAAGTATTAAAGTATGTTAACAGGTTTAAAATGTTACATCATTTTAATTTTTATTTTTTATTTAAACGCGTAGGTGTTTTTGTTTTAGTAATGTTATTTTAGTTCTTCCTATACATTGTTATTTTATTTTTTAGTGGGAACGTTACTATTGAGACAAGTTTTTTCGATGGAGATACTTTTATTACGAAGTCGGTTGTGAGGTTATATTATGTGTAGAGTATCATTTAATGAACAATTTTATTATTTATTTTAAGAAAGCAATTCGAAACATTTTTACAAAAGAATTTAATGAAAGTTCAATTTTTAGAGCAATTGACCAGTAGATAAAGAAGTTAAAATTGAGTGTCATATGGTCATTAGTTTTTTATTAATTATTTTCACTTAATTTTTTATATTAAACTAAAAAAATTCTTTCAATACTTAAAGCTTGTCATGCAGCATTTATTTTCTAATATTTATTAAGTTTTAATTGAAAAATCAGTACGTTATAAACTATAAAAACATGATATACATGTATATCTATCAAAATTTTTGAGTACATATGAAATCATTTTAACAATTTTTTGTATTTTGTCACATACATACATACATAATAATATAAATTAATGAAATTTAATATTTAATTTTTTACTCATAATTAAATGATGTTATAACAGTCTTAAATTCTTTTTGGTTCGCAATATATAATATTATTGTAATATATAGCTTTAAAAAGTTTAATAATATAGTGTTATAAAACGGTTCAAATTCAAACTTGCTGTCTAAAAACTAATGTTTTAAAAATTTTTGAAATATTTAATAAGTTGCTGATTGAAAATACCTAATCAAGTTGGTATTTTTAAGTACCTATATAAATCATTTATTTTAGACTGATATTTTTATCACCAAACAAGATTAAGAAGATTATTATATGTTGCAGAACTTCACTTTTAAACGCATTTGTTTTTTATTATTTATTTTTAAAATATGTACATAAATACTTATCACCAAGTAGATACGTAAATTTTAAAATAACCATATAAATCAATAAATGTGATTTATATTTAAAATTGTTTATAATTTTAATAAAGTAATATCTTAAGCTAAGCAGTCATGTATGGTAGTTATTATGATTTATTCAATGCTTATGTGTAAATATACATTTACATTGTATATGATGTTTGTATATTTGCATTGTCCAAAATTGTAGTTAAATGAAGTAATAATAAAACAAGTAAACATAAAATTATTCAAATAACTCTATCCAAAAACTACATACTAGTACAATAATATATTAATTTTTTTATGTACGACCTATGTAATACGAAAATTGTCCCCAGAATAACTAAATCCTTATATTTGAGTAAATTATTATCTTAAAGTTTATATTTATATGGACGTAATATGAACAATTTGAAAAATGCTTGTTTTTATTTCGCCAAACCACCATTTTATGTACTACCTACCTACGTTGTTTTAAAAAAAACTTCATTTCATGTAGGTATTGTTAATTCCTTTGAATATACATATATGAATTATTTTGCGTAATGCGTTATATATCTATTATCAAATTTATATAAAGTTTAAATAGAAGGGGTTTCGGAAATTCGTGTGAAGGAAATTGATCAATATTCAGCAATATGAAGAATCAGCTGTACTGATTCTACATATTTTTTTAAATTAAAAAATTACGTTTGGTAAATTCTTCTGAAAAATGCATTTAAAAAAAAAATTGCAATTTTTAGCGTAGAAATTCTTGTCTTCCAAATGAAAGGATACTGAATTACAGAGTAAAGTTCTTGAATAAGAAATTAAATTTAAAATGAAATTGAAAAAAAAAACAAAAAAATAATTATAATATTATAGGTGGTTTTTAAAACTGTGCTCAGTCACAAAGAATACTAAAATTTCACAAAAAAAAAAAATAAAAAAATATTTTAATCAGCATACTACGAAAACATAAAAGATTAAAAATTGTTTTTCAAAAATTCGGAAAATAATTTCAGCTTGGTGGCCTTATAGATATATATGGCATTAATTTTGCGTTTTCACTTATTTAATGAAAGAGAAAATTTATGTATGTAACTTGTACTATATATGTATAAAATTATATTTTTTATGCATACACTTTCCTGCCAATACTGTTTAATTTTCTGATAATCTTCTAACATTTAACTGAGATGGTTTATACAATAATACTCATAGTTTTATTTTCAAATATATTTTGCATTATTTTTATTTTAATAAAATGCTTGTATACCTAGTTAAATTTTTAATTTAAATTAAAAGTTCTAATAATTGAAAATATTGCATTGTTACATCAGATATTTGCATTGTTTACAAATGGGCTCATCAAATGTTCCACATTCACTAAAATAAAAAATGTATATTACAAGATTATACTAAAACAAAAATATTTGAACTTGCAATAATGTAATGCAAGTAGTACATAACACGGCCCCGCAGAGGTTTACACACGAAAATCCACAATGTTCGCATAGGCACAAATTACCTAGAAAAAACGATTATACATACATATACACATACGAGAAAAACATGTTATAATTGAACTTACAATTTGAACAATCTGACGCTATATAAGATATTTTATTACAACAATTTGAGTTTTTTAATATTTTTAAAGTTTTTATACCATTTTCATATTTGATGTTTCCTGTTCCATTTAAAAAAATATTCATAAAGTCGTAGCTTTTTTCCAAGTTAGCATTCATATCTTTCGCTCCCCTAAAAAGCAGTTCCCTAGTTTTATCTGAAAAAGTGGAAGAGTAAAGACCGCACATTTTACTTTCTAATTATAAATTTATACTGTAATCTCTTCAAACTGTAAATCTGTTTTGTAAATTAATTTAAGTCTTTCTTTGAAACTTACTGTAAATTTCTTTCATTCTCTTAGGATCGCTCAAATCTAAAATTTTCTGATTTACATGTACCTTAGACTGCAAAATGTAATAACTTTCGTCTGAATTTAAACGTTTTCTTGGGCAAATACCCAATTCCATGATTTCGGTCATCAAAAGACTACCTACCTAAAATACCACTTTTCACATTCATTTAAAGCGTATTATTTAAATTGAACTACCTTGAATTGAATTTAAAATATTATTTTAATCTTTAAAAAAATTTCACATAAAACTTCTTCAAATTTTAAACGAATACTTTTTGCAAATATGTAAATAATGAAGAAATTGTCATTAGATACAATATCTAAATATGAAAATTTCTAAGATGATTATCACGAAATTAACATATTATTCTTATCTTTCTCTCTACTTGTAGTTTATTATAAAAAAATGTTAAAAGTTAAGACCTCGACTAATCGACAACTAAATAAACTAAAAAATGTTTCGAATTAGGGATGTATCCAGCGTCAATTACGAACGACTCGTGTGTATTAAACGCGCTAACTGAAGTTTACTCATTAGTCGTTACAGGTTAAAATCAGGCCCACATACTCAGGTTAATTGCTTATATGTGTCAACTCAAGCTAAATGACAAAAGAATAAGGTGTCAAAACTTCACCCATTAAAATTCATTCCCTCCTCACATTTTCGTTTCTTATTCGAAATAGTTAAAAAATAATTCATTTGAAAAAAAACGATGAATTTTTCAACAAACAGTTTTCTTTTCATGGACTTTGAATAACTAATTGTCAGAAATTAAAATTTAACTGTTTGACTCATGACCTATTACTGTCGCAGTTAATTTTATGTCAATTCTTGAATTGATATTTTTGTTAAAGTGTCAACATATAAACATATGCGATATGTCCTTGGTATATCAAAAACTGCTGTCAGCCGTGGATATATTATATATATTTACTATATATAGTTGTATGTGTAATTATTCTTTGGTAAAACATTAAAATGGACATATAAGAAATAGAAAAGTGGTTTCATTAAATTTATTTAAAAAATTTATTTTGTATTAAGAATAAATTTTTACCATTTCGAGATATTAAAACCACTTGCACATAATATTCTAAATAAAGTGCAACAGTATGAGCTCTAAAGATAAAGACAATGCTTTGAACAAGCTTCGTCATTTCTTCAAAGCTTCTAAGACTGGAGGTAAGTTAAAACTTTGGAGTATGTACCTATTTAAACAATACAGAAGAATAAATAAAATTCAAACAGTTGGTGTTAAAGAAAGAGAACTTGGTCCAGAACTTGAACGTGAACTACGACCCGAAAATCCGGTTGCGCAAAGATGTAAAACTTTAAAAGACTTAGGTGAAATGGTTTTAACCACGAAATTAGAAGATGTAAAAAATTAATTTATAATTAAAATTGAAAATAATTTGGTCATTTTCCAGGCTGCTATATGTAAACTTTGGGAATTGACAAAAGATCTGATTGTGGATAATAAATCGACAGAGCATCGACAAATAACGTTAACTTTTTACAAAAAATTGATACAAGGGCAATATGCGAACTTGTCCTTAATGAGGGAACACTTTTTCTTAGTGATACAAGTGCAATAACTATATAATTATACACGATATCTTACTATTTTATTGAAATCACTATATTTTTAGAAGCATGAAGTGATGGAGGATTTACGACATCGTCTGGATTTATTAATTGCTCTTACAGAAAATGGCAAAGACATAACAAATTTTGAAGAAAAAGTACTTAGAATATATAAATAAAAGCCACCTTGAAATTGTACAGTAAATGCCTTTCAGATTGGAAAACTAATGCTTCAGTGGGCCCCTTTAATGATTGGAGAATTGATGGAACCCTACTTAGAAGTACTTGAGAATATTGTAAAATTTAACGCAGCTCATTTGGATAATGAAATAATAGTAGGAATCGTTAAGTAATGTAAATTTTATTCGAATAAAATTTTAATATTAATTTAGACACATTTAGTCATGTATGTAATCTTAGCTGCAATACCGAAGTTGATGAAATAGGATTACAATGTTTAAAAGTACTAGATGCAGTAATATGTTATACAATTTTCCCCAATGAAACATTAGCATTATGTGTAGTTACTTTATGTAGAACTATCAATGTGCATAACTATTGTCAAACATCATGGAAGGTGCTTAAATTTTTTTTAATGAAACAAATCGTCTTTTATAAGATATGGTTTACAGAACATGAAAAAACTACTGGGGACGAACTTAGGTTATGCTTCCTTATTGATAATGTGCAGCATATTAAAAGACAAAAATTTTTATGGTGATGAGTTTTTGCTCCGTGGTGCAGTTTTCCATATTACGATGGGAGTGTTTGTATATCCAGCTGTTACAATGACATCAATGTCACCGGTTTTAACAAGCTTTTATCATGTAATTATACTGCTAAAATCATATATGTAGCTATGTTGGTTAAATTTATTTAATTTCAGGCTTTAAATAGTCAAAAAGTCCATGTAACTTATGAAGTAATCTTAAGTATATCCCTCTTCGTCGACAAATTCGGCAAAGATTTATCTGAGCATGTTTGGGATGTCGTATGCGATATTTTATTATCAATTGCTGACAACATATATTTTTATGGTATATATTTTGTTATTTTTTGGCATTGCAAATTCTTGTATTATTTATTTTTTTATTTGTTTATTTATTCATTCTGGATTATTCTCGAATTGTAGAGTGCAACGGGATGTCCAAGGAAAACGCATTGAAAACCAAATATCACGAAGCAATTGATAAAATTGAAGATATGCTACACAGTAATGAAATTTGTATCAATACAGAAGTAATTTATGACCTAATTGAAAAAATAGCAGAAAGTAGGCCGATCCAATCGGTCCTTAATCTAATAGAATATCGCTCTTTAAAAATATCAGCTACGCGACCAGAATGGTTACAAATCTTGCGCGAATTCATTCAAAGATTTTATCATATACCGAATACAGAAATTCGAGTGGAAACTGTTTATGCATTGATTAAGATAATGGACACAAATCGTGCTGGGTATGAGGAGGAAATACTTGAAAGAGTTGTAATACCAGAATTTCATAATATATCTTCGGAAGAAGACTTAAAAGTACGTAATGCCGTGGCCAAAGCTTTAACTGATTTTTCATTGCATTGCGAAACAAAAAGATGTGGAGAACTGCTTGACATTCTAGAAAAAATTTTAAATAGGCCTTTTGAAGTTTTTGGAGAAGATGGTACAGTTTTACAATCCGAAACAGAACTAGATGTTCTCACGGTAGTTGAAGGTCTTATTGAAGTTTTCATGGTGAAATTATATAAGTTACCCTCTTGTCATGCTATTCGAATTTTTAAAATGCTCATAGAACATTTAGAAAAACATTATAAGATGCCAAAAGTGTTTGAGCAATCAAATGCTATCAGAGAAAAGGTAAAATATCATATTTTATTAAGGTTTTTCTTAACAACATATTGTGTTTAAGATATTTTCTTGGATGCTTAAAGCGCGTGCAAGTCATACTTATCATATAGGATTTCCTGATCCTTCCAACAATGGGACCATACGATATAGTCATTATCTAGGCATAGATTCAAAATTGTCACTATCTGATGTTACTTATCAACACCAAATATCAACACAAAGTAATCTCGACACAATACCGCCTATCAACTTTACGGCCATATCAATACGTCCTGCTTGTAAATTAATAGTGATTTGCCTGGAAAAAGAAAAAGGTATAAAGGAGATTGATTAATTTTAAAATAAAAAAATAATAATATCTGTTTTAGATTATCAAGTTTTCCAAATGGTTCTTAAAGAGCTACCTAATATTTTGCAAAACAAAGCTATTATTCAAGGCAATGACATTGAATCATTAGCAAATGCTCTTTGGTTACTATTTTGTTCAAAGAAAGATAGAAAGTTTTTGAAAGCAGTTAAACCTTCCTCAGACGATTTGAGTTATTTAATTCTTCCCGCCATGGCTTCTTTAGTTATATATCATCAGTTCTTAAGATCCAAATGGCAAAACTATATTATTGAAACCTTGAAGATTGGAGTTTTCCAAAGAGTCGCCAATATCTGCATTAATACATTGACCATAATGATATTAGAAATGCCGGAGGTCCTTATGCGAAAATTACCAGATGTGTTGTTAGAAATGAGTAAAATGTCCGATAACGTTCAAGTGGCTATACCTGTGTTAGAATTTCTTTCAAGTTAGTTCATTTAGACTTGACATTACGATAATGTTTTATAAAATACTCTTTTTTAGTATTAAGTCGATTACCAAATAACTTGTTTACAAATTTTGTACCCCTTCAGTATATGTATGTTTTTGCAATTACTTTACCTTACACAAAACCCCAAAAATACGATCATTATGTCGTCTCATTGGCATATCATGTAATAGCTGGATGGTTTTTAAAATGTAAACTTACGTTCAGGAAAAATTTTGTTAACTATATTATATCGGTATGTACATTAATTATATTGATTTAATTTATCTAAAGAAATAAATTTTTTTCATATACAGTCTATACAGTCAAATCTTCAGCTTTTTGAAGAAAATAAAATAACATCGCGTTCAGATTTCCAAGTCTTAAATGAGGATTCCTCTAGTCGAAAACGTAGTACAAGCCTAACGGAACGCAGTAGCCATGGTCGTAATATCAAAGCTGGCGAAAGCTCTTCAAGTAACTTACGCCCTTTAATGAATGAAGGTCTTAAACATTTTCATACTGAATTAGCGGAAACATGCATAGATTTTTTAGCAAGACACACATTTTCTCCATGCTCAGCTTTGCCAAAACGATTACCTGCAGTTCAGATGCTGCTTAAAGATGGAATATCGCAGCATTGGATTGTAGGGCAAAACATAGTTACAATTACAACTAGTGGTTGCGGATCTGCTCCTACTCGAAATGGGCTCTGCGAAAGATGTCAAATAGATAAAAACGCATCAGTTCATTCCGTTAATAAATTAGATTCAAATAGTATTAATTCATTTGGTGTCGCACCAAGTTCTCCAGAAGTTTTGATTGCGCAAACAAAGGATACTTCGGAATTTCAAAACAAAAGGTACACCAAGGCAAGTCTGCAATACAGTAGTGGTACAGATTCTGGTGGAAGTATTGATTTAACTTCGTCAACTTCCTCTTCATCACAACACCCAACATCTTTAGATGGTGGCATTAATAAGTTACGTCAAACTTCTAACAGTTCTTCTGGATCTTTGGAAACTTTACCAAGACGAGGCAGCAATCCTGATTCAATTGAAAACAGAGTGGAAAATAATAGAGATGGTATAGTAAGTCAACATCCCTTTCAGCAACATGTTAGCACAGCAACGACAATTCAACAGCCAGTTTGTGCTAGAAGTTGTACCGGTTGGGCTGAAATACTTATAAGACGTGCAACAGGGAATATCTCCTGGATAATGAGAATTCAAAATCCTATTGCAAATGATTGTTTGGGAAATGATATACCCTTTAATGACTTAATAGGTCTTTTCATGCCTAGTCACTACGGCGGGGTTTTTGGACCTAAATTTTTAAATGAAAATAAATCATTTACATCGATTGCAAATGCTGACATAATTGATAAAGCTGTAGAAACTAGTTTAAGTAAGGAAACAGGTGAAACTTTTAGCAAAGAAAAAAAAATGGAACAAAATGAGCACTCTACTGCGAAAGCTGTAGCTAAATTAAAACTTAAAAGGCAAGAAGAAATAACGTCTTCTTTAACTGGAACATCGGGTCCCATTGATATTCCAAAAAAGATAATTTCGAATAAAGAATCAGCGGGAAGCTTTAGTGATGTTGAGCCTGATGAAGACGAAAATAACGATGATTTGCCTTTTGATGATTGTGGTAGAAAATATTCAGAGGGATCAAGATCAAGAAACCCAGTGAGACGAGTTAACTCGAGCCCAGAAATGAGTTCAAGCTGGAGAAGCCCGTTCACGCATACAAAAGGTAGTTCCAAATCAGAATCCAGTAAACAATGGACAGACGGCATTGTCGCCACTGTCGTAACAGTTGCTGCCCACCAATCTGAGGCAGACGAAATAAATAGTGAAAATATAATTGCAGAGCAACTGCAAAAGAAAAAAATGAGCAATAGCAGTGGTTTTTCTAAGGACATGAGAGTAAGCTGCGAAGCTATACCTGAAGAAATTCCTGGTTCAACTCCTCCGAGTCACTCTGATTTAATAAAAAGTCATATAGTTAAAAACACTGAAAATAATAAATCACCATTAACTATTACATCCAATTGCGAAAAAAATGATAGAAAAAGTGACTCTTTAAATACCAATGACATACCTGTACTTCCACCAAAACAACATTCAGCTGACGATGTGACGAGTCAACCAGCTACTTACAATGTAACAACTTCGGCATCTACGACCAGTCTTAAAATACCATTAGATATTCAAAAGCTTTCAACTAAACCACCCCAATCGCCAATTCCCCTTTCTCCTCGCCTTTTAGCGAAAAACGCAGCAAATAAAATAGCGTCTTTTGCACCAAATGTTGGAGACTCAAGCGGTGGGGATAACGGAGATATGCCCCGAGTACGTTCAAAAACAATTTCTGTAGTACGGGAAGTGAATCGAAATTCAGTTATACGCAGCACACCCACATTCAGGCAAAGAGGTCCACACACGCCACCATCAAATTTAAGGCTTGGAATTGATCCCAGCTTCATTTTTTTGCAACTTTTTCATACAGGACAATTACAGTGTATTGAAACTCCTATAAAAATAAACCAGGAAAATACAAATGCTGTGAAGTTGCTGGATCTAATTCCACCATTTGAAACTCATAAAATAGGAGTGTTATACGTTGGACCAGGTCAATGCAATAACGAAACAGAAATTTTAAAAAATCGCTATGGAAGTTTACGTTATTTTGAATTTCTAAGAAATATAGGAACTTTAATAAGCTTAAAAGAGGGAAAGGAGCATAATTTTTTTGTGGGCATGGAAGAAAATGGCAAAGATGGTTTATTTACATACGTTTGGAAAGATGATACTGTACATGTCACTTTCCATGTTGCAACTTTGATGCCGAACAAAGAGAACGATCCTAATTGCAATCAGAAAAAATTACATATTGGAAACGACTACGTCAGCATAGTTTATAATGAAAGTGGTGAAGAATATAATTTACAAACAATAAAAGTAAATACATACTTAGTTTAAGCATGATTGATAGACATTAAAAATTCGAACTTTTATAAATTCTAGGGTCAATTTAACTATGCGTGCGTTGTGGTGCAACCACTGGAACTAAACGCTAATAAAGTTTTTGTTAAAGCTCGGAAAGAAATCGCTAATTTCGTTTGTCACCCAGATCCGAAAATTGTTTCAGATCGCAGTGCACCATTGTTGGCACGGCAATTAGCTTTACATGCAAATGTAATATTTACCAATATAAAAATGATTTATAATATATATGTGACATTGTATATTTTAGCTTGCATCTCATGTATATCAAAGTTTGAAGAGCAAAAATCCTTATGCATCGAATTGGCTTGAAAGATTAAGAAAAATAAAAAATATTCGAGCAAAGGTAATGTTTATCAATATTCGTGTAAAAATTCAACATTTGTCAATTTTCTTTCAGTTACTTAGAGAATCGCACACTTCGACAATGGATCAAGATACAGCAACCAGCGCTAGTGGGGGAGTGGGTACATCAGGTTCATCGGGAGATGTTTCAAAAATTCACAGACCAAATATGCACGATTTTACAAAATATACATAATTTGGTTTTCTGTTACAAAAATTTGTTTTACAATTTTCTAAAAATTTCTTTGTAAATGTTTAGATTTAACAAAATATTTTAAAAGTGTTCGTTACATATATACAAAAATATACTTATCCACACAAAAATACAAACCAATATTTTATTTTTTTAAATTACCTAAAAAAGAAAGGTTATATATAAACAAAACTTATTTATACATAAATTTACATACATATATAAACAATTTTAAAGTATAATTTAAAAATCGCAAAACTGTAAATCATTTTGCATTTTATCCCGAATTTTTGGACGTGGGTCTTCTTTTAAATCAGTATTAATAGCTCCTGATTGCCCAAGCATCCATTCTAATTCGTCCTTTGTCAATTTGTCTCCTCTTAATTCTACTGATCCTATATATTGCTTTTTTAAATTGCCTTCATAATATATAAAAATACTTGGACAATTTTTTTCAGGGAAATCTGCAATGCATGTTGTAGCGACCGACTTCAGGAATTTTGTTTGAGGATACTTTTGTGCTAAGGATGCCATATAATGATTTATTATATTACATAAAGGAACCCCATTTGCATATAAATGTAAAACGACCCAAATCCCCTCTCCAGCTTTGTTCACTTCGTCCACATAGTCTTGAGCGCTAATGGAACAAACTACACCAAATTTTGATTTTTCTGCAATAGCTTTCATTTCAGCTATTCTCTTACGTCTATACTCCTCCAAAACATATTCATCTTCAGAATCTTCTAACTCATCTAGCTCATCTAAATTCATTTGATCTAATTCTTTTTTACCATCATTTTGTGTCTTTTGTTTAATAGTTTTTTCTACTATCGAAACAATTTCCTCTTCTGTTATTTCAGTCTCTTTAGGTTTTGGAGGGAGAATACCCTTAGATCGTAAAATATCATTCCATTCTGTATCTTCGTCAGGATTCTAAAATGTTAAAATTCTCATTAAAGTTTTTACCTTATATGGTCATGAACAGCTGATGTAAAATTTAGAACATAATATGGATATAAGCACACGTGCTTAAAAAAAATAACTTACAAGCATTGCGTAGATTCAAATCCTCAAAAAAATAAAATATATAAAATGCTACTTTTAAAAAAAACTTAAAAAGTCTGAAATTAATTTTTGAAGTAATTAATTTCGAATTTCGATATACTTCTCTTTTAATTTATGATAGATGATGTATCAACCGTCCCCTTGCCATTCTTATTTGACTTTTGAGCAAGGCTGTCGTTTTACAATTTTACAGAGTAGCCGATTTTACGAAAAAAATGGAGCTTTCAATTGTGGAACGTCAACACGACTACCCGATGTTGTAATATTATAAAATAATATACAACTTTAATGTTTTAACTATACTTAATTCGTTTAGAAATATTTTTAAATTATTACTAAAGAATATCCAGTCTTACATGTCATGTACCTATCTCACACATCACATACATATACATTTATCTAAATGTAATATACATTTAGCCTTCGATCATCATGATATATAAAATATATTTAGAATCTGTATTTCCAATTTTGCCTATACAGACAGTGGCATTATTAGCAAAATTTTCAAAACAATATTGGTAGATGGATTTTTTTTTTTTTTTTTTTTCCTTTGTTCACTCCTAGAAGGAGCATAGGGCTAGTGCATGATTTCTCATGCACTAGTTTCATAGCGTCATAGGGTTTAACTAGGTAGGTGACTAGCCTGCCGTAGAGTAGATGGATAATTTTTGTTAAAAAAATACAAATATGGAAACAAATTTATTATTCACAGTTACATAAAAATACAAACGTTTTAGTTGAAGTCTCTCAGAGTAGACATTTCACCACAAATAAAGAAACGTATTTCATCAATAACCAACATATTTTCAAGTTTTTTTAGAAATCCGAAAAGTTGTGACAAAACACAAAAAAAATTACACGAGGAAGTTTTAAATTTGGCTTCTTATGATTCTGTGTTTAGGACTATTTAAGTAAGTACATGTGAAATTCATTTTTGTATGGAGTTGTTATTTTTGTGTTTTGAGGTTGATTTTCTTTATATAATGTACATAGAATTATAGAGCTACATATTATTATTGAATAGCTCAGAATATTATTTTTGTATATTTTTATATTTAATAAAATTCAAAATCAAAGTAAGTGATATCTACATATTATGTTAAAAAACCAAAAACAAAATCACTTAAGTAATGAGTTCAAAAATGTTCAAATTATTCTTAGAAAGGGGTTTTTTGTATCCATAATTTACAAATCGGAACAAGTGGATCTAGTTTAATAGACTAGTGGAGCATCGGAGCATAAGTAAACAAAAGGTAAAAAGAAGTTCGGTTCGGAGCCCAAAATAACAGCTCTGCTTTTGAGTTGCAGAGCCAGTGCTGCCTAGTCTTTACTGTAACATATTTCTCTGTTTTACTACTTTTATATTCGCCGTACTAATTCCTGACTGGTACCAATTGGTAATTTTAAGACATCAAGTGCCGTTTAGTGAAACTTTTAAAGGTATAAAAAATTTTTAAATTTATATACTGTGCAGGATTAAATAGCAGTAAGAACTGTCATAGCAGTTGAAGTATTAGTAAGGAGATTTGTTTTGTACAAAAGCACTAAAGCGAACTTAATTTAGCCTTAAGTGCCTTCTTTTACTTACGGAATGTAGACACAAAAACACGATATAGAAAAACTAATGGCTAGTCAGTTTGACTAGTTTTGGAAATTTATGACTATCCATTTGCGTTTTAGTTGGGTTAAAGTTTAATAGGTCCCTTAAAGTTTTGAATAGTAAAAACCAATTGTAAATGAGATATTATTTTAATTAATTTACTTTCAAAACAAATAATAGCCTAAATAAATTACAATTGCGCCATTTTTGTCAAATATATTTTATTATTCATTTATTAATATTTTCAAACTTTGTAACTATATAATAAATTTTATGTACGTGCTAAAACTAAAATATAAATAAATATGATGAAAATAATATAATATGCTATTATTATTAATTTTAGCCATTTACAGATTTTTTACAATTTTGTATTAGTATAAGAGTACTAGACAGCTGTTGAATAGGGGTAGTACCTTGATTCTACAATGTTTTTCTTTAATTTAAAGTTTTCTGGATCATTTATTGCAGCAAAAAATTCATCACTATAATCGTTTCCAATTGTAATATTTTCATTTATTTTTATATATGGCCCAATACCTTTATTAAAACGAAGAGTTTAATTTAATTTAATTCAATCTGAATTTTATAGTAATGATAAAAAGTATTTGCGAATAGGTAGTAGAAGTGTCTATATTGTATGATAACTACATATTAAAAAATTATATTCAACATTTAGGTATATAGGTACATATGTACAATTAATTTTATCATCGACTCCAAGGTCATATCAACTGAATAGATTTTAATTTTCCACATAATATTTAGTGGATAGAACAAAAAACTTAAAAATCTGTTTCGAGCAAAATTTGTAAATGCACATTATTTATGTTTTTTTATGGTCCATTCCTATGTAAATACATATACACACATATGCATTATTATGTATACCCTATGCACCTCCGATACCATGTACGAAATAACAAAAAAAAATTCACTCGAGGTGAAACAAAGAGCTCAACTTTCGAAAAAATTTCACATATTACATTTTGGGATACGTTCGGATCTCGTGACCAGATTTCAGTATATGGCAATTGCGATGGGTTTATTTAAGATATCGCGCAATGCATTTTAGCTGTGTGTACTTTATTTATCAAATATTTAAAAATAATTATAAGTGTCAAGTATTTAAAAATAATTAAAACGTTATTATATAATTTTATACTTTATAATATGCCTTACCATTCATTGGCGATAATTCTACATTATCAGAATAAGTTGGAATGCCCTTAATAGCAAATGACGTCCATATATTTACCATCTTTTGAATGATCTTGGTGTCATGTTCATTCACATTTTTATAATGATATGGAAATAAATAAATATAATCATCAGAATGATGAACCCCACCATTAAATGGATAGTGATCCGTACTTAATTCATAACCAAATCTAGTATTTGCACCTTCGTAATCGAAAGTATATAAAAATGTTTTATTATTTTTATAAGGTGAATTCATTTGTGCGAATGTTAGTGCTGGTGATTTAAAATATAATACACTGCAAAGCTGAAATGTAAATTAAATTTTAAACAAAGAAAAATATATTAAAAAATTAATAGAATTTAAACAGAAATTTTAATACTGTTTTGAATTTAAAACTTTCCCGTATTTCCATTGAATCTGAACGTTTTACGAAGATAAGCAAAAATGTTCTGTTTAAATTTTGATTTTACAAAAATAAGGCCTTTAATGCATTCTCAAAGAAGTCAACTCAAAAGGCTTATGGACATTTTTTCAAAAACAATTAATGCCGCCAGAATTTTCACGTTATTCATGATTTTGGTCGATTGAAAGTATTGAGCATTGAAAAATTGCTTACTCTAGAGAAATTTAAACCGGAAGTTAAACATTAAAATATTTTTACTTACATCAATGAATTCTGGTATCAAATCCTCAAACGACTTATCTATTTGATTTTTATTTGAAAAAATATCTCTGTAGAGTAAATTTTTAATAATGCCTGTATTATCATCATTAGCATTTTCTACAATTAAATTAAATAAAGATTTTGCATCTATATTTCCTTTCATATGGTTCATCCATTTATCAAAAATCACTAAAATTAAATAAGAAAAATATGAATCAAAAAAATTTAAATTATAAAATTATAACATTTTAAATTTAAATTATAAATTTATAACTGCGATTATTCGAATTCTTACCGCTGAGAATAAACGATCCATCATGTTTTGTGAATCCTGTCAATGCAGTGTATTTTTGTTTAATATTGCTAGCTAAAATTTTTGGCAATTTTGGTAATATTCCTCCTAAATCACCTAATGTTATACATAAATCATTTGAACTAATTAGTAGCAGATCTTTAATATCGGCACTCAATAGACATTTGTTAACATTTTCAACTGTAGAGCAATCCATTTTTTCAGGTTCACAAATTTTTTTGCAAATATCTTTTGCAGTTTTAATTGGATTTTCATTTATCGCCCATGGCGCGAATATTGATCCTGATTGTGCAATGACTTGATGAAATAATTTATGATTTTGTATTGATGGTGTTAATGTTAATAAGGTTACCATTGCAGCACCAGACGATTGACCAAATATAGTTATTTTATTTGAATCACCACCAAAAAATTGTATATATTTTTGAATCCACTTCAATGCTAGAATAACGTCATGCATCCCAGCATTTCCAGGTATAAGATCAGATTGAGTTGAAATAAATCCAACAACACCCAGTCTATATTGTATAACAGCTAATATTACATCTTTTTCTAAAAGAAAATTTGGTTGATATTCTGCTGCGGACCCATTTGAAAAACCACCACCATGAATGTAGACCATAACAGGTAATTTTAGTTTCTTCTAAAATTTAATTTTTAACAGAAATTAAATGATTCAATACATAAATTATTTATTGCGAAAAAATAAAATTGTAAGAGGTATTTTAGTAGTACTACTAGAAATTTTATATAACCTACATATTCTATTTTTAAATTAAATAATATGTATGCCTTTAAATTAACATAATTTTCTGCATAACAACATTTACTTACATTTTTTGTGAATATATTGAGAGTTAAACAATCTTCTACATTATAACTTTTGTCACTAGTTTTATTTAACTTTGTAATTTCTGGACAAGGACGTCCATATTGAGATGCATCTAATATACCTGCCCATGGATATTTTGGAATTGGAGGCTACATTACGAAAAATTAAATAATTTAAAAAATTTATTTTAAATTAAAAAATTAAGTAAATTTCTTTTAGTATTTTAAAATTATTTAAGTTCATTTGATATTGTTAGCCAAAACCTACGTATGTAAGTTTTGTAGTTATAAGTTCATACATATTTTATATTATTCAGAATTATCTTAAGAATATGCATAAAATGCATATACGTGTACATATGGATGTATGTACATGTATATAAAGAGTTGAAAATCTTGTTTTAAAATCAAGTGTTCATTTATTCATAATATAAGGCATAATCATGTTTACTGTTATAAGTATAAGTACCTAGCACAAAAAAAATAAGTACGATCAACGACGTCATAAAGATTTTATTGTTTAAAGATGCATGTACATATATGTATACAGACATATTAATATTGATTGCAAGTTTTTTAGAATACTTATTATTTTTATTATGTTGCACTTTTTTATACCTAATTAAATTCATATGAACTTATGTAAGTAGGTCATTAGATATGATTTAAAATTACCTTGAATCTTTGTATGCCACTTGGTGCTTCTGCATATGGTATACCCAAAAATTGTAAAATGGTTTTATTTGTCCATGATGTAGTCGTTCTCGACCCTAATAAAAATCCTTGCCCTGGTAATCCAATTAAAAGGTCATTTTGCTGTGCTGTTGGAACAGGTGATGATTTTTCAGTAATTAATACACTTGTTGTTTCAACATAAACTATTAAACCAATTGTAAATATCAATGTACTTGTTAATAGTAAGCCGGCTGCTATCATTTTGAATTTGAGTGATTTTTTATTATGTTTTGAATTTGATGTTAACAAATCATTTACGGCTTTGTTTTTTGTTGTATTTTTCAAAAGATCAAGAGCTGAGTGTTCTGTTTGTTCAACTGAATATTGAATATTTTCTGTCATATTTATGATACATTCCACTATTATATATAGGGTAGCGCGAATTAACAAAAATTATTTAGACAAAAGAAAAAAAAAAGAAAGTAGGTATGAAATTTGAATAAAATTTTTAGAAAAATAAAACAACTTCATTTTTAAGTACCTATGACTCGAAAAATAAAACTGTATAAAATATAATATTCGTAGTTGCCTGAATATGTATATACATAATATGTGTATAAGCATAGACCCAAAGAAAATATTAATCTAATCAAAAAAAGTTGATCTACACATTTTAAATTTACAACAGTATCTTTTGAAAGTATTGAATCCTGTCAAGTAAATTATCAGCAACAAAAATTTTTAGTAGAGGCATACATTTAGATACATATGTATGTAGGTATGTATGTAGCCAACAATTTATAAAAAAAGATTAATACCTACCTAAGTAAATACATTATAACTATTCTTTACACATAAATTACATAATTCATGGTTGTAAAATATTCAACTGCATTTTTTACACAATAAGTACGATATGTAAATTCAAAATAAATTATTTTTGTATAAAAATTTTCATTCCTCGAAAAAAAAATTTTCAAAATTTTTTCGATCCAACATCATTTAAAATGATTTTAAATAAAGCAATTTTTTTAAATTAAAAATTATGAGTGTAAAAGATTTCGTCTTGTACTGTATGCTAATTATTATTTACATTGCAATCAAAGTTGAAAAAAAGATAACAGCAAAACTCAAGCCGTTTAATGGATTTCATTTTGGATGTTTCAATATTAAATAGGGTGTTTAAAATTATTTTTTCTAAAATACATATATCATTTTAAAATTAAACTTAACAATATTTAATACTCTCTAATGCAACGTGAATATATGCGTTGCATTAGGTATCCATTAGATGTCCATTTGCACAAATAGTTTAAAGAATTAATGTAAATATATTAAATGGTTAGTTATATATAATATTAACGTTTGTTTCTTAATTATCGTAATTTTCGTCAAAGTTGTATATTCAATAAATTAAAAAACGTGCGTACACACATCTATTTTAACATATACATATGTATGTATGTAAGTATCTCGGTATACATATCTATAACTATTGAGCTGCCTTTTTAGAAAATCTTTGCCCTCTTAATCCAATATAATACTATTGAATTAAAAAATTTACTTTTGAAAGAACAAAGTTAAATCGGATTTGAAAACCATAGTTTACTGCAATATGGGACATGAGAAATGTTATAATAAGATCAAAAGCAATGTTATAACAAGATTTCAGACTCGTAATTTGTAGGCATGAATAAGGGGCTGAACTTTTCCATTTTTTTTATTATACATATTTAAGTTCTTCGACAAGTATTAAGAATATTTACATACAAACATATTTTAAATAAAGTCAGTCCGACTTCAGTTTCCGAATACACCCTTACTATGTTCGCTTTCATACAAGCTGTTATTACGTACATATTATGTATATTATGTTTTGTATAATCATGTGTAAAATTAATTTAAATTTATGTTTATTTCATTAACATCGAGAAATTAAAAGACACATACTTTTCGTGATAGTTTGGATAATATTTAAAACATTTGAATTATCTAAAATAATGTTTCCTATACAATATTAATATTAGAAAAATTACTATCAAAAACTAAATCTTTTGCTCAAAATCTGTAACGTTTCACTCTATGTACTTTAACATATTATTATTATGTACATACTTGAAATGAATAATGAATTTAATACGCATTCAAAATACATTAACTCTTGCTGTCAGGTTAAACTGGAATAAAATAAGAATAAAAACTTAAAAAATAATCCACTACAATATGCAGTTTTAAAAAGCGTTATAAAAAATAATGGTAGAAATCTACGTATAAAAAGTTTAACTTACTCACTATATTAGTTTTAAATCTTTAATCCATCGTGAATTATATGTAATGGTGTGTGTTAAAAATACATCACTTACATGTGCTTATTTTTTTGTTTCGTTTCAAATAAATTACTTTAAAAGTAATCACAACTGGTCCATCTTACGGGAATTACGTTATCCTAACAACCTAACCTAACATAAATCTCTAAAGAAAATATCTTTATCAATAAGGGATAATGATAGCATCTGGGCTCTATATTCTTAATTGAATATTTTGAAAGAACTTAATATTATAAGCATGTAAGATTTTGAAAACTTGTTGAATTTATTTTAATATACATATACATATTTATGTAAATATGTGTACATATGTCTTTGAAAATGCTTAAGTATAAATATCGATGTACATCTATGCGATGTGTATGTGTATATATGTATGAACATACGAAGCATTATAAAGCCTCTAACTTTAAATTTGCAATATCGTAGATATGAAACTAAGGGCGTTTTCGGTTATGCACGCTGCGCTGAAAGTCCAACATTAGAACTAAAATTTCTAAGTTGCAGCGTTAAACAGTACGCAAAAAATTTAGCTAACTTTTTTTGTTTACGCAGGCTATAAATTCTGAAACTTCTAAATAATCTCTCGTTAGAAAATAACATAAATGACATTGTTTATGAAATTGTATCCTAACTTTTTGCCTCCCAATTTGCTTCAAAATAAGAAAATTTTAACTAGATTTAAAAACTTAAAGAAAACTTACTTTAAAACCCTTTGATATCTGAATCTGCAATTTTAAAATTTAAATTTTTATTTGAATTTTAAATTAAAATAGAAAAAAAATTTTGTGAGTTAGCGACAAATTTCATACTAGAGGTGCGCTACATATTTAACATTTCTTTATTGCATAGTGAATTTCCGAACGCACTTTATTGCAGCCAGTAATTTCCGAACGATCTATATTTTAAGTGTGTGTAGTCTGTTTTTTCGAATATACTAGAAGTTAGAACTATTCTAGAACTGAATAAACGAAAACCCCCTTAGGCTTTAAAAATTAAAATACATGTCTTTCTTATAAAAAAGTATTAAGTTGGAAGTAATAAAAAAATACAAGTGCACCCTAAAGTTAATTTTATTAAATATTTGCTAAAAATGTTTTTGAAATAAACAAACACAAATAAGTGTATTTTTCTTTAATTACACCTATTATTTTCACATTGCTTTACTTTACTACGATCGCAAATAATATAATAAACAAACATATACATACATATGTATGTATGAATGGATTGATCTGTGCACAGCTTAAATCGTATTCGTAATTCTACACATAAGTATGTATAAGGTTGTAGAGTTCAAGCTTTCATTCTAAATTAAAATACTTAAGTTTTCAAATTTTTCACATTTTTCGTAAAAAAGTCGTTATATTTTTTTACAAGGGATTTTCGATAATTCAGTAATAACTTAGATATTAACATAGAACACGTGAGATAAATTCAAACTGAAAAATCTGCAAAACTAGCAAACTGTTATTGTTCGAAAATAACAATTTAAATTCAGCGTACTAACTGCATTATGAAAGTTGTTGAAGCGTATAGAAAATATTTTAAATACATAATATGTTTGTGCTCATCTGTTTATACAGTTTAGTCAGTCCATATAGATCATAGTCCAATAAGGGTCAGCTGGTAGATTTTTAGGGAAGAGGATTTGTAAAATACACATATACTTGTATCATAACTGCAGGAACTTCATTTATATCCTTTAACTGCTGGAGCACAGTTAAGGATGACTATTGTCATTTCCTTATTAATAATGTTTTTCCGATGCGATAAAATTGCATTTCTCGTAACGGAGGGATCTTTTTTTGGCAGTTTTTAATTACAACATTACAAAAAAAAATTATGTTTTGAAGATAATAAATAATATTAACAAAATTACTGTAAAAATGCATTTTAAAAAAATATTAAAATTAGAACAAAAATGAACAAAAAAAAAATCTAATAAGAATTAGCTTTGTGTTTTGGTAAAAACTGAAAACCATCTGGAACCTTTCCTAGCAACATTTCACTAATTTTTATCCAATCACTACAATTAGGCGAAGACATTAGAGTTTCAAGTTCATCCCGTCCACAATACTTTTGGGGCCTTTGATTAATTTTTTGGGGCGGATGTTCAATTAAATTGTATGGCACGTACCGATATAAAAAGGATAACCATTCTAACAAAAACCTCCTTGTTGTCTCAACTCCTCTAGTATCAGAACCCCAATGCTCAAGCCCATAATTTGTATAACGTTTTAATATCTCAAATCGGTCCGAACTTGTTATGTCGAAATGTTTTTGCTCTTTAATTTCCTTGAATATCCATGGTTTGATTAAGGCGCCTCTTCCTATCATTATTGAGGACACATGTGGAGCCAATTCTTTTTTTTCATTGTAATCTAAAAAATTTATTATGTCGCCATTTCCAATTACTGGAATATTAACTTTTTGAGCACACTCTTCGATATATTCCCAATTCGCCAATTTAGTATATCTTTGCTCCCTTGAGCGTCCATGTAAAGTTATGGCAGCTGCACCCCAATTTTCAAGTTTCGGTAACAATTCGTGAGCCACGCTTTTATCGGCATAAATACCGGTTCGGGTTTTCACTGTAAATGGTATATCTTCTAATAGTGTGCTGCAACTTCTGGTAATAGTTTCTAAAAGTTTAGTTCTTCTTATTAAAGCGCTACCCCCGCCAGACTTGTAAATCAAATCAATTGGGCAACCAATATTGAGATCAATAAAATCAACGTCAACATTCTCGCTAACAAGTTGAACTGACTGTGCTATTATTTGAGCAGAATTTCCACATACTTGCACACCAAAAATATCTTCGGATTCGTGACGTTTTGTCAATGCCCACTCTTGCGATAATCCTTTGACTAGAGGAACTGAACAAGCCATTTCGCCACATGTTATATCAGCACCATATTCTTTGCATATTCTCCTAAATGGTAAATTTCCTACTGTTGTAAGTGGACTTAAAAACAATTTGTTACGAAACTTCTCACTTTTGCATTTTCTTTTTTCGTCTTCAACGATGCATCCAACCAATTTATTTGTATCACGTACATTGTCTTTTTCTGAGTGATCTCCAACTGCCTGATCATCGTTTTTATCAAATACTTTTACTAAGCTTTTAGCTTTTGAAAAATCATAACTATATTTCCGCAATTTCACTTGAAGGTCACTAGTTAATCCATTTTTTGATCTAATATTTGAAGGTTCAACAAAGAATTCACTTTTTTTGTTGTTAAAGTTTTCATCTATGTGTGACTTTGAAAATCTACATGTAAGTCCTCTTGGACAAAACCCTTTAACTGAATAAACATAACAAACTTCGGAAATATCTTCTGGCTTATTTTTCATATATTCTTCTATATTATGGGAATAAACGCAATTTTTAAATTCGCAGATATCATTTGTTGGCCCATTAACATAAACTTTACATAAGGCGGTACTTCTATCTTCTTTGAATACAGGACGACTTTTGTTCATACCTTTGCTTTTTAATTTTTTAGGATGTTCCCGTTTTTGAATTTTGGTCTCTGTTGTGCCATTTGAATTCGCATCTAAATCTAAGCATCTTTTTAAACTTGTTTTTTCGTTTTCGTAAGATTCATTTTCTGAAAGAAATTGCTTTTTTATATAGCAAATGCCAGGATCCATCCTTATGAGGATAAATCTACAAAGATATAATTTAATTATGTATAACGAATTAAATTGCACAAATTATTACTTATCAAAATTTAGAATAATAGGAGCAGTATTTTGTTATTTAACAAAATTACCACGTGCAGTATTTACAAACAATAAACTTTTCGAACAAATAGTTGTCAAACTGATCTTAGAATGACAGAATGACAATCATGCGTGAGAACAATACAATTCTTGTCCTAACAATAGACGTATTAATCTTAGACTGGCAGTAAAAAAAAATATTTTTCGACCAAAATTTGAAAACAGTACTTTTCTAAAAACCATTTTTATTTTTGCGGTGGTAGGTATTTTGTAAGTCAACTTTAATAAACTATTACTCAAAAGGTACTGTTTACATATACAGCAAAATCTAAGATATAATATACGCCCAGGTTTGATTACTGTAATATGTATATCAAAGTGAAATTATCTCATTTTCGAAGAAAAATTTAACAATTTGTTACGAATTGTTAAATTTTAAATTAATAAGACGAAAATTATAAAAAAAACAATAAGTAACCTTGGTATTACCTATACTACTGCCATCACACTATAAGATTAAACCGTAAATTTTGCCGTTTCATTTATTATAATAATTCATGTTATATATTCATATAACAGTAAAAGAGACACTAAATTTAAGCATATGTATGTGCATACATATGTATTTAATGTAACTGAAAGTGTATTACGTATGAGGAAAATATAATATACATTTCATATATGAATATATAAATATGAAAATACATATATACATGCATGCGTATAAATTAGTGAATTTTGAAATTTTCCAAGAAAAAATTCAAATAAGGTCGATTTTTTTGAAATTGAATAAGGTCGATAAATCTAGAACTTACCAAAATTAATTACAGAAATACTTATATAACTCCTTCTTTAATTAAAAAATAACCTAAAGGATATGTATGTTTTTGACTAGATCCCGAGTAACAATTTGTAACCAATAATAACATTTAATATTAAAGTAATAAGGTACAATTACATAAAATATAATATATGTAGATAAATTTGAAATTACTTTACATATGTACAATGTACGACACGCAGAAATATTTAAATAAATATTAAAAATATTTATAACGAATAAAATATAAATTTTATTCGTTATACAACATTTTTTGATAGAAATTATTAAGGGAAATAAATTTATTAAAAGAAAAAAACCATTGATCGTGTTTTATTTTTAAATTTATAAACTAAGTTTTTTTAAAATTTAGCACGAAGCGACCTCGTGTTCGATCCCGTTTCTTGCTAAACTTAGTAAATTTTTGGTTAGAAATGGTGATATTTTATGTTAATCTCATAAGGCATAGGAAATTATTGTACAAAAATTAAAAGATACTGAAACAGTTTTGTTGCGGTAACTGTCGACTGAGCAATTACAACCACCGTGGGCACCGGTAACTTTTGAATTTTTGTTTTTTTTTTTTGCGAAAAAACGAATGAAATGTTATTCGGGATATACGTATGTATGTAAAATAACTTATGTATCCGACACATACACGCATCAATCATAATATGTGCACTTATCTAACATAACATAAAAAATTTGTGTTGGCTACAATAAACCTACTTTATATAATATAAAAATCGATTAAGTTTAATGAAAAATAATAATTTTAAAAAGCAAAGAAAAAAAAAAATAATTGATTGATGTATGCAAATAGGTAGCACCTTTTCATTCCTAGACACTAAGTCAAAACTCATTATCAAATTAATTTCATTTTCTTTTTTAATATTTAATAAAGTTAAAATAATTTAACATTGGAATATGTTTTTAAAACTACATAATAGTTTTAATTTCTTATTAGCTTGAACAAATATTCAAAATATGACGGATACTCAAAAAATGAATTCTATCGTTTTTAACATACCAATTTTTCTCATTATATTGAAAATATTCGGTTTTTCACCTTTTTCAGTTCATCACAAAATTCAGACTATTCTTAATTTTCATTCTATATTTTTAATAATTTTAATCACGTTTATTTTTATAATAGCATTTTTCGTTAAAAATGTTTTTGAAGATAGTAAATTGTCAAGTTTAGTTAGTGGTCTAGTATTTGTATCTCAAAGTGTTGCACATATTACAACTATAATTCAATCCATTCTAACAAAAGAAAAACAATTTCAAATTTTTACAAGTTATAACGAAATTGATAATGATTTTAAAACAAAATTAAATCGTACCGTGAATTTGCGAAATATTCGAGTTCATTTACTAAATAAAATATCAATAATTTTAACTATATTAATTCTAAATATGTTAATTTTAATTAATTTTATTATAGGAACGAATTTTAACACGGTTTACTGGTATTCCTTTTTTACAGTACAATCATTAAGATTACGTGTTATTCAATGTTTTTCATATATAATATTAGTAAATGAACGATTTGATATTTTAAATGAAATTTTATTAAATTTCATTAAAGAACAGTATAATTACAAAAAAAGAATTTTCACTATTGATAGTGTGAATTCTTTGATTGAAAACAATAATAATATGAAATCTAATAAAAATATAGAAACTATTTTGGCATTGAAGCATATTTATAATGGACTATGGGATACGGTTAATTTGATTAACGAATGCTTTGGTTGGTCATTACTATCTATTATTACATCGTATTTTTTGGATTTTACGAGTAATGCGTATTGGTTATTTATGGCAATTGAAAATATGGCAGAACCAGAAACGATATGGAAATGTTTGGGTACAATGCTACCGTTAATTTTAATTATAGGCTATTTGTCGTGGGGATGTCAAGAATGCTCAAATAAGGTATAAACTATAACATGAAATAATTTTTATAGATACCTACTTATGTATAAATTTTTATTTATTACACATAGGTGTACTTACTTTTTATAATCTACATATTTAAATTGTGTTTTTTTTTTATTTTCCTATACAAAATTTTGAGTAGTAAAATAATCGTTCTAACAGTATACTTATTTTATAATTTATAGAAGATAAATTTTTAATTTTGACCTGTACATAATTTTTTATTTGTAACGCGAATTTAGGCAAGTGTGATTCGAAAAAATATTCTTGAATTTTGTTGAAGATTAAAAAGTATAGAAGCCTCTTATTAAATTCATTACATTTTCAGAGCTCGGAATTCTTATGTCTTTATTAAATAAAAATAAATTATTTAAATAAAAATTTAAGGTTCGACCTAATTGTTTTTATTTTTGGTGTATTCTTTTCTTTTACAATATTTTTTTACGTATGATATTTATATTTCTTGTAATTTCTTGAAATGAAGCTAAAAAATTCAGTGTTCTAATTAAACATTAATAAAAATTTGAAAAAAAGATGTTTTAAAGTAAAAAATACAGTATATACATTCATATAAAGTTTCGCCAAAAAAGATACAAGTTTTTTTTTTCTAGGCCGACTATATTCCATATAATATGTAGAAAATTTGATGACAATATTAAGGCTTTTTTTTATAAATATAGGGAGAGCGGACAGGAAATTTAGTTAACAAATTGGAAAAAAGCAATGAAAACGAGAAATATAATGCTTTAATAAGTGAATTTTCTTTACAAATAATTCATGAGCCAATCTCTATAACAGCAAACGGATTTTTTAACATTAATTTTAACTTGTTGGGAAGTGTAAGAAGGAAATTTTTGTCTTATACATGCATACATACATAACTTTAACATGCTGTAATGTTTTTTAATGTAAAACTTTTGTTTATTTCAGATGGCTGCTGCTACTGTGACATATTTAGTAATTTTGATTCAATTTTTATTAAGTGAAAGAACAATGTAAAAAAAAAACAGTTGAACTCTTCTTTGGTAATGTTTTAAATTAAAATGCACGATGTCCATTAATTTACACTCAGGCGTACTGACAGACATACATACATACGTATGTAATTTTGGTTTTTACTAGCCTTTGTTATGTAAATACCATATTTATTCCAAATAATAAAAAATTTTAAAATAACAAATATGTTTGATTTGAAATAACATTTTCAAATAATCCTATCCATAATAAAACTGTTTGCACGTCCATATTTATTGTGTGTGACTAATCTGTTGGTACAAAATTTAATTTTAACATCAGGTTTGTATAATATCGATGCAAATCGCTACCGTTTCAATCGTTAATCGCTATTGCAGTTTAAAATTCTTATGGAGCTTTTACTTTCATTGTAAAATTTAAACTCTCGTATACAGTTTAAAAACGGCATTAAAATGATGTAAATATTATAATAGTTTTTATAATTGGCATTATATTTTATTTTCCTATTTTAACAAAAATACAATTCAGTATTGCCATATTATGATATTAATCAAATTCATTAAAAAAAATTATCAGCATGCCTGTTAATATACAAATTTAATTTATTAAATATATTACATTATGTAAATTGTACTTTTTAATGAAAATAAATAATGAAAAATATAAACTAATGATAAAATATAAAAATATGAAAGTATTGTACATATTTCAAAATTTGTTATCACTAAATAGCAAACCTGGTGTACCTAGTCATCTCTATTTTCTATAAACTAGTGTCAATAAATTTTTCATTGCAACTATCTCAAATGTTTAATTTTGTAATCGCTTACAACAACTTTGGTTTCGTTGCATTTTAAATGTTTTATAACGGTAGGCACATTTGAATACTTTTCTCTAACTAATTTTGGAAGATTTTCAACATTTGCATAATGCGTACTAGAACCATTTGAGTTCGTAAAAGTAATGCCACCACCTATGCTTGTTGGAATAACTGATAATTTTGTTGAATCATAGAATTGTATTTCCACAACTCCTTGCGACAACTAAATTAAAAACGACTTATCATTAAAAATCATAATCCTAAAAAAAATAATCAAAATATAAAACGATTTATACCTGTACTGCCCTTCCAATTCCTGGAATGTTCGAACTTTTGATTGGTATGTTTGAATTGAAAGGCTTCCGGCTTGTTGATACCGTTGACTGGAGAGATGACGATGCACTCATTGTAAAATCAATTGATGATATCTATATTTGATAAATTGAGTTAAAATGCTTTAAAAAATTATATGATAAAATTACGTCACGTGATTTGGGTGTTTGATATATATTTGAATTTTCTTTTACATTTCCAGATGATCCCCTTAGTTCCACATATGTTTTCCTACCAATAATTACAGGAAAGCACGCTCCAGTCCCGGGTATTTGACTTAAAACTCTTTCGATATATTTGCAGTGATTAAAACACGTGTTATACTGTTTAAGTAACCGTTTTATATCAGGATTATGTATATGCGTATAATCAATATTAAAGTCCAATCCATGCTCATCAGTTAATTTTATTACATCATTTTCTGATCGTATTATCTTAGCACCATTGCAAAAAAACATCTCAAAAGTTTCCAAATTTTCCATAAGCTGACATTTGGCTTCAGAATTGTAGAAAGTTACTTTTGGAGTTTTTCTTTTGACGAGATTTACAAATCGTGCAGCATAAATGTATTTTTTCCAATGCTTTGATGGTAATTCATTGTAGTTATAAGTTTCTTTTGTACCATTTGAAAATGATTTCGGAGGAGGTTTATCCAACACAGGTATACCCCTTAAAACAATACGTATATTTAGTTTGCAAGAAAATAATCTTGTATATGAACTATATTTATATAATACTTTATTATACAATTTTAATAGCAATTTATTCAAATGAAATATAGATTCACTACCTTCCTTCGTTCGGTTGATAAATAATTATCCTCATTCCATCACTTGATATCCAGCAAACATCTATTACCCTTTCTTCATGAATGTTACGTTTATATTTCAAAAATTCAATAACAACTTCACCGTCCTCTGTTATACTCATAACAGCATTTTTAGTTTTATGCCTTGTTTGCTGCAGTCGTTCTGTTGATAAATGTGGAACTGGTATTTTCGCCTCAAAGTTTTCTTTAAGTCCTCTAAAAGCTGGACCACTTATTAAAAAATTATGATTATCTATTTGATCAGCATCAGAAACCTTGTTGTCATGATTTATTTCACATAGATTTTTTTTAAACAAGTTATCTTCACATAGAACTTGAATATTATCCAACTGGTTTTCATATTTCTTTAATAAGAATGATAAAAAAATTCCTGAAACAGTCATAAAAATCATAAATATTTAAACTTACATGGAAAAGGTTCTCCTTATATTCCTCTTCTTTAAATGTAAATAATTTGTGATTTATACTATTGCTACTGTAACCATCGTCAAGAATACTTTTTTGATATTTTACGTCTTCTAAGAACTTATAGGAGTTTTGTGAAGAATTACTGTTAGGAATATCAAATAAAAGTTTAGAACTCTGTTCTGTACAAAACTGATGATCCATTGTTTGTTTCGTTGTAGTGCAACATTCATTATGCAATGAATTAAGAATGAAATCTTGGGTCTCTTTTTTGTCCTGATGAAGTTGGTGATCCAACCCAAAACTTGGATGGATATGTCTTGGGTGAACTTCTTTCTCGTTTCTATAATCGCCTTTTAAGTCCCCGAATCTGTCTGCTGATCTGGACCTAGTAGAGCGATGACTTCTTTCTAAGATACAGAATTTTTAATTAAATTAAAAAATTGTTATTTACAAAAAATTAAATACGTACCACTGGAGAAAGTATTGATTCCACTATCACTCAAAGCTACGGAATTTTTGAAAGTGTCACAGCTTTGAAGTTTTTGATGCTTTAAAAAAAAGGGGTGACGCAGTACATGTTCTAATTTAATTCTTTCAGCAGGGTTCTTCTTTAAAAACTTGTCAATTAAATCTCGAGCTTCATTTGATAAAAAGTTCGGAATATCGTATTCGGCTAAAACAACCTTATTTAACGTGGACTTTATTCCTTCAGTATCAAACGGAGGTCGGCCAACAAGTAAAGTGTAAAACATACAACCTAAGCCCCAAATGTCGGCTGGCAAGCTATGTGATGATCTTGATGCAACTTCTGGTGAGATGTAATTTGGGGTACCACACATTGTCATATGCTTTTCGTCAGGTCGTGCAAGCTGTGTGGCTAATCCAAAATCAGCAATTTTTACTTGCATGTCTTTAGTAAGAAGTAAATTAGATAATGACATATCTCTATGTAATATTTTATGAGAATGCAAATAGAGAAGACCAGAAACAACCTGCTGCATAATTTCGGCAGCTTCAGACTCTGTTAAGACCTTTTTATGATCTTTTAAAAATCGCTGTAGCTCGCCGTTATGAGCTAATTCCAGAACTAAATAAACGTGATTGAAATCCTCAAAAAATGTGTAAAGCTCCAAAATAGAAGAATGTTTCAGTCGAGAGTGTATTGATACTTCCTGACGTACACGATCTACCATGCCAGCTGCTTGCATCAGTTTTTTGTTGATCTATTTTCATGAAAAGAATGAAATTGTGTGCAACATACATGGGTTATTAAATTATTTTTTACCATTTTTATAGCAACGAACAGATTAGTATTTTTGCATCTTGCTTTGTAAACACAAGCAAAGCCTCCCTTACCAAGCAAGTTTAAAATTTCATATTCCTTAAAATTTACAAAATTAGTTATCTATTTAATATAAAAAATATAAAAGCAAAGGTTTATAAACCTCTATCGTTTCACCAAAGGAGTCTTTAAAAGACATTATTATAATTTAGAGCTTTAAAGTTTGGAAATAATACTTTGAAACAACTTTTTTTCATTAAAAAATAAATAAATAATAATTAGGTTGTTTACGAGCTATTACATTACCCAGTAAACTGTCAACCGACCAATTTTAAAAGAAAATAGCATTTAACGAAACAACTCGTTCAATAATTATATTAGCATTCCACCGGTTACATTTTGTGACATTTGCCAGTTTACGGTCACTTTGGAACAAAAGGATAAATTTTTCAAATTTAAGTTTAGAAAGAACAAAATTTTTTATTGCACTCTTTTTCAATAAAAATAAAATTACATTTGTTGTATTTTTGAAAATTTCATTTGAAAATAAACACATTTTTTGTTATTGTGTAACTACGATTATTCATTCTTCAAACTAATTTAATTAGTATAATAATTTTATCTCAATTAATTATTTAATTAATTCTTATTAAGCTTATTTAATTAAGCTTATTTAATTATCTTATTCTTAATTCTTTTTGTAATTCTTAATTAACTATGTTGTCCATATCCATTTCAAAAAGAAAATTTATATTACCATTAAAATTTTTAATTACCATTGAAAAATAAACGAAATAAAACTATATCCTTATACAAAACATCTCTGTAGAATTTGTAGCAATAACTTGACATGAAAAAAAAATTAAACAAAAAGTTTTTTGTACGCGTTTTAAAAGTGATGCGTGTTTGTCGTGTATTTCGCGTGCTGTAATTTAAAAACTTGCTAAAATATTTTGACATAAAGTATATGCGACATGCATTTTTTTAGGACGAAATATCAGCTGTTTTTCGTTGTATACTGCAACGTTTACATTAATATTATTAGACTGAATAAATTAAACATCGAATAACAAAATTTTATATTTTCACTTATATGTATTCAATTTTCTATTTTTCGCTGAGTTGTGTTCAATTCGGAAAAAAGAAGAACCAATACAAATTTTAAAAATATTAGGAATCAGTTATGCTGGCACAATTTGTATGTTCGACATAATCTAACCTCAAATATGACCTCAAAATTAGAAATTACTCTATTCTATTACTACATATATGTTGTTCAATTCTTCTCTAAACTCAAAATAAGAGCATCTAGTTCATTTTTTGAAGAAAATAAAAAATATTTTGCTAACAAATTTATATTCGATAATTTGTAATAAAAGAGATTTGAAAGAAGTTTTTTATTTCCGAGTTTCCTCTTTAAATAAAACTCAAATTTTCTTCGAAAACAAGCATTTTCTTGCAAAAATTTAATAAATTTCCGGAAACAAACAAACGTATTCTAAAAAACTTCAAAAATTGTTTAATAGCTATTTTGACAAACGAAATTTTCAATCATCTCTTTCTTGCTAGTAACTTTACTATATAATAGTTCTATACATAAAACTTAAAAATAGATACATATTAATACATATCTCTATAAAAATTTGACATAGCTTGAGTATTGCCAAATTTTAAAATTTTTCTTCCATATTTGTTATGCTTGTGTAATCCCAATTATTTATTAAAAATATTATCCTATATTAATAATTAAGAAAAAACTTAACACATGGAAAAAAAATTTATAAACTTTTTATTTGTGATTAATATAAATTTCATTGAAATCCTTTTCTTCTCTATTCAATTTTCTGGAAGAATGGCAAGACTGTAGATGACATTTTATACTTTTGATTGATTTTGATCGTGACCATACGAATTATACAGCACGGCATCCATCGCAGAAATTGCATATTACTCGTAATATAAAAAGAAATTCTGTTCATATATGATTAAAAATCTTTTTATTTTCATGTAAAATATAAGAAAAGCTACCTTTTCTTAAAATGTAATGTTTTTTCATTAGAAAGATTTTCAATTATGCACTACACAAATGTATCAATAAGTAATAATAATTACGTTATAATGCTGAAATAGTCAAAGATATCGCAATATAACTATAAAAATAAAAAAAAATTGATCAGATTACAATGAGGTAAAAAAGAAAAAATTTAACTTTAAAAAAGATTTTATTAAGACAATGAATTTTGTGCGAATAATACGAAAGTGAATTTTAAAGAATTTTTGGGTAAATATAAAAGTTGTTCGACTGACGAAAAAAAAATTGCCCTCATTTAGAACAAATGTCTAGTGTGTCGGTAGTACATATTGGAAAGTGTGTGATTAAATATCGAATTCAATGAAAAAGTGCCAAAAAAATATTGTTTTAAATATATTAAAACTTTAAAAAATTTATTTGAAAAGAGTTTTGATAATACGAGTTTTATATTTACATTAAATAAAATTCATTTTTTGTAAATAAAAAAGCTGAATTCAATTTTTGATTTATTTGAATTGAAAACTGGAACTCTGAATAGGTATGTAAAGGTTTCAACAAGGTAAAAAATTATAAAAATTTTAAATCAAAATTATTTTATTTTGATATCATTATTTTGTGTTTTTTTTAAAGGAAACTTTGGTAAACTCCAAAATTTAAACAGTTTCTTAACATTAAGGACTAATTTATAGTTATGTCATTTACCACATAGATTTTTTCATTGAAAGTTTCAATCGTAATTAAATCGAAGAGGTATGTTAAAACAAATTCATCACTTTGTGAATTGTTACTTTGTTTGATGACTTGTGTAAAAAACTTAATTTTCTTTATTTTAGATTGAAAATTTTAAGCAAAATTACAATTAAAAAATAATGGATAAATATAATAGAAATCATAAAAACTTACAAAGGAATATTAAAAAATCAAAGAAGTTTAAAAGAAATCGCGACATACCACCACCACCAATACATCCAATTGTTGAATATTCTGATGTTAGTTCAGAAGACTTTTCTGATCCAGAAGCGGGTGAAATACATACTGAAGAAAGTGACACAGCCTTAGAAAGACTATCAAATCGTTCGAATTTGATGACAGCAAATATTAATAATCCTAATAATATGACAGGACATCATAATATGGGTTCTTCTACGTCAACGATTGTGCAAAATTCATTTTCACAAATTAGTAATAGTACAGGATCTTGTAATATAACATTACGAAGAACACCATCAAGTTTACAGGAAAATGAAGATGATGAAGAAGAACAACATTTTGACGAAAATAGCATTGCGAAAATGTCACCTAGTGAGATACGTAGAATCATTGGAGTAGTAGGATCTCCCATAAATTCTTCATCAAACTCATCTACATTGCAAAGTGGGGAAAGAATTATTATTGGAGCACAATACAAATCAAATAAGTCTATCCAAATTTTGAACGAAAAAAGTGTTATTAGTTTAAGCACAAACAAAAGTATTGAAAGAAACAATAGAAATATAAATATTGCTGGAAATGGTAACATTATAAACAATAAAGGTTCTAGTCTGACAAATAGTGCAGATCATTCCAGTAATGCTGACATGTCTAGTGGAAATGGATGCATGCTAGATGATGATTTCAGTATTTCTGAAGCCAGCATTGATTTAGACGATGAGGATGAAGAAGAATTAGAAGAAATCAGCCGAAAGCGTAAAAAAAGAAAGAAGGACAAAAAAATGAAACATAAAAAAAAGAAATCAAAAAAGAGCAAGAAAAAGCGACAAAAATCAATTTCAAGCATCGAAAGCATATCTGATAACGATTCAATTTTAGATCAAAATTTTACTCCGCCCCCTTTAAGCAAAAGAATGAGTTGTGGTCCTAAGTCTCCATCATATTCTACTTATACTCCAACTAAAGACGTGAGTCCAGTTTCTATTGGTACGCCTCCTCCTCCACTGCGGCCCAATAGTAATATAAGTTATTATCAAGAATCTTCTTCAATAGGCGGTGGTAGTAGCTCTTCTCATCATCACCGAAGTGCAAATAGTGTTAGTAATGTTGGAGGTATAGGGCGGCCCACAACGCCGCCTTTACATATGCATTCGCACCATATGCATCATCATAGGACACCACCAATGAGAAATCTAATTGCATCTGGTGGTAATAATCAATCCGTTGGTGGAGGAAAATTGCGAGGCAGTTATGGTATTGCTTCTCCTCATACGCCTCCCCCTCCTATGGGTCACCACAGTGGATCAGCAGGAAAAAGTTCCAAAAGTTACCTAAGTCCTATTAATGATCATTACACACGACATTCTTTAGGAGGAGGGTCGGGTGTAACGTCGACATCTCGTCACCATGGAAATCATGGAAGCAGTAGCAGCAATAATAACTCACACTATCATCACACGCAAGTTGAAATTGGTAATTCAAGTAGGCGTGTTAATCCTGAGCCGATTTCTCCTGGTATTATTTAAAATTCATAACAAATTAATTTAACATACAAACTTTTTTTGTAGATCGTAGCAGTTATCATCAAAATTCGCCGCCACATAAACGTCGAAAAAGGGATATGACTTACGAGAGAGTAGAACAATCTTCATCTAAATATCACTATACTAGTAGCAAAAGGGAAAAGGAATATCGCAGCAGTGGTTATGATAAGTACAAAGAACCTAAACATTCTCGACGTTATTCAAGGTATATTGCAAAAGCAATTTTATTTAATTAAAGTATTTTTCTGCTAGTTTAATTAAAAATATTATTGCTAAGATTTTTCTTATCGAAAATATTGTGTAGTTGAACCAAAAAAATGAATATCAGTAGATGAACTGAATCTTCAGTCTATCGATATCTTCTATAGGTTTTTCGTGAAACAAACAATTTATATATTTTTAAAAACATACGAAATCTAATTAATTTGTTGCATTTAATTTATACTCAATCATAAAAATTTCTTAAATAATGTAACAACATTTAAGTAAATTGGTTTTGATTCACAAAAATATGTTATATATCGTATAAATAATTACTTGTTCAATGTATTTAAAATCATATTTCGTTTAAGATAAAAGAAATTTGTTTTTGTATATTGAATTGAAACATATTTAGAAAATCCCAAATCGGCTTTTTTATGTTTGTTTTACTAAGTAAAAAGAGTTTTGAGTTTAAAGTGTAAAAAAATCATAATGTTATCTTCTAACTTACAGGAGTCCAAGTTCGAGCAATTCTCATCGAAAAAGATCTAAATCTAAATCAAAGCATAGTAAACGTCAGCATATCATAAGTAGCACATCACCAGATCACCGTTCAAAATCAGGCAAACGAATTTCCCGCAGTAGGTCGCCACGTTCACGTTATTCAAGTAATTTAATATCACCATCCCCACCACCGTCACGGTATCGGAGGTCGAAAAGTTATTCACCAACTACTCCACCGGCAAATAATAGTAGCTGCAGTGCAGAAATGAAGAAAAAGCGATTAGAATATAATAAAAAAATCAGTGAAACAAGCTTATTTGCTGAGTTAGTCAAAGACAAACATAAAAGAGAAAAAGCTCTGCAAGTAAATTTTTTCATTATTATTAGTGGATTGATTCTTTTTAAATCTTGAAAATTCGATTTATTTTTAGGAAATTCTTGAGAAACAAGAAGAAAGCAATAGCAATGGTCCTAGCAATACCGAAAACAATTCAATTCATGGTGATCTGATTGATTTAACAGGTTCAAAAGCTACAATACCGACCTTAGTTAATGGTTTAAATATAAATGAATCATCTGAAAACCCCAAAACTGAATCATCCGAAATTATTAATGTTCATATTTCAAGCCAAGTGAACGAGGATAAATCTGAAACAAGTAACCCGCAAATCACATCTAATATCGAGAGCCTTAAAGATGTGACTGATTCATCATTTTCCACCACAATTAAAATATCCACAAATATTGTGGATTATCCAAATTGTGCTGGTACTAATAGTTCAAACATAAATATAAATAACAATAGCAAAGTTGTACATTCTGTAGAAAATAATAATAATGAAACCAAAGCAAAAATTTTGAAAGGTAGTCTTACAACTTTACCTATGCCACCAGGTGTAAATGTAGAAGACTTTGTTAATGCGCCTACACCAAGTCCTCCTCATCAAGATGATGATTTTAAAGAAAATGCAAAAGAAATTTTGTCAAAAGTTAGTTCAATAGCAATTAATAACAATATATCAACGAATCCAGCAAAAAAAGGTCTCTTAAATTTACCAATGCCGCCTGTGGTACCAGGCGGAGAAGATTTAAGTGGCGACGATTATGAATTCATTGGTAGTCCAGATGATTTAGGCCAATCCAGCGGAGTGAAAAGTAATGATTGCAAATCAATTGTTTGTAGCGGCAACAACAGCGCAAACAACAAGCAAAATACATCTGCAATGATTAGGAAAAAGCGACCAACAATTTTAAACAGGCGATCATCAAGAGCTGCTGTACGCGATTGGGGAGAAAGGTGTGTAGATGTTTTTGAAGTAATTGCCCAGATTGGTGAAGGTACTTACGGCCAGGTAAGAAATTTTGAAAATTTGTGGTTATTTTATAAAATGCAAGTATGTTTATTATGTAAAAAAATAGGTGTACAAGGCTCGTGACAATCATACGAATGAAATGGTTGCTTTAAAAAAAGTGCGTTTAGAGCATGAAAAGGAAGGCTTTCCTATTACAGCTGTGCGTGAGATAAAAATTTTACGTCAACTTAATCACAAAAATATTGTTAATTTGCGGGAGATCGTTACCGATAAACAAGATGCCTTAGAATTTCGAAAGGATAAAGGTTCCTTTTATTTAGTTTTCGAATATATGGACCATGATTTGATGGGTCTATTGGAATCTGGTATGGTTGACTTCACAGAAGATAACAATGCCAGTATAATGCGTCAGTTATTAGATGGACTAAACTATTGTCACAGAAAAAATTTTTTGCATAGAGATATTAAATGCTCAAATATATTAATGAACAACAAGTAAGTTTGAAAAAATTGCGAACTAATTTAACCTTAAAGTAAATATTTTTACTCACATTCTTTGACATAAGAATGTGAGTAAAAATATTTACTTTAATCTAAGCTTATATGTATAATTATTGTAAGAGCTTTAATTAAAAATGAATAACTTTTATATTTTTTAGGGGTGAAGTTAAATTAGCTGACTTTGGATTAGCCCGCCTTTATAACGCTGAAGACAGAGAACGGCCATATACTAATAAAGTTATCACATTATGGTATAGGCCACCCGAACTTTTATTGGGTGAAGAACGTTATGGACCATCAATAGATGTTTGGAGTTGTGGTTGCATATTAGGTGAATTATTTTTGAAAAGACCATTGTTCCAAGCGAATGCTGAAATGGCACAATTAGAAACAATATCCAAAGTATGTGGTACACCTGTGCCTGCAGTTTGGCCAAATATTATTAAATTACCGTTATTCCATACATTAAAACCTAAAAAACAATACCGAAGGCGTTTGAGGGAAGATTTTGATTTTATGCCAAATTCAGCATTAGATTTGTTAGATAAAATGCTAGATTTGGATCCAGATAAAAGAATAACAGCAGAAGACGCTTTAAAATCTCCATGGCTTAAAAATGTTCGACCTGAAGAGTGAGTTAATGAAATCACATTAGCTTTTAAACATAAACTTACATTTTTGAATTATTTTATTTATTTATTTTAATAGAATGCCTATTCCAAAATTGCCAACGTGGCAAGATTGTCATGAATTATGGAGTAAGAAAAGGCGACGTTTATTAAGGGAACAAGAATCAGCTAGTGCAGTCGTTGGTAGTGTCAACAATAACTAATTGAAAATTAATAATTAATATTAATTTAAACTCTAAGTTAAGAATTATAATTATTATTATAAAACAAACAAAAAAAAACTAAAAAAAAAGTGATATGGATTCCATAATAAGACAAAAGAAAAATAATAAATAAAGATTTAAAAACTCTTTATAAAAAATTTTTCCACAAGCAAAAGGAGTAATCAATTTTGTTTAAGAATTTCTTCTTTTTTTATTTCTTTTGATAAATCTAGAGGTAATATACTTTAGCTATAAAATAGTTTTATTCTCTATATAAATAAATTATAACAGAAATATATTTGAAAAAAGAAAAAAAAATTGAAAAACAAAAATTATTTTTTTTTCCCTTATAATGCGACATTTCAATGTAAAAATTAAAAAAGTAAAAGGTATAGCTTAAAAAATTAAAAAAAATTAAAATATTCCCATTTGACTTACAATCTTTTAAACTACTGAAGTTTTAATTAAAAAATTTAGGACTTTTTATTCAAATAAATTCATAAGCTATTAAATCAGTTGTAGTAATTTTAGCACTAACAAAAACTTAAAAATCAACACACATATAATATGGATCAATTGCAATTTTACCACATGGAGAGAGACGGCCAATCAAGTAAAAATTTTAAATTTGCGTATGGTGTTCAAAAATTTTTTACTGTTTTATCCATATAAATTTGAGGTAGTTTATTTAAATAAACATTAAGATAATTTTATGCGAGTTTTATTTCTTAATTATTTTTTAATAATCCTCTTAAATAGTGTTTGTTTTTTTTTCTTTTTTGCTGTTTTTGTTATAATTTATAAAACAATTCAATTGTATAAAAATATGAAACTAATAATTGAATTATATTAAGAAACACAAACAAAAACTTTAAAATAAAAAAAAAAAAAAAACAGATTTCATGAATAATTTAGTTTTGTTATTAAATTATTTAAAATTTATATTTACTTATATGATTATGTATTGAAAATAGAGCAATAAATTTTTAGTTATTTATAGAGAATAAATAAACTAGAAAAACATGTAATAATTCTTTTCAAAATTTTATAAAACTAATAAAAAAAAATTAAGTTTTTTGTTTCAATAACTTCTGAAATAACTTAGTGATATTATTCGAAATTCTTTGGTAGGAAATTTTAGATATTTAAATAGAAAGACGAAAATTGATAAAAAAAAATCGAATTGTTTTAATAAACTGACTTACAAGAGAATTTACTTTTCAAAATAAAATTTATACTAGTGCACGTAAAAGCCATAAGTAGTCCTTTATGAAAATTTTAAGGAGCATCACGTTCATAAAATTTAAAAAGAAAAAGATTTTCTAAAAATATTTTTCATAGCTGTTTAACGGGGTTAAATCTAACATTTCAATATTATGAAATTCAAAAAAAATATTTTATAATTTCAAAATTACAAACCTTGTATATAATTCCAAAAAGAATTACATATTTTAATTCGATTACCTTATCATTTTAATTCCTTTTTTAAAAATTATAATTTTATTTTTTGTATTGGACAATGAATATCTAAAAAAATTCACATATTTTCTAATTACTTATATCTGCTTTCAAATGGAAAACAAACCTTTGTAAAAAATCTTATTTGTATTTAGTGATATAAAGCTATATTTATCATTATAAAAAATTAACTAAAAATTAATTCATTATAAATGGAGACCACATAGTAATTTTCCAGGTTTAACAAAAATTCCTTTATGATAAAATATAAACACTTGTATATGCATTATTAGACCGAGGGTTTCGAAATAATCAGTATTCTTATTTTCTTAAAAAAAAAAATTGATTTATCATATTTTTTTTTTGATTTAATAACAAAATCATTAAAACTAGGAGAAAAGTAAGTGCTAATTTGATATTCGAGCGAGACTGAAAAACTTTCAAAAAATAAATAAAACAATAACAGACAAAAAAATTAATGCATTCAAATTTCCATTTTAGTTAGGACGGTTTAGGAAAACTTAAATAAATAGTTAAACATAAAAAAAAAAATATAATCTTTAATTTTAAAAAATACATGAAAAATGTATAACTTAGGTAAAAAAATTTAAATTCATACATAAATATTTTTAATTTTTGTTTTGTTCAAAAATTAATAATATTATTTCAAAATTTCTTAAAAAATTACATATAAAAAAATATAATAAATATAAAAGAACATAAACAATATTGTATATACATAAATTCATACGCAATACACATGTATGTAAATGAAACAGGAACTAAATCTTGTATAATAAATTTGTAGAATTGTATAAAATAAATCTTAGAAATAAATTCAATAAAAAATGAATTAAAAATACACAAAATAATTATGTTTGAAACTTAATGAAATTTCATATTAAATTAATTTACTTTAGCAGTATAAGTAAATAATACAAAAATTATATTTATAAACTAAAATCAAAAAAAAAAAAAATTATAAATACCATTTAAATAAAAATTAAAAGAAAAGTAATTACGTAAAAATATAAAATATATTTTATTTTTTTCTTTTACTCGTACCATCTTCAGTATTTGTAGACGCAGATATTTCATAACTAAAATTAAAACTTTTAATAGATCCACCATTATAAAAGTGAATGGCCTGTAATGAAAACCAACGAAGTATTTAATCTCTGACGAAAAAAATGAACTTCTTAAATTAAGCAAAATTCACTCATTACGATACAAATAAATACATATACATATTTAACAATCAAAAATATTTATTTTCATTTATTAGTATAATATGTACATATTACAAATATTATATTTTGCGTAAATTATCGTAACTTTCTCATTAAACGATAATATGCAGATGAGTTACCTTTATTTTGTAAAAAATTGTAATTTTTGTTCCGATATTGATTTGTTAGCGTTTGATGATGTAGTAGATTATGAACATCATAGACAGAGTTATAATATCCCATATCAATGTTTCTTATGTAATTGTTACCAAAACCAATTGTTGTCATTAAATTTAACAAGATGTTTAATGAAATTGAATTTGAAATCGATAATAAACTTAATATAGTATTTAATTCATATAATTCGGGATGTTTATTGATTGTAGAATGAGAATAAGTATTGCCGCCATATAAAATGCTTTTTTCTTCAGAACTACTTTCTTTTAAACTGTTCTGCTTTTGATCAAATTGTTCCTTTGAAATATAGTTTGATTGATTGCCACCGATGTGATATAACTTCTGATCCAAATTTATTGGATTCTCCCCGACAAGTGACCATGCACAAAAAATTTTATTTGGAAATAGAGTGAAAATAAATAAAATGCCTAAAATTAAACTAGATAAATTTCTATTATTCATCGTTGTTTTTTTTTTTCCTGCTTGGAAAATAAATTTTTTCGTTTTTTAGCATTCGTTATTTAAACAATTACTACCTGAATATCCAATTTTACATGTTATTTTTATATTTTAATGCTAGTGAAAAAGAAAATAGAAATCAATTATCGTATTCATTGAAGATGTCATCATAATAACGAATTCTATAATTTTTGCATCAAATTGAAATGGTTTTATTTTAAAATTTTTAACAAATAGAAAGTTTAATACTTATAATGAACCTTCTAGATCAATAGAAATAATAGAAGTAATTCGTGAAAAAATTTAATATAAGTAACATGTATTCACATTTTGATAATGTGTGGAAAAGAATAAGAACAATGAAATGTGTATTTTTACAAATCAAACTTGTTTTCGAAGACTATTGTTTCATAATCATAGACCTAATACTATTAAAAGAGAAATCTTTAATCATTTTCTTATTTCAACCCCCTAATTTGTGCATACACGTATATTTATGCATGTATATGTATTTTCTAGTTTTTTCAGATCATTTTCCAAATTTATAATAATAATTTTAGTGCAATCTAAATATTTACATTAGTGAAGTTGAAATAAAACACAAATCATACAATATCTACGAAAATACTGGTCTAACGTTAATTTATGTTATTTAGCCATTGAAATTGTATTGCTGAATAAATCAAATTGATGCTAGGTCTGGATTTTCGTAGATGCCCATGTATACATAATAAGAAAAAAGAAGACCATAAACTACTATAAAAGACATTGAGCCATTAAAAACAACTAATTTATATGAAATGAATAAAATATATTAACATTAAGCATACTTGTTTAGTATTAAAAATATTTTTTTTTTTTAATTTTTCTTATGTATGTTTTATATGTATATAACGTACTGTCTTATGTAATTTTACATTTTTTTTTTATTTTATGCTTATTTCATGTAAAAAACCTTAATTTATCTTATTTATATTTTATTTACATCGGCATCAAAATTCGACCATTAGTGATATTGATTAGGGCCATGTTTTTATATTATAATCAAAAACTTTTTATTTTATTTCATTTTATATTCTTTTTGAAATCATTTGAATTTAATTTTTGTTAAATTTTGTTATTATGAACATTTTTTGATTATTCTATTTTCTAATATGTCTGATTTTGATAACAATGTAAATTAATATGTTGTAAAAAATTTTTTGTATTAAAAATATGGACTTACATTTATAATATACGTTTGCAAAATTATTTTAATTTCATTATTTTTGTTTTTTCTTTATATTATAAAAATACATATTATCAATTTACTTGTATGTAATTTCTAAAAATTGGAATGATTTGTAAAAATATTCAATTTGGTAAATTAACTTGTATAAACTAAATAACTAATTTTTGGAGTTTTAATTTTCAAGTTTGAAAAAACAAATTTGGTAGAGTTTTAATTTCAAGAATAAAATAAAAAAAGTTCCTTTTCATATTTTTTATATTATTATTTAAAATTGGTAATACTTTTTATTGTGATGAATTTTTTATTAAAGCCTTTTTTGAAAGCAAAATTTTTTATAGCAGTTTATTAAATGACAAAAATCGTATATATGTGAAAATGAATTCATTCAACATATAAAGTCAATTTGAATATATTTAAAAATAGAAAAAAAAAAAGAATTATGTTAACTAAAGGGTACAAGTAAAATTATATTATTTATACATAAAATTATTTAATTTCAATTTGTACTAAATAGAAAAGTTTTCTTTTACGAGTAGAATTTTATATTGACTGAAATTTTTTATTGGAAAATTAAAAATTGGAAACTGATCTATGTATGTGCATATACATACATTGTAATTCACCAACATAAATTAATTATAGTCAATTTGAATTGTACAATAAATTTTCAATCTAGTTATGTTACAACTATATTTGCGCCTTTTTTGCAATCAAACACAAAAAAAAAAAATGAACTGATACAAAATATAATCCAATCAATAATTTGCTTAAACAACCAAGCAAAATGATTATGAACAGGTAAATTCATATCTTATGTAAATATTATTAAATCACGCAATCATCTGTTCTTGCAGTTAAAATTTTTTACATTTTATAAAAAGATTTTTAAATGTTTTCAATTTTTTTAGTTTTCCTTACATGAACGCAAATTTGAATGTTTAATTATGCTATATTTTATAATATAATTTACATTTTCATTGGTGTGATGCTTATTCCAAAATAATTATAAAAATATAATACATGAAAATTCTATCAAAAAAATTAATGATTTTTTATTAAAAACGAATAAATATTTTCAGTTCTTTTTTAAGATCATTAAAAAAAATTGAAAAATATTACAATTATTCACACTTTTGTGTGTTTATTTACATTTAAATAAGTTTGCGACTAAAAAAGAAATTTCAATGTAAAATTAATATTCAGTGAAATAGAATTTTATATTTCATTTTTAATTTTACAATTTCATTTAAAAAATTTGCAATTTCTATAATGAAACCATTGCTTAATTTATATTTTAAAATTAATAAATATCCATTTTATTTACATACAATAGATATTCATTTATGATAATGAAATAACTCAAAGAATCGCTACTTCAAATATCTAATAATGGAATATGTCAACATTGTTTGATTCATATTTAAACTATATTTTAATATTAAGCGATAATGTATATTTTAAAGTTCGACTTTTATTTGTTTAGCTCTTTTTAAAACATTTGAAATTTTCGAATTCATCCAATAAAATTGAAATACAATTTCGATTTTATAATATTTTTTTTTACACTGGAATTTTTTTTCCTAAATATGACACCTGCTTTATATTGGCGTACATAATACTTAAAAGGTAATATTTTAAGTATTTTTTAATTTGGTTTATATACTAAATTTTGTTACGATTTACATTATAACTATAGTAAATAGTATAACGTAATATTGTAATTTTTAATTTGAATGTGCGTATTGAATACGAAATAATCTTAGTTCTTTTTTTTTCTCATTATTTGTTTATAATCAAAATTAATGAACACTTAACAAGTCTAATACATAGAACTTCATATTATTTCCAAAAATAATTATTAAAAATTTTATGTTGTAAATGTGTTGTTTAAAACACAACAAGTAAATTCTATAAGTAAATAAATATTAAGGTATACATGTAAAATATATATATATATTATGTATGTACTAAGATTGGCTTATAATTTTACTTTAATAATTTTATTATGTAAAATCGTACATAAAAAAAATTGTGTCATATGTATGTATATAAATATAAAGGATACTTTTTATTTATATTAAGAGATAATCAAAGTTATTGCACATCACAAATAATAATAATTTATTTCCAGCTACTTTCGAAATATTGAAAACAGATGAGCCAAGTTCTTATGAAACAGCCCAACTGACCATGCAATAACATTGATCAGCAATGCATCGAAAAGCACCACTTAAAGTTTATATTAACTATAAGTTTACAATTTTAATTATTTGAATCGTTATTTTTTAGGCCTAAATTTATAAAAATATTTTTGATATTTTTAATTATTTTTTGTATACATACATATATGTTGGTTTATATATTATATAATATATTATGAATTGCTTCAAATAAATAATTGATGCAATTTAAAAGATAATTTATATTGTTACGTAAAAATGGTTAATTAATCTCTTAAAGTAATTATGGAATGTCTCTTAATTTCCGAAAAATAAATTTCTTTATTTAAGCAAAATTAAAATTATTTATGCAAAATAAAAACAAATCATGTAACACTTTGAACTAATATTATGCATACGTGAAAAATTTAAGTTTGAAATTTGTTTTTTAAATTTTGATGTTGGAAATGAAAGAGATTTAATAAAAAACAAAAAAATGAGATATTAAAAATGCTTGGCACATGTTACAAAAAGCGAATAATAATTAGATTACATTATAATTAATTTTCACGATTTTCTATCAGAATATGATAACCTAGATTTAATTTAGATATCAAAAATTTAGATTTAATTAAAAAATATCATAGAAAATGAAATTTAACTTAGTTTAACTCAAATAAATAAATTACTTGAAATTTGAATTAATTTCAAATTGCTAAAATCACTCGAAATTTAAATTTATCTAAATTGAGCAGAAAATTTGGTATTAAAAATATGTTCGTTTCGTTTATAAATACATATTTTAAAAGAAATTTTTTAGTGGTACATTTATGATAAATCTTTTTTGTTTCGACTTAATAGCACTAATTAACAAATATAGTACAAAATTAATTTATAGTCTTATTTCTTTCTTAAAAATAATCTTCGCCATGTCCTAGAATCTATCCTTCGATGACGCGCTGTATTCAATTTCATTTAAGACATGTAAGTCATCTAATTCTTGAAATTTTTCGTGATCCCTAATATGCGCATAATTAGCTGACAAGCACATCAAATAATGAATCAGACTTAAAATCACTAAAAGTGCTGATAAAGTCGCCAATACAAACATAGCTTCTGCATTCTCAACTGAATCTTTACAAAATGCTTTAATCTCATAGTTCTCACATATTTTCAATTCCTCTTGTTTCGTATTTGAGGGGAACATAAAATCTAAAAGTAATAAGTAGATTAAATTTTGTTAAAAAAGAAAGTGAATTATGAATTGTCAATACAATAAAAATAGATTTGATTAATCACTTACGAAACTGAGTTAAATCAATACAAGTTCGAGACTTTTCAACGCTGGAACACAGATTCCAAAACATTGTGTATATAAAAGTGACGATAATCAAAAAAGCTAAAATCAACATCCAAATAAAATTCAAAAAATACGTTATACCAATGAGCTAAAAAAAAATTTTTTTAAATGATTAACACAAATGTATTTATAATTAAGTTACATACCACAGCACATGATATTCTTCCTCCAACTCTTGATTTTGTTCCTCTATAAACTTTATGTCTTGTTGCACCAGTTGCTAGAAATCCAACGAAAAGGATAAGAAATCCAAGAGCACCCATAGTGGCAGCTGTTATTACAAAAACCATTTGCACTGCTTCAATCCTTTTCAAATCAATTAATTTTAAGTAGAAAAAAAACGAAAAGCTAAAAATAAACTCACCATAATAATCGTATATGAAAAACCTGATCCAACATAATAATCGTTAATGTAGCCCCTCTATACATTGTTCCACAAAAAATGCCTCCCCCAAGAAGGCACATTAGAGTTGCAATCACGGTAGCATGTGGAACCCTCGTAATAAATGATTGAAAACATTCACCTGATTCATTAAAACATTTTATAAAATATATTTGAAATTATAAACGCTTCTCTTATTCTTATACTATCAAAGCATTTTGAAAATAAGCAACATAATAAACACATAATAATAATAATTGTGTAACATAAAAGTAATAATCACAATATATTTGTTTAATATAACTCTATTTTAAATCTTAAACACTAAACCTAAAGAATAATTACATAGGCTAAAAATGTGTAAGAAAAATAATTGAATCAGTTCTGTAACATAAAAAAAAATTATTTGAAATACACACACACATACATATATGTAATTTTTTAAAATTTTTACTTATGTTTTTAACATTTCTTGCCAGATTATCAAAGCGTCACATTAATTCATATATAAAAGGTCAATAATGGTTTATGATTGCAGTTAATATAGATCAATTAATCATAATTGACTATAATTAAAATAAATTTTTTTAATGCATTTAAACGGGCTTATATAGATAGATTTAATTGCATAGGAATGGAATTGTGCAATTGTGATTAAATGTTAAAACTTAAATTTTGTAAACAAAAAATTCCAAATGAAAAAATACCAAGTTTTTCCTAAAGGATGATAAATTTGCATATTTTTGTAGTTACTCAATTTAATAAATGCTTAGAAGTTTTTGACAATATTATTATTATTATTATTATTTACAAGAAACAAAACAAAGCATATAGCAAACATAACGCCTAAGTATAATTGTAACAACAGATTTTTCATTGTTGTAAAATACTTCACCTTGTTTAGGAAGTCCGTGAAGGGTGTGATCTGAATATCTATCCAAGGAATTATCTGAACGAAAAATACTTCTTCTTTTATTTGAAGGTAGAGGATTATTTGCATAGGCTTTTGTCAAAATTCCATCATCATCAAAATTTGTTTCAAGCAATATTTCTTCACGAAGATCAGCCCTTTTGTCGCGTTGAAAGCTTCCACCATTTTTCAACATTTTACCAGTTTCTTCTTCGATATTATACATAATTTAATATATTAACCTTTAAAACTGCCTACAAACATTTAGAAATCCTACGTTATCCTACCATACGCTTAAGTTATTAGAAATATCGAAAACAAAATAAAATGAATGAATCATTCTACATCTGTACAGAATACCAAGATTATTGTCGTGAGTAAAATGCAAAATACAATTGAACACTTTTTGAATTAAAGTTTATAGTTTTAGGCTCTTTATCAAAATGACAAATTTATGTGTGTTACATACATATGTAAGACTGTATCTTCTTTCTTATCACTTATAAATCATAAACAAGTGTGTCGTTGTCGTTCCATTCATCTGAAACCACTGTACATACTATTAAAATAGTTAATAATGTGTCTTATACATATCCATACCATTTCTTGCATCTTTGCAGTTTACCATGTTTTTATGTTTTCATATATAATATTAATAATATACGCAAATATTACACATATATTTCGTATAGGTAACATGTAGCTTATCTATAAAAGTAACGATTAATCGAGCTTTGAAAATGCATTACCCATGAAGTGTCGCAGTATCAGAGTAATTAAAGATTTTTCTATTTTTTAAAACAATACCTAATAAGTTAGAAAAGATCCAAGTATATACATACCCAACCTATAATAATTTCAATTTTTTTTTTTGTCGACCCACACTATGCATATTATACACACGTTCTAATGAGCGGCTCTGATAGTAACTTTAAATTTTGCAACGGAAATAACGGTATAATATTACTTAAAAAGTTATTGCAAAAACTTTAAATAGTTGATACAAATTTTAACCGAAAATAGTGGCATATTTGCTGATTTGTATTCGTTTTGTAATTTTACAAAAAGTCAATTCCAATTTTCGAGAATTATATACCTACATTGATTTTATATTGCGAAAAAATTTGGAATAGTCAGCACATAACCGATCGCAATGCGTATTATTACATTATATTATAAAAATGTCTGTTAAATACTTCTTTCCACTTTTTAGGACATTAGTAAGCTAATAGTTAACATACCTAGAAAAATGTAAATTTGGCTCTTAGAAGAATTTCGCTTTGTGCTACCCGAATTCCCTGAAAAGCTCGCTAGTTAATTTCGGTAACAACTAGAACTCAAATACCAAATTTCAAGAAACACCATCAATCCGTTCCGTAGATATAATAAAAATTGTAAAATCAGGCCGCAGATCAGTTTTCGAGCCCTCATCTTTCCAAAAAATTGAAAAAATTATATGTTCATTGTTTTAGTACGAAGAATTCAAATATTAAATTTCAATGAAATAATTCAAATTCGGTTGATTATTTATCTTTATATACGCAAAAATGTATAAATTGCCCGTAGTAAACGTCCAGTTGCTAACACCTGATTTCTTCCAAAAGTTATGAGGTTTCGCAGACGGTCGAGCGGAGCTTATATATAAAATTTCAAGTAAATTGGTTGAATATTTTCTTCAAAATGGTCAAAAATGTAAAACAGACCTGCTAAAAAGTGCAGTTCCCGAGGCCTGATATATCCCAAAACTTGATCAATCCGTGCCATGGTCGAAATAAACTTACATATAAAATTTCATCGAAATCGGTTCAGCCGAACTTGAGATACACACAGACCGAAAGACCGACAGGTTGCTAAAAATAGTTTACTTACACTTCCTTACAATGGAGAAGTGCATTCCAACCGAAAACTCCATATGCAAAATTTGTTGCCATCACCTAACATACGTATTGTATATTTGTATACACAATACGGTCGGTAAATATTGAGTAATCAAAATTTTATATCTAAAGCAAAGTATTATAGTTTCCTAATAAATGACAAGTACTTTAAGCGACAGAAATACATACTTATATAGTCTCTCTAATACTGCATTGCTACACTACATATTATATGAACTAATTTAAATAAACTTATTTAAGTAAATTTTACTATATTCAAGTAAATTTTTCTAATTTTTCTTTTAAAACATGCCAAATTATTAATTAGGTTTTTACAAAAATAATTTTCAAACTCAAAATAAAATAAATTTATTTGAATAATTCAATTATTTAGTTTTTGACTTACCCATAGCTTAGGCCAATAATTCTTTTGTTCTTCTGCTTCACTTTTTTTATTTTTTGTTTTATATTGCTAAAACGTGAATTTTAACCTTATTTTAAGTGGCTCGATTTATATAGTATGTAAATATAATAGTTTTATTTATTTATAAATGTATTAAACAGTTTTAATAATCAAAAATTAAAACTTTTATAAATTTGTATACCTTTTGTTTTATAAAGTCGATTCTTAATTTCACTTTCTGACAGTAGAAAAAATGGTTCAGCATCAATTTTGACATTTAACTTCATAAACAGTGTTGGATATAATTTGAACCAAGATGTTTACATTTATTTTACACAAAAAAATTTCCCTAAAGATTTTTCTTTTGGCAAATGTATCATAAAACAAAACAAGTCTAGAAATAAATTTTCGATACAAATTATTCTTAAATGTATCGGCGATTCGGTAATTTCGGCGAAGGGATCCTATTATCGAATTAAGCATTTAATATGAATCATGTAAAGAATGATTTTTACTCAACTCAACCTCCTAAAATCGCAACAAATTTTAGATAGTTGAAATAATAATGGATTTCCACTTAATATCCGGAATAAATTGTGCTCTTTAAAAACCCAGCTAATCGCCTTGAAAATTTGTAAAAAATTTAGTTTGCGCCATATTTTTGTCGTCAATAAAGTCTAATTTAGCATTCCTTAAAAAATTTTTAACATTTTTTTGCATAGACTTTATATGGAAAAAAAAAATTATGTGTAAGTAATATCCATAATCCGAAAAATTTACGAAGATGTTCAGTTCACAAAAAAAAATTTAAAATTTAAAGGGAATACATAAAGCAAGAAGGAGTACCGTAGTACGAGTACCAAATAGGAATACAAATACTCGGATCGGAGCGGAACGGCAGTCATGCGTCAAACTAAATCGTAAATTTTGTAGAATAAGTAGGAGAAATACGTTAGGCTGGTCTTGTCATCTTTAAAATTACCACATTTGACATTTTCATTTCATCTCCCCATCCTTACTCTTAAAGGTTAAAGCTGTTATTCACATGTTATTTTTTTTAATAATTTCTGAAATTAAGATAAATTGAATATTATAAATTGTTAAATTTGGAAGATTTTGCAAATATTGTTTTTATACAAAACTATGGGATCAAAACGTGAAGTAGAAAGAGAAGTATTTTTAAACCTTAATTTATTTGATTGAAAATTGTAAACAGTTTATTCTTTAAGGATTTTAGAAATGATTTTCTCGTTAAAATTTATGATGAGGTTTATTCAGATAATTTAGCAAATGACTCTGGAGATGATTCTTCATCAGATTATTCTGATGAAAATGTTAATTTTGAGGAAACCGACAATTTCAATAAAAAGAAAATAGATGTGTCCAAAATAAAGTCATCTGAAAGAAGAAACAAGCAAGAAGAAAGCAAAAAACTATCTTCATTTCAGCCCAAGGGACAATTGTTTAAACAATTTGAAGATAAAATAAATTTCGGGTTCCACGATCACTACGAAAATTTTAATAGAGCTGCAAATGAATTAAAAGCGTTTGATCGAAAGAAAGAAACAAATCGTGTTCGGAATAAAGATAAACATGATAGAGCTACAGCAGAACAAGTAATGGATCCCCGTACTCGAATGATATTGTTTAAACTATTGAATCGTGGGATTATTACGGAAATTAATGGTTGCATATCAACAGGAAAAGAAGCAAATGTTTACCACTGTATCACAAAATCTGATGAGGAATATGCCATAAAAATTTATAAAACATCTATTCTTATATTTAAGGATAGAGACAAATACGTTACGGGTGAATTTCGATTTCGTCATGGATATAGTCGACACAATCCAAGAAAAATGGTTCAAACTTGGGCTGAAAAAGAAATGAGAAATTTATTGAGACTATGTAATAACAACATTCCATGTCCTAAACCTATAATTTTGCGAAGTCATGTTCTTGTTATGGAATTTATTGGAAAAAATGGCTGGCCTGCACCGAAATTAAAAGATATTAATGTTAACATTGATAAATTCGGTGAACTATATAGAGATTGTGTTGTAATAATGTGGAAAATTTATAACTTGTGCAAATTAGTACATGCAGATTTATCAGAATATAATATTTTATATTATAACAGTACATTGATTATAATTGATGTCAGTCAATCCGTTGAGCATGATCATCCTTCAGCGCTAGAGTTTCTTAAAAAAGATTGTATTAATATTAACGACTTTTTCAAAAAAAAAGGAGTGGGAACTATGACAGTTAAGGCGTTATTTGAATTTATCACAAACCCTTTGATTACGATTCAAAATATAAATGAACATTTAGATGCGATAGCGAAAAATATTGAAACAGAAAAAGAAAGTAATTTTTCGAAAGAGGTGGATGAAAAAGTTTTTGAAAATATTTTCATTCCAAAACGATTGGATGAGGTGAGTATTACGGTTTTAATGTTTGTAAGTGCATGACTTATTCAAGTTATTTTCAGGTTAAAACTACCGCAAATATTGATTCTGGAATTGAAATTACATCCATAATAAATAAAATGGTTAATTTATCAACTAATAATAACATGCCAAAGTCTGGCGACACATCAGCATTTTGTGATACAGATCAGAGTGAATTAGAAAGTGACAATGATGAAACAGAAAATAATGATGACACAAGTCAAAATGAGAAAAAGTTCAAGAGTAGCGCGCGACCACGGGATGAGTCTCCCAACAGTAAAAAAGCAAGAAAACAAAAGGTGAAAGAAATTCAAGCAGAAAAAAGGAAGACAAAAATAAAGAAGCATTTAAAACGTAAAAGTTGCTCTAGTAATAAATGAAATAAAGTCATAATTTATATCATTCAATTGATTTGATCTTACAAATAATGAGGTGTTAACTATGTATGTATGTATGTATGTATATGAATCGTTTTGCGATGTCATAGGGTGTAATCGGGAAGTAATCGATGCACCATCAAAGTGTAATCTAATCATGTGAAAATTACACTAAGTCCTCGAGATACGACATTTTTGGTTCCAGAAATTTATGTCGTAACTCGAATTGTCGTTTGAGGAGGGAAAAAATTGTATGGAAACAAAAAGTGAACTAGACAAACTGTTTTATAAAACAAGTGATCTTTTTTTTTTAAAAAAGGTAACAAAGTTTGAAAAAAACAACAAAATATAATAACAAAACCAAAAAAATTCAATTTTGTAATAAAAATAAATAAAACAAAATCTGATTAAGTTGATATTTTATCACTTCAATTCATAATCTTAACTACTAACTAGAATTTTTAACAAAAAAGAATTCATTATTGAAGTATGTGCTTTAGTTTTGTCTTATAACTAGATTCTGTATAGATTTTTATTCAAAAAACAGTAAAATTTGTCAAAAAAAAACAATTTTTTTTTTAAATTTTCAATATCGTATTAGGAACAATGTCGTAAGCCGAATAAAAATTATCCAAATTTATATCATGTCGTAACTCGAAAAGTCGTATTAGAAGATGTCGTATCTCGAGGACTTAGTGTATGTGCGAAAATGCATCAATGCGGTAATACTTTAAGTTTGGTGTCAACGAATGTCAAAAATACGCATCATATTAAATCAGCTGTGCATCAATTTTTTTTGTAATTTTGTGTTAATACTTATTATTTTAACTCAATAACTAATACAGTTAATTATTTCGTTATGCACGGTATTAATATTTTTAAATATTCCATTATATTAAAATTTCCGAAACTTAAAAAATTTTGATAGATTTTCAGTTGTTAATTATTATAATACGTTAACACAAAATAAACGCTAAAAAAACATGTTTTAGAAAGTTCATCGGCTTTTTTTCGCATTGCGTTGATGCACATTTTTGATTACTTTCGTATTATACCCATACATTTTTTATGTCCCGTCTTTTTTTTATGAAACCTCTTAAGACGAACAAACGGATGGAAAGTAAAGTAAATAGCGTAGTTGTGACACCTTCAAACCGTATGTAGATACAATTTATTATGTGCTTTTGTGCAGATTTTCGTCATAAGAGGTTAAATTTATTGTCATGTACTTTGAGTGACAGTCTAAACAAAAAGAGCAGAAACTAATGCCTTTAGATCGAGAACTTAGTTGGTACCTCGACTCGTATTTTTGTTCCATTTTTACATTGTTTCTAATAGCATATGCATGTACACAAATTACGTAAGTAGGTGGGTGAGTCCTATTATTTTCGATAGAATTAGAAAACTCAATTATATTTTTTCTGCCTATCAAATGGAAATAACCCTATAAGTGTCCACAGAAATTAAATAAATGAAGATTTTATGACAATGAAAAAGTTAAAGATATGTATGTATTTGTGCAAAATATCAAGTCCAGCTCTTTGGGTTCTTGTATTAGTCTTTAACAGCAGACTGACAGACGAACATAGCTAGACCAATTTAGAATTTGTTTCTAAGAAAAATAAACATTGATGTGTCTTGTCGCAAAAATCTTATTCTTGGACAATGGACACGAATTGCATGAAAAAATATGTTACCATGTGGCAACCGCAACGTATATAATATACATGGGGCTCGAATTTCTAATCGAGTTTTTTTTTTAATTAAAAGGTTTCTGTTCCGGGTATCAATAAATGAGGAGGATATCGTAACATAAAAGTTTTAGAATACCTAACCTTTCGAGATACGACATTTTCCAATACGGCATGATCTGAATTCGGCCATTTTTAATTTTTTTTTGACATATTATATTGATTTTTGAATAAAAATCTATATCGAATTTAGTTAAACGATGGGTCTAAAGCAACTATTTGAACAATTATTTTAGTTAAAAATACTAGTCAGTAGTTAAAAATACGTGAAATGATATATTAACGGTGATGCATGTAAGTGTTATCAAATAAATAACATTTTATTTTATTTGTTTTTGTAAAAAAACTAAATTTTTAGGTTTCGTCATGATATTTTATTGATTTGATACTTTTTTTTAAAAAACATGTGAATTATAATAAAAATATAGTTTACCTAATTCACTTTTTGTGACAATTTTTCCTCCTTAGCGACAATTCGAGTAACGATTTTTAGTATTTGCTGTATATAAGAGTCATTGTATGAATTTGCGTGTGTTTACAATAAAATTATCATACTTTTTACGATAAACATCAAAACTACTTAGTGATTCGATAATAAAATTAAGCCGTAATATAAAATGGTTTGCAATGCACTGAAAATGCGCAACATATAAAAGTTTCTTAAAAAATGTCATGTATGTTATGCTTATATGACGACTTTTGTATAATGGTTGATATAAATTTCGTATATTTTAACATATATTTGTAAAAATAATAATCTTTACCACGTGAGTGTGTTTTTTTCATTAAGAATCATTATTTTATGTGTTGACAAGTCGGATTAATTTGAACTTTAATATATACATACATACTTTGTCGCTATCTTTTAATTTTTATCTTGTGAAGAGACCTGTTGTTTCCTTACACAGGGAATGAAACGAATATGCCAACTAATTGATGCAGGAGACGTCGTTCAAACAAATTTAATATTTAAATGAATAAATTTTCTCTTTGATAATTATATATATTGAAACGTAAAAAAAAACTAATTTCAATTTTTTATTATTTTTGATGTTTATACTAACGACCACGATAAAAATGCTTTGAAACGTAAGGCTTTTGCTGTAGTAGAAATTCATAAGTACTGATTTTGGTGGAATTTGACAGGTTACACTTTCGAAATAAATTCTATGTTTCGTATGTTTCGAATGTTGTGTGTGTATGTACCCAATTTCTTATTTCCATTTTTTCGTCTATTTTTATTAATTTCATAATTTTCTTCACATGCATCACATCCGACATCTTATGTATTTTCACGTTATTTAAACATTTTTTACGTAAAAAACACTCCCTTTGGTTTAGGCGGTGAGAAGATTAGTTTGCAGCACTGGTGTATTATTTTGATTTCACTCTGTTCCTTTCAAAATATACTATTAATTGGCAGAAAGCTGAAAGTCAGAAATAATTTTTTTTTTTAATAAAACTTTCTGTATTTAAAATTTTTATGGTGAGTAAAATTTTAGCTTTCCATAATTTATTTTGGTGTACTTATATAGGTTTATGGAAAAAATAATTACAAAAATTTTAATTTTAAAAATTTTGAGCTAAATTTGGATTTTGGAAATTAGTAGGTATAAAGAATTTTTGTGAAACAAAATAAAACAGTTTGTTAAGTTTTTTAAAGAATTTTATTTTGGCCTATCGTTTTTTTATGTTATAATAGACAATTAAACATAGTTTGTAAAAAAAAATGATTTGAATTATATAAACCAGGTGTTTATTATTAGAGTATGACAAAAAATTTTTTGCGAAGTTTACGTATTTTGACGTTAAATTTTTATAATTTTTTATACGCCCCGTGTAGCATATTATACAAAAAACTAAAGCTTCAGACAATATTTTTTTTCATAAAAGAAAAGTTTAGCTGCTTATTTCAAACTTATCTTTTAAAATTTAGATCATATTGTTATCTTAAATTTATAACCTTGAAAAAAATATGCAATAATCATTAAAAACTGCTAGTTTTAAAAAAGCAATTACTATATGTACATATTTTCAATTTAGGGTGGTTTTTTACCTTAGAAACCAAAACAAATTATCTAGATGGTCTCTGGGCAAATTTAATAAGCTGTTCCTAAAAAGTTTCTGCATTATTTAGAAGACAATAGCAATTCGAAACAGAAAAAAGGATAATACGAAAATTTTTTTTTTATTTTGCTGCTGCCAAGTTCGTAAAATACCTAAATAAGCAATAAAAATGGCTACAAGGTCACCTATTGTTTGTCGTTTTTATACAAGAGGAATATGTCGCTTTGGTGATTTATGCCGATTTTCCCATCCTGGAGAAGTTACTGACGGGATAAGTACCGATGAAGATCGAGCAATATCAATTTTAGCTACAACATCAACTTCAAATCAATTTGATGAAAATCAACAAGCACAAGCCTTGCAACCTCTACAAAACACAAATCAGCAAAATGATTGGGCAATGGCACCAGTATTCGTACCAAAAAATCAAAGTTCGCAACATGCTAATAATATAGATTTTTGTGATTCAAATCTAAATAAAAATTTTGGCACACATTCCTATGCAGAAATCGCAGGTGGAAGTAATGGTAATGCAAAAGTATACAGTGAAGAAGTAATGTGCCCATTTGCAATCAGCTGTCCTTATGGAAATTATTGTTCCATGATTCACGGGGAATTATGCGATATGTGCGGGCATTATTGCTTACATCCAACCGATAAAGTACAAAGAAAAAAGCATATTAATGAATGTCTTCAGCAACATGAAAAGGATATGGAATTATCATTTGCAATTGCAAGATCTAAAAATAAAACTTGCGGAATATGTTTTGATATTATTATGGAGAAAAATGGAAAGGAAAAACGCTTTGGAATATTACCAAATTGCAATCATATATTTTGCTTAGAGTGTATACGCAAATGGCGACAAGCGAAACAATTTGAAAATAAAATAACAAGGTATCTATTGTAAACTCGAAAGCACATATTTGTATTTTAATAAATGTAAACTTTAGGTCATGTCCAGAATGCCGAATTTCTTCAGATTTTGTGTGTCCGAGTGCCTTTTGGGTCGAAAATAAAGATGACAAAGATAAGGTGATAAACGAATATAAAAATGCGCTTGGTGACAAAGACTGCAAATATTTCAATAAAGTACGTTGTATTGTATTGTGTTGTGTATACATTTTGCATATAGGGTGATTAAGAAATAAATAGGAACCTACATATGTATAAGGTTGTGGATACATAAATCCTGTGGGGAGCTGTTTTATTAGAGTCGGGCATGGTTTAATAGAATTTCGTTGAATTTCAATTTTCTTAAATTTTTTACTTTTAAACGTAATTAAAAAATAGTGTCTCATAAAAGGAGAACTAAACAAAACTTTGAAGGATTTAATGCCGAATTTTTTTTACGCTATGTGATTTCAGAATGTTAGACATTAGAAATTAATGTGACTTTTTATAAGGAAAATTTTCTAAAGAGTTTTATTGAAGGGCAATAAAATATATTTTCAATTCATTTTAATGCCATTTAACATTTTTTTAAACTATAATTCTTAAAGTTTTATTTAAATAAATTGTACTTATTTCTAAATTACCTTGTATTGTTAACGTGCAATAACAAATTTTGTATAAACAAGTTTATTGAATATTTATTTTTTAAATATTTTGAAGGGCGAAGGAAAATGCCCCTTTGGAAACAAATGCTTCTACAAGCACGCTCTCCCAAATGGTATAAAAGTCGATGTCGGTGTTCCACAAAAGAGAAAAGTATATCATCATTTGGGTCTTATGGAGATTTTTTCAGATGTAAGTAACTAGTTAAATATTTGTAAAATGCAGTTTTAATGAAATAATAGTGCAAATTAAAGTAATTTCAAAGGTTTTTGAATATATTATAAATTTTATAACCAGTGAGTTGATCAAAGTGGCTTTCTTCACATAAAATTTTGTATGACAGCCATTTCTTGAAAATCACTGACTTATTCAGCAAAAACTTTAAAAATACTATTTTAATTTTTATTTTACAGTTTTCATTTTATGAACTCATTACAAATCGTGATGTTCCATCTCTAATTGAGTATTGGTCAAATTTTGAAATAGATTCAAGTGATGACTCAGATTGGCCAGATGAAACGAATTAATTATTTTTTTAAAATTTAAAATCGAAATTCAGATATATTTTTGCTTTAGAAGTAATCAAACAATATTTTCGAATATATGTACATAAAACTAAAATTAAGTATACATGTATCTGTAAAATTAATGCCTCTTGTGATCATTTTTATAGGTATTAGCTTTCACATTTATTATTTGTTGTTATATCAGCAGCAGTAATTTTAGTGAAGCATAATGCTAAATAAGGTCGCAGATGAACATTTTAATAGTTGGTTGGTTCTAGTAAGAGTGAAAAAATTGTTTATCACTTAAAATCCACGGTTTTATCTTGTCTTATTTGCTAAAATGAGGAAGTTTCACAATCATTTTTCGGTTAATTACGTTATTAAATATATAAAGAGCGATATTATAATTTCCTATATAGTAAAGTCAAGCCTCCTTATTTTCACTTTTCTGGATGGATACAGGAATTTTCCTTTTATTTAATAAAATATCACACTCTGAAATAGTTATTTGAATGTAAATAATTTATTGTTTGTTCTTGAACTTATTTTTTGTACAATTTATTTCTCTTTGTATGAAATGTAAAAGTTAGAAAACTGTGAGAAGATATAATTGCCTTTAAATAAATCATTTTCAAGATTTTATAATGAGCTAGGCAAAAGTTGATTGTTGAAAAAAATTAAGAAAAAAATTGTAAAATATTCTGGTAATCCGGATATTTCTATAATGAATTGTGGTTTTTAAAATTACGTGAAAATATTAAATGAAATATTGGACATTTTCTTTTGAAATTATTTTGAAATTCTTATCAATCTTATATCTATTTCTCATTTTCATATAGAATGTGTCTCCTAAAGTTTTGTGTCGACAGACTTAGTTTAAAGTTAATTTTATTGTTGTACATTTGAAATGACAGAATTTTTTTGTGCTATAACTAACAATATCTTTCATTTTGCTGACCTAATTATCTTCTACAAGTGCGCTGTGAAAAAAAATACGATAAAGTAAGAATTCACAACAAAATTGTATAAATTTTTATAGTATGTTAGATTGAAAATCATTTAAGTTTTTACTAGCTTTTGTATAGAATGAAGGCACTAAAGTTGAAAAATGGTTTTAAGAAATCTTTTCTTTTAAATAAATTCAAATATAAATCACATTTTATTAAAGAAATTATAACTTGTTTTGAACTCAATAATTGAATTTTTTGTTAAATTTAATGCAGTATTTGTAATTAAAATAATAATTAATTATAATATACGAATGTCGTCATTCATTTACTTCTTTTTAACTCTATATTCGATTGTTTTTTCCAAATTGAAGAAAAATCATTTTAAGGTAAACTGTTTGCGTTTGTTTAATATAAAAATTAAATTAATCATATATTGTTAAAAGGGTTTGTAGTGTTAAACAGAATATTCATTATTATGTTGATTTGTACTTTTTTTTAATTCATTTAAACCAAACTAGTTTATATTAATTTGCAAAAAAACAAAAAAGAAGAATTAAATATTTTTCAAAATTATTTCTTTGTACTTTGTAATTAAAAGTAGTTTTTTAAAAATTTGTTCTTAAATAATTTACTGTAATATTATAAAAAGTTACGTGATAAAATATACATACATAATTGTTATATACAATTCAAAAGTATAAATAATAGATATTTACATATTTGATGAACACATAATATATTGGTTTTACATAAGTAATTATATATATTTATACAAATTAATAATCAATATAACTATGCTTAAATCTATATAAAATACCAAAAAAAAAAAAAACAAAACAAAAAAACGTTATTATGAAAACACTATTATTTTTATAAAATATGAAAATGGAATTGTTATAAATTTAGCTTACACTATGTTCAGAGTCTTCTTAAATTCAAAATCAATTTAAGAGGTTGCTTTGTAGTTCAATTTATTGTAAAATAATTAAAAATACTGTCATATTAAATTATTATAGAATTATATGGTTTTTGAAATTCATCTGATTTTATAAAATTCCAGTTTGATTGCTTCTTTTCTTTTGTAATTAGCTGTACTGCTGAAAGGGTTTCATTATTAATAAAATATTTAAAATTAAGTCAATTGAAATAACTTTTCCATTTTCATTTAAAATTATCATTTAATTTTTTAAACATTTTCATACGCTTTATACCTTAGAAACGATATAGATATTTATTAAGTATTAAAAAATAACAAAACAAAAAATGCATAATTCATTTATATGTAATTATTATTTATAAGTAAAATAAAAAGAAAAATAAAACAATTTTAGAAGACCAGAGTTTAAATAATTAATTATTGTAGAATATTAGATCGGAAATGGAAATTTTATTAACTTAAATTTATTTTAAGAAATTGTTACAACTTGTTTCATTAAATTTTGTAATTGTAATTTAATTGAATCATGTACTATTTAGGTATTTACTTTTCCATATTGAAAATTTATTGATCTAATTACATAAATATATTCTCGAGAGTATCTTGATCTGAATATTGGCAACTTGTAAAAAACAAATAATTTTTTTTTTAATTTTATTGTTTTAAATGTTAATCCCACCTAAAAATAGAAACCCATCCGTTTTGAATGATCTTCTAGTTAAATTGATAAAGGCAATATTTATTATTCATTACTGATTAAATTAATGTTTGTCATTATTTATATATGTTTTAATGTAATATTACTGTAATTTGTTAAAAAAATGCGTATATATTACATCTTCCAATATGGTTAAGTAATACTTTTTTTCAAAATAAATTTTCAACTCTATTAAGAAACACAACAAAAAAATTAAAAATTTTTGGGTTTTAAAAAATGAAATAAATAATTGAGCAATGTTTGGATACATTGATTAATAAGAAATTCTGAAATTGTTTTAAAAATAATGAATTCTATTCGATCAGCTTAATATAAATATGATTTTTATAAGTAATATTTCAAGTAACTTAAAATTTTTAATCAAAATTAGACATTTTCTTTTTTCGTACTGTACACTTTTTACAGTACACATTTGAATTTTTTTCTATTGGTAACAAAATTTTATATAATTTGATTTTTAAATTTTTATAACTATTATTTTGTCATTTAATTTTTTTTTTACCTATTTTTTCATAATATACTTATTTACATAGTTACTTTATATTTTGATATATAATTTTACATAACTTTTTGTTTTTTTAATTAATACATAATTCATATTACATAAATAAAAAGGTTGAATATTATATAATAAAAATCTGTGAAATGAAATAAAATATAATCATTATTTTTAAAAAATAAACATTGTACCTATTTATTTTATTTTATAATATTTATCATTATTTGAAGTGAGTTCAATGAACAATTGAATTATTGGTCCTGAAACTATTAATGAAAATTTTATAATTTTATATAATAGGAGAAAAAATTGCATAGGTTTTTCTTTGTTTAGAACATCTTTGGGTTTTATCACGTCATTTTCAAATATTTTTTCAAATATTGAATTATTTTAATTTTTAAATAATATATTATTAAGTTAGTTATTTTGAACAAAAAATGATCATATAAATTGTTTTTGATCAATACTCAATCAATATTATAATTATTTTCGTTTATAATAATGATAATGTTAAATTTTTTTTTTTAAATTTCATAAAGCATTAAAATTGGTAAAGAAATTTTGAATAAGTTTAAATAGAGGTAAATATTAATAATAACAAATTAAAAATAAAAAATACTATGTTCTTAGAAACTAATTTTACAATATAAATGAATGGTATTGAAGAATTTTGCTTTATGAATTTTTGTTAATTTTTCTTATTATTAAACTTAAAATTAAATATTTATATCCTGTCGGTTTTTCTTATCCAATTAAGATATAATTACGTATTATATAATATTTTAAATGTTACGTTTCGGTAAGGGACTTATAAAGAATCGGATATGACTTTTTTAAATGCTCATAATTTTTTTTCACATTTTAATATATTATATTTTATATAACCAAAAATTTGAATTAATATCTAATAAGGTTTCAAATTTATTAAATTTGAAATACGAGCACAATTTGTAGCTCCTATTACATATATAATGTACGAATATATTTGTACATATGTATAAATTTTAATTGAATTCCTAAAACATTTTATCTGCTAATTTTATTTTAAAATTAATAAAAATAGCTTTTAGATTGGAAAAAGAAATACTACGTACTAATATCGGGAACAGTTTATTTGAATTATTTTGCATACTCTACTTCTTTTACAGTAAATGCTCTGTATGTAAATGATCAAAAATGATTAAGCTCCCATGTGGAGTAAAATGTGATTTTGCTGATTTCGAAAGAAATACAGAAAAAATCAATTTTTTATACTAGTAGCTTTTAGATTAGAATATTGTTAAATTCATTTGAATAAACATTAATACTTCTCTTACATCTCTTATGATAATCATTTTTCTAAAATAAAAACTTCTATACCGATGAAGTGCTAGTATTTTGAATTTCAAAATCGACTCTCGATTATTCTTTGATATTTTTTTAGCTATTCTGAACACCAAAATACAAAAATAGGATATGTTATATTATAAATATGTTACCATTACACTTTCGTAAACTAATGTATAAAATGTTAGAGTATATAATATATTATTATTATAATAAACTGCAGTTTTTTTTTTTTTTAATTTCTGCAGCAATGAAAAAATGAGTGGGGTGGCGCATTTCAAACCTTAAATTACATTCATTATTCCAAAATTTTCAGGAATTTTTTTTTTTTTTCTCTAGATTTTTTTTTTTTTTTAATGTTAATGAAAAAATTTTATATTTATATGATTATTTGAATTTTTGTGTATATATAAATACATATACATATTATAATATGTATATATGCCTATTTTATAATGAATAAAGATGATAACTATATATTAAATATGTACGTATTTGTATATGCAAAATATAACTATACATATTGTAATTTTGTAATTTTGTTCATTATTATAAAAAAAAAAAAAAAAAACAAAAAAAAAATATTGTATTTAAATCAAAATGTGTGATCTAATAATATTTTTAGTATTTGCACTCCTTTATAAAATAAATAAGACTATAGAAAATAATATAAAGTAATCATAATATTACAACAATATTGTAAAAGTTTTGAAATTTCTACGAAAAAAATATTGAAATTGTAAAGATAATATTTATAAGAATAAAAATGAAAATATTCTTAATTAAAATATAATTTAAAAGACCTAAAATATAGACTTATATATATATATATATATATATATATATATTAAGAAAGTAAGCGAAGTTTTTTGGCTAAATAGATATTGAAAAATTAATTATAAACGAGAAGTTTATTTTTGTGGTAAGAGTCAAGAACTATGTATGTATGTATATATTATAATTATATATAATATATGTATATGTATACGTAAATTATAACGTAATTTAATATGTATGAGAATTTTCGCTCACAATTTCACATAAAATAAAAATTAAACAATTAATTTTTTTTATTTATATTTATTAACCTTAAATTGAAATTTTGTTATTTTAAAACTTTTAACATTTATAAATTATCATTTACCAACTAATAATTAATATTTCCTTTATTATATATGTATGTAAAACTCAACTTTTTATTATTGAATTGAAGTACATTTTTTGTTATGTTGAAATACTATAATTATGTATATGTGAATATATATATATATTAAGCCAAATTCTAATATAAATTCTAATTTAATATATATTAATTTTGGATTTTTTTTTTTAAATTTTTTTTTAAAAATACGAAATTTCTCGGAAAGTATTTTTTTTTTTTTGATGTGCTTTAACAGACTGTACGATTACCTACTGGAAATTTGATTAAAGAATCAATCCTAAAATTACTTGCATCCTTATGTGAAACACCTTGTATGTGTATTTTAATTTACATTGAGAAGTTATTGAACCCCCATAAATTGTGTACATGGAATATGATTCTTTTACAGTTATAAATATTTATAAAACATATTACCTTATATTATTTACTTTATTCTTTGGTTCATTCAAAAAACAAAATCTTGGCTTTGTCATCGAAAAATTGCAAATTTAATTAAAAAAATAAATTATGCTTAAATATGGAAAGTCTCGTTAAAAATAATATAATTAATTACATACATACATTGTTTTTATATCTAATAAATTAATATTTTATATAAACTTCAGAAAAGTTTCATAACTGGCATAAGAGCCCAATATATACAGACGGTTTTATTGATGATCTTCTTATTTTTCGCTGCAGGTTTCGGTTTTTTTTTTAACAATAAATCTACGTACCTCATGTAAATTTTTTTTTTTACAGTAAATAAGAAAAATAAAAAATAAAAGAAACAATAATTATGAAAAGTAAAAAATAATTTTCATTTTTTTTTTATAATATAGACGGAAAAATAGAAAGTGGTAAAAAGTTAAAAAAGAAATACAAAAAAATATATACATTCATACATTATATAAACATACTTAAATATATTTTTGTAGTGAAAATAAATATTACTAAAATTTAATCTTTTAAATAATTTAAAAATTAAAATAAAATTAATAAAACTTAATATTTTTCCTTTTTAAATTCTTTTTTATATTTCTGTACAGTTCAATTGTAATTCAATTGTAATAATTTTGGGGCCATAAAATAAAATTTATTTTATTCATAATTGAAAATAAAATTAAGTAAATTTTTAGTAAAACGACCGGATCAATCGGTTTGGCGAAGTACTATTTATTATTGTGAATTTTAATTCGGCAATATTGTGAATTTTTTTAGTACTGATTTGTCTAATTTGCAATACTAGAAAATAGAGTATTATTGCTGTTTTAAAATCAAGATATTTTTTTTTGTTAAAAATTAAAAAAAAATTCCATTAAATACGTTTATTTAAATTATATTTTAAAATAAATATGTATGCATGTACATATCTATTTATATTTATTTATTATTTATTTATTAATTAATTAATTTTCTCATAAGACCAATATATGAGAAAAATTATATAAGTATTAAATAAAATATAAAATTCATAATTAAATTTATATTTTATTTAATACTAATATACTAATTAATTAATGTACAATATCTTTAAAACTAATATGTATAAAATAAATTTTTATTAAAAGGTAAATAAAAAAATTCAAAAAATTTTAGAATTTGCAAAAAAATTTGAACAACAAATCTTTTCTATATATATATATATATTTTTTTTTTTTCTTTCAAAATAGGAAATATGTATTATTAACAATAAAAAGAGATGAAGAATATAAAAAAAAAAAAACAAAATAATATTATTGATAAATAAATAACAAAATACATGGAATAAATTTTATTCAGCTGTTTGTCATTTATATCTAGAATTTGATGTCATTAACTTACCTATTACTACTAATAATAAAAAAAAGTGAAAAAAAAAAATTGTGAAAAGAAAATTATTTGAAAATATTAAAAAAAAAAATTAAGAAAAAATACAAAAAAAAAAGCAAACAGAAAAATTGATAAATAAAGTAATTAATGAGCAATTAGATAAATTTTTTTGTTTTTTTTTTATAATATTACTTATATAATTATATCTGTATATTTTAATTAATGGTTATGTATTTATAGTATAGGTTTATTAGATAAAAATTTTTCAAAATACCAAAAAAAAAATCAGATTTGGAAATTAAAAATCGTTTTGCTTCACCGGTGTCTTTCAAATTCACATTGTACTGTGAATGAATTGTTTATTTCTATAACATCTTTTATTACTCGTAGTCTCGTACTATAAAAACAAGGAAAAACAAAAAAAAAAAATTAAGACGTATGTATTCACGGTCCTTCTTTTTCGTGAACAAAATGTTTGAAATTATTCAAAAACAAATCACTTAAATATTTATTTATACTCCATTAGAAATTTACAAAATTTTTAATTGTATTTTTCGTTTAATTTTAATTTTTTTATTGATTCGACATTTGTTGACTCTAACCTAAAATTGTAATTATGTTTAACGAGAATTTTTGCTTCCATATTTTGATTCAATGTGTCTCTCATCTCTTCAAGTATGAAATAATAAACTAAATAACCTTTTGCATATTGCATTTGAATGTATATGGTATAGTAAAGATAAATTGAGCAATTTTTTCCATATATTAATATTCGATGTTAAAATTTTTTAAAATACATCTAAAGTTCGATTTGCATATACATATGTATTTTAGAATTCGAAAAAATCCATACCTCACTAAATTTAAGTGTACCTATTAAATACATATACCTAACAACGCCAACTTGTAGAAACACAACATCGGAAATTGGTCACATAATGGTAATTTACAAAATAATTTTACCCTACAAGACCTGTTAGAGTACTACATATTTTGAATCAAACATGTTGAGTAAGTAAGTCGATATTTTCAAATTTTTGTATAATATATATATATATATATATACTAAAAATAATAAAATTTCTCATAAAATTCATTAAAATTTTCGATTTCAAGAATATATTTTAGCTTATTGATTCATCATGAGCGATGACATCACAAAGCACAAATCAATAAGTTCGAACAACCTACATAATGCAATGTCAATATGATTTTTTATAGGTTATGGTTATAATGTAATAAATACATTAATTTGTATATTATGAGTTTGTTAACATTACTGTCACGGATCTTAATTTTTCAATGCAAAATAATGACATTATAATTGGCAACTTTATGATATTAATCTTTATAATGTGTATAGTACGTATGCATATATTTATGTAAGTATGTATATGTAATAAAATTTTATTTTTATTTTATTGATTCGCTAATATTCAACAAGTCTTGTACTATTTATTTATATTAGAAATATTAAGTAAATTTTCGTTGAATCTGTATGTGCGTATATCATATGAATAAAAACATTGTGCTTTCTTTAAATTTTTGACATATTTACAAAAAAAAAAAGAATAAATGAGGGACATGCGCTAATAATATAAAAAAGCATTTATTTATTTTATTTTTATTTTGTTAAAGTTAAAATATTCTTCTAATATGGTAATCGTACCCTTGACCCTCGTTTAACGTGAGTTTTATATTCTTTAGGATTTGCATGACTAACGACTAGTTACATATGTCTATATATTCAATTAAATAATAAATTATAAGCATAAGGAAATATTTACAATTATAGACAATTTGCATTTTTCTTTTAATGCATAATTATTGTTATAGAAATACCACGTTACATGAGTGTAAGGTGTATTTTAATGTACAAGTTGTACAATTATTAATTTCGTTTTAAACAAGTATTTAAATAAAAAATAAATATGAAACTTATTTTTATGTATAGGTGTCTATTTAAACGGTTAAACAATGCTGTCACATCAAACGATATTTTCAAATTAGCAAAATAATATCGCAAATACATACAATCTTAATGTTTGTACAATTTTTTCTCAGAATTATTTCTTTGAGATTTCTCCTGAATTTATGCAATTTAGAATTTTTTTACAAATAAATTATGATCAAAAAAATTATTTCAATAAAATGTTGTTTTGTAAATTTTTAAAATATAACTTACATAATATGTACATACATATATGAATACAATTTCTAGTTTCAAATTATTAAAGAGAAATGTTGGGTTTTGTTTGACTAAATGACAAAGAAATAAATTCCAAATTTATGTATAAAGAGTTTAAAGGGAAAGTGTTATCGGAAATTGAATAATGTTTTTAGCTTTACTGATTCTACATATTTTACTTTAACTTAAAATATAAATTTCAGAAAAATCCATCCATTGGTAAATTCCATGTGAAAAATGCATTTAAAAAAAATTACAATTTTTAAAGCAAGTCAACCTTTCTTGTCTTGCCAAGTAGAGAGGTACTGAATTAAAGAGTAAAATTTTTTAATATAAGAAATTAAATTTAAAAAGAAATTAAAAAAAGTAAAACGAAAAATATAAACAGATTTTAGAACCATACTAAATAAAGTTAGACTTGGGAGTTACAAAGAATACATAAAAAATATTTTACAAAACATAAAACATTAAGAATTTTTTTTGTAATTTTTTCCAATTGCAAAATTTCGGAAAATAATTTCATCTTGGTGACAGCCTGATTATGGCATTAGGACGATCATATAAATTCATTAAAATAATGTTATACAACACAGTCATTTAATTTGGTGTAGGACTGTATATCAAAATACTGTACATTATTTTTTTTGTTTTGTGTTTTCGCCCACTCTTTCCTTTATCATCCTTAAATATATTTTGAATAATATGAAAGAAAGCTTTCATTTTCATTTACTTTTGACAATACACATAATAATGTAATTTTAAAAGAAGAAAAACAAAAAAACAAAAAAATAAAAACAAAATCATTTTTATTTTTATTTTTGCCACGGAATCAAAGTGTACAAATAATGAGTGGGTGAAGTTTGTGTTAAGAAATAAAGGAAAAAAAAAAAAAATTTAAGGAAAAATCGAAAATATAAGGAATTGAAGGCTTCTAATATAAAATAAAAGAAAAATTGAATTTATTAAGTTTTTTTAAATTTCTATTTAAAGTGCGATTTATTAAAGTTTTAAAATATTTTTTATGTTTTGTGTTTTTTTTTTCTAATTTAATATTCAATGATAATTTACGCAAGAATAGGAAATTTCGTATGGTAAATTTTATAGTAAAAAATTTTTTTTATTAAAAACATTCATTAATTTTCAAAATGAAATGAATTTTATGTAATTTTATAGTTTTGAATTTGTGCACCAAATTAAACTTAACTCAGTTGTGTATTAAATGTTTTATGTAAGGAAGATTAAATCATTAAATTTTAAGATTAAATCATGTTAAAATTTTCTTAGAATTTCTTAGAATTTTCATTGTTGAGGTTTTGTTAATTTTATCAAATATCCAGAAATATTTCTTTGAAATTTTTTCTATTTTTTTTAAATTTTATATTAAATTTCCTTTTTTGTATTTTTTAATAACGAAAATTCAAGATGCAGAAATAATATGGCAATTTTTTTTAAATAATTCAATTCTATAATACTCAATTGTTATGAAAAATATATGTAAATGAAAATTTAGGGAATATTAAAATAATTATTCGTATTTCTTATATCTTTTCATTAATAAATATGTATTAATTGTATATTTTTGTACAGGAAATAAACATTAAACAAATACAAATGCAAATATCTATGCTAATTATTATGTAAAATAACCAAATTTTATTTGTCTTATACCTATAACAAAGATGATCTTTTATAAAGAAATTTCAGTTTAATTTAAGAAAGATTGAGGTAATTTGGATATAAAAACAATATTTATATAATTTTTCTTGTTTTGAAAAAATCCAAAATAATTGATGTTTAAAAAAAATTACAGTAATTTTTTTTTTCTTTTGCAGAAATTAAAAATTTGGAACAGATTGCCATAGAGCCGAAGTACAGGTATTATAATTAAGAAAGAACTGAGAAACAATAAAGGGAAATATGCCTGGAACAAGACGTTTAATTTTAGGACATGTTATGTCAGGTTTATGCTCGAGAATGAATCGAACAAAACCAGTTCCAGCCGATGTTATGGAAACACCACTTAGTCGTTGTTTAAATACATTTGATATAACAATGCTAGGTACAAGATTCTACAAAAATAAATATACATATATTATATAATATATATGTATTATATAATATATGTATATATATATATGTATATATATGCAATTTTTAAGTTTTACTATTTGAAAAAAAAAAAAAAAAATAAATTATTTTTTTTTTTTTTAGGAATTGGTCATATGGTTGGAGCTGGAATTTACGTTCTTACTGGTACTGTTGCAAAAGATATGGCTGGTCCTGGTATTGTTTTATCATTTGTATTAGCTGGTATGGTTTCAATGTTAGCAGCATTATGTTATGCTGAATTTGGTACACGTGTACCAAAAGCTGGTTCAGCTTATGTTTATACATACATATCAATTGGTGAATTTTGGGCATTTGTTATTGGTTGGAATATTATTTTGGAGCATATGTTGGGAGCAGCATCAGTTGCAAGAGCATGGAGCGGTTATGTTGATTCAATATTAGATGGTAAAATTGCTAATAAGACAATTGAAATAACTGGTGAAATGCATGAACAACTTTTTGCTAAATATCCAGATATATTAGCATTTTTAGTATGTCTAATGTATGCATCAGCTTTAGGTGTTGGTGTTAAAGCTACTGCAATTTTTAATGGTTTTTTAACATTAGTTAATATTGGTGTTATGGGTTTAGCAATATTTTTGGGTTTCTTTTATGCAGATATTAAAAATTGGTCTGAAAGTGAAGGTGGTTTTTTACCATATGGTTTTGGAGGTGTTATTGCTGGTGCAGCAACATGTTTCTATGCATTTGTTGGTTTTGATAGTATTGCAACATCATCTGAAGAAGCTAAAAATCCAAGCTTTTCAATACCTATTGCAACTATACTTTCTTTATGTGCTGTAACAGTTGGATATGTTCTTGTTAGTGCAGCTTTAACTTTAATGATACCAATTCGAGATATAAATCCAGCTGCTGCATTACCTGAAGCTTTTGGGGCATTAAATATTCCATGGGCAAAATATGTTATTTCAATTGGTGCTCTGTGCGGAATGACAACAACATTATTAGGATCTCTATTTGCGTTACCAAGATGCATGTATGCAATGGCGACAGATGGTCTATTATTTTCATGTTTTGGGAAAATTAATGCAACCACTCAAGTTCCGCTTTTAAATTTGGCAGTAGCTGGATTTTTGAGCGCATTGTTAGCTTTACTATTTGATTTAGAAAAACTTGTAGAATTTATGTCAATTGGCACATTGTTAGCCTATACAATTGTCAGCGCAAGTGTTATTATCTTACGATATAGACCACCACCAACAGAATCTAATGTTGTTTATGCACCTGATACACCAGATGAGGATGATGATAACACATCGCAATCTAGTATTGATACGGCATCACCAACATCAGATTTAATTGAAATTGCTTTAGCTGGTCGCCTAAGACCACAATTTAGATGGTTGGAACCACTTTTAGGACGCTTTGAACCTGGAGTTGCTTGCTCTGCTTCTGTTTTACTTTTCACAGTTTTATGTTTTGCAATTTGTTTTCAATTAGAAGTTTCTTGGATGGAATTATATCATGGAACCTGGTGGGCATTAGGTTTATATGGTTTTATGATATTTAGTGCTGGTGCATGTGTTGCTGTTATTGCTGTTCATCATCAAAATACAAGAGGATTACAATTTAAAGTACCATTAGTACCATATTTACCAGCTTTATCAATATTTTGTAATATTGAATTAATGGTACATTTAAGTGCATTAACTTGGTTAAGATTTTTTATATGGGTTTCAATTGGTATGTTAGTATATTTCCTATATGGTATACATAATAGTAAAGAAGGTGAAATTTGTTCAACATATTCAATGTTAATGACATCATCGGAAGCAACTAAAGGTTATTGGGGTTCAACAACTGGTGCGGTATCTGTTCTAAGAAGATTTACAGGTAGGAAAAAATCAGAAGATAAAAAACCAATTGTTATACAGGAAGTTGATGAAGAACCATAGAAATTTGGTAGATCTAAAGAAATTTTAATTTGATTTATTTAAATTGTTATTATTACCATCTTATACACCGTTATCAGTATAAGTAATAATTTGTTAAGATAATTTTTAAAATTTTAATAAATTTACTTTTTTGTTTTAAGAATTAAACAAACTTACAACAATGCTCGAAATAATTTTAATACAATAAATTTCTCTAAATTGCCAAATATTTGCAATTTGCAATCAAAAAATGCATTAATTTTAAAATTGAAAAATTTCTAACTAAAAACAAACACATAAAAATTGTATATTAATTAGATAATTTTTTTTTTAAAATTAAATTTATGGTATAAATGAAACTGAAATACACTAGAAAATCTATATTTGACCATATTTAATTTTTAATACGAATTACTAAAGCTAATATAATTGTACAAAATGCTTATTTTTTTAACGACAATAAAATAGATTATAAATTTAAAAATTAAATGTTTAGTAGAAATTAATCAATTTAGAACTTAATGAAATTTTTTAAATCAATTTCAAACTACTAATTTATAAGTTGTGTCTTTTAATAAGAGTTTCATTTAATCAAATATCAATTTGTATTAATCCAATTATTTTTTTTGAAATTTCACAACGCACTTAAAAAGAGTAAGATTTAGTTCAGGTCGATTATGTATGTAATTATAAGTGCAGTGCGACATAACTAAAAAAATTTAGTTTTAATAAAATAAGGCAAATATTGTCAAAACAAAAATAAATATACAGCTGAACCAAATTGTAACATTTATTTTTCTGCTGCAAAATCTGTAGCAGAATTTTTACAAAACCACTAATAAAAATGAACAGTAACAAAAAGTGAGCTGTAGTGTGGCTGCAGTTTTAGTTTAGTTTTAGTTAGTTTGTTGCAAACATGTTGCAGTCTTAGTTAGTTGAAGTAATCGGGGTTGAGCATTTTCGAAATCTAAAAATTGTTGTGCTTATTGTTTGTTACTGTTAACTTTTAAATAGTATCTTTGTACGTAAATACGTTGTACCGCAAAATAGTAATAATCTGATTGCAGCATTTCATTTTTTTGTAACTACACGAAGTTTTGCGTTTTTTTTGTAATCACCTGATAGTTCTATGTTATTTTTTTTTTTATAAAGGAAATTAAAATAAATCAAACAAACTCACTGAATATTAATGTTCATATAATTAATATTTTATTTAGTTTTAAAGAGATTCCACCGTTATCTTTTAGAATTATTATTTCTTGAGGGACAAAACAGTTTTTGTTTAAATTATAATTAAATTGTTTAAAGAAATTTTGTATATAAAATAAAATTCATTTAACTTATCATTTTTTTTTAAATTAGTTTATTTTTTAAATTAAAATGTATTAAAAATTTCTATTGAGAAAACAAAATTAATTATTTATTTTAAAAGGTCATCCTCCTCCGATGATATAATATAAATAATTGACTTATTCGGCTATACAAATTTTAATTGGTTGTTAAAGTAAATTGTGGATTTATTTGTTTATTAGATGATTAATTAAATTTGTATTAAAGTTGTTAAAAACTGTATTTACTACCACATTTTCATTGAATCTTAATCCCTGTCCAAATTTTACGTTTTTTTTTTTTTTTTGGTTTGGGGGGCCCAACGTGTTACTATGTACTATTCAACAGATGGCTTTGAAAATATAATAATAAGAAAAATTTTAAACTGTATAACAGAATATTTTTAATATAATATTTTAAATTTATTATATTATATTAAAAATAGAAGAAAATGCAATTTATTCAGAATTAAAAGTCAATTTTTTAAATAAAAATTATACATATGTGTGTACATAAGTATATTAATAAATACGTATGTAAAATTATTTATATAAAATTGTAAAAATTCAAAATTACACTTACATTTAATTAATGTGATTTATAATCTTGTATACCAGAATTATTTATTTTGTTATAAGTTTTTTTAATTCTAAAACATTTTTTATTTTTATTCTTTTGAAATAACTAAAGGAAAAAGTATTAATTTATACATCACCATATTCTTTTAGATGCATCCCTTGAATTGATGGGATATTTTTCAAAAATTTTGTAATTATCAAAACAAAAGACAATTATGACATTTATGACATTCTGTATTAAAAAACTCAATATTTTTCAATTCAAGCAATTGAGTAAGCACCACTAGAATTAATTTAAAAAAGAAATTCAAATAAAATAGTTTCTATTTTTATGTATATACAATATACATACATACCTTATTATTGGCATTGTTATGGTAAAATTTTATTATAATATTTTATTTGAAAATCAATAAAATGTTAATGAAAGTTTATAGTTAAATATATGCAATAAAGACTGCAAGACATAGTATCTTTAGGCCGGTAGAAATTCTTAAATCTCATTCTTATACTCATAAATCAAAATTAGCATGCTTGGCATCCATCCAAATTGTTTCAAATGTAATCATTCAACTTGTACCAGCAAGAATATTAAAATGTATATAAAATTATAGATATTTTTTTTTATTTTTTTAATTTTTGAATTTTGTATAATTTTGTATATATATACATAATATGTTATACATATTTTAAAATAAATCGGTAGAATTGTTCTTCAAAATTGTTTTTGAAACGAATTTGTATACCTCAATTATCGTTTTATTTTGTACTCTGAATTTGAAAAGAAATCAATGAAAAATTTTTCTGGTCAAATTTAATGAAAACTAAGTTATCAGCACAAAAAAATATAAAATTATATAATTATAAATAAAAAGATAAAAAACAAAATTTATTATTAATTTAAAAAATTAATTAAATTCAAAATGTAGATTATAAATCTTTGTGTAATTTAAACAAATTTTAATTATTTAATTAAATTTTGTCAGTATTAATTCAATACAATAAACTTTTTTGCAAATATTTTAAATTTTATGTATTCTAACAGAAATCCAATTATATTAATTATTAGTTATTGTTATTACGACATTAATACGACATTATATTAATTATTAGAAGAAATGGTGTATATGTCGTATTAGTTTAAAACTGTGGTTAACGTTACATTACAATTGTAGCGAAAGATGAAGGATTTAGCGATTGTGACTCAATTAAACTTTGTCAAATTATAAAGATTTGATAAAAAAATGAAATTTTCAAAAAAAAAAAAATAAAATTTTGATTTTAATATATTCGATTTTTAGTTATTTAGTTAGAGTGATTATAATTTATGCCGCAATCTACTGGTAGATCGCGATCTGCTAGGTTAAATAGCTCTGATATATTTTATTTAAATACAATTCTGTTCGGAAGATGTTTTGATAATATTATAATACTGCAATTTTGAAATCAGGGAAAGGGTTTATTATTCTTATGGATTTATTTTATATTAATTTTGTAGGGATTAAGAAATTAAATTTATTTTTGAAAAATCATACATAAATGCACATTAAAGTTAAAATATTAAATAGAATATATTAAAAAATATTTTATGTATTTAATTGCAGTATTTATTAAATAAATAATGAAACTCAAAAAAAAAAAAAGAACAATTATTCGTAATCTTCTATACCTTTGTATTATTTAATTTTGAAATAATTTGAAAAAAAAATTCAAAAATATTATTTCACTGCTAACTCAATCCAAATACGAGGATTGTAAGTTAAAAGAAATATATTTTATTTCCAAAAATATTACAGTAAAAATTCCTTGTTAATATGAATTTGATATATTTTTATATTAATTGCAAAATATTTTAAAATATTTTCTTTTATTGGATAGAGAGTTTTCCTCTCTAACCTCTTGATATATTTTATTTATAGTTGTTGTCTAAACAACAAAAAAAAAAACAAACTTATTGTTACTTATAAATTATTTGTGGCAATTTACAATTTTTACCCAAAAAAAACACAAAAAATTTTCTAAAAACAAGAAAAATTATTAAAAAAAAATTGTGTAATTTTAAAAATAAAATGAATAAAATTAACAAATGAAAAAAAAAAGAAAATTTCCAAAAACTTTTATTATCAAAATATTTTTGCATCAGTCGTGCAATTAATGATTTCTTTTAAAATCTAAATCTTTAACCAGCCCTAAAGATTTGATTTAAAGAAATCACTTTATAAAATTCAACAATTTTTTGAATTTTATTGAAAATTTAAAATTCAATTTTTAATAATTAATTTGTTGATTTAATTCTTTTTTTGTTTTTGGTTAAAATTATGAACTTTGCGTTTTTATTTATTAAATTCAATATTGCAATTCTTCATGGATTTGCAATAAAAAGAAAAAGAATAAGTTGACTGAATTATAAATGATTATTGAAAATAATATTTATTAAAAATTTTATTTATTTATTTCAATGCCTACAATTCCTCCGGAGATAGTCTCTTGCGATAAGACTTTACAAATAATTTTTTGTATTAATTTATAAATTTCCATTGAACTATTTCAAGAAACTTATACATTATTCATATTATTATTTAAATATATATGCATATACTATATTTTCTATTTAATTATTAACTTTTATAATTAAGATTTTTTGTTTTAATTAAAAGTTTTTGGAAATATTTAAAATTTCAAAATTAAAAAATTAAGTTATTTCAATAAAGAATAACAAACAATTTATTGAAAATATATTTTAATGTAAAAACAATAATTCAAACAAATAAAAATATATGTAATTAATATGAAAGAAAAAATACACCTACATACCTTTTAAATTTACAAAAAAAAAAATAAAAAAAAACTTAATAATAATTGTCTAATTATATGTCAATACTAAAATTATGAATATGTACACACATATTATGTAGATGCATAATGTAAATAATACATGTACATATATGAAAATTAATTAAAAACATAAAAATAAAAATAATTAATCAAAACATTATATAATTGTTGAAGTACTTATATGTCGTTATAAAAAAACAATAAGAACGCATATATTTACATACATAAATTATATAGAAATACTAAAAGATACATATATATTTATATATTATATACATACGCAACCATTTACTTAATATAAATGAAAAAAAATAAAAAAATTGTTTGAAAAAATACTTATATAATATAAATGTTAGTTATATAAAAATATTCTTTATATATATTTGATAAATATTTGCGTTAAAAATGCATTATATAAAAAAATTCCTCTGACAAAAAAAAAAACAAATTAAAAAAATTAAAAATATGTAATATGATATCAAAATATGTTTATATATATATATTTATGATGCATATATATATATATATATATATACATATTTTATGAATATTTATTTATAGATCCTATAATATTATATATTATAAATATGTACACTATAAAATTATTGTGAGACAAAAGTACCTATTAAGCTAAAAAAAACAAAAAAAAAACAGATTAAATTATAAATTAAAGAAATATACTTATATATATACATATATATTTAAAATAATAAAAAAGACACTGTAAAAAATGATACAAAGTTTTTTGATTAAAAAATATTATTTAATTAAAAATTCTAATATTACAACAGATAAACAAAATATCTCAGTCAAATTATTATATACGGTGTACCGAGACTCAATGAAATTAACAAACCCGAATGAAATAATAATGATTTTTATTTGAATTTAATATTTTTATAAAAATTCTATAAAATATTTGAATTAACTATTATGTGAAAACTATTATATGTAGTTTATTTAATTAGTTTTTTATAGATTTGAAATCATAGAATAAGAATAAAACAAAAAATTAATTTGATCTGTTCATTTAAATCACCTAATTTTGATAATATCCGTGATTCAAAATTAAAATTTCTAATGTAAATCCTCGGTCATTTACATAGAATCTATATAACATTCTCGTTTGTTAGCTCTATTAATACTGCTGTTGTAGAATTCATGAAATTTGTGTTAATTGCAAATAGCTGAAAGTAACACAAACACAAAATCTAAAAAAAAAACTGAATGATCATAAATTTATTAAAATATTTTTGTTTCAAATTTTTTAATTATTTATTTATATAATTTGTTTGAAATAAATAAAAACATTGACTTATTCAATATATAAAAGATTGATAATGATATTTAAAATCTTTGTTTTTCAGATTCTTTTTTTTCTTAAAATTATTACTAATTAAACTATTTTTCTTTTAATTTTAATATTTAATATTTATAAATACATTTTTATTTAAAACAATCATATCTAACACAACAACATTCTTTATTTAAATCTTATATAACAATTTTCTATGAAGTCATCCCTTTGTGTCCGTCGTTTTCATAGATTCGTTATAGTATCATTTCCTTCCTTGCTTGAATTTACTGAAGTATTTGAATAACTTTTCATATTTGATTCCATTGAAGATAGTGCACTTGAAACGTGATATAAATTTTCTGATAATATTGAATAGACTTCTGATAATTCAGGTTCAGTCTTTGAGAATATAAAAGTATCTGAAAGAAAATATATATATATATATATATATATATATATATTTGTTCAAAATATATTTTTATTAAATAATAATAAAAATTAATATTAAAATTAGAATTATAGCTTTAAATGCAAAATTTTTTTTCTTACCATTCCTATCGTTAATAATTTTATGTGAATATATGTTTAATATTATCGAGAGTTCATCAGCTACACGATTGTCAAAATTACCAGCAGTTAGAATATTTATATTTGGGTTTGAAGCAGTTAACTGAGAAATTCTTTTAAACTGTCTTACATGCTTTATAGCCAATGACCATTTTTGTCCATCTATCAATTCGTTTAGCGATGTTTCAAATTCTGAATTACTCATTGGTAATCCTGGAGAGGGAATCGGGGTATGTTCACCCTCTGTTGATGTCGATGTATCAAGTGATTCTAATTCAGCATCATCTATACAACGTAATAGTGCTCCCCTTACCAACATATACAATTCTGACATATCTTGCATCTATATAAGTAAATAGAAAAAAATTGATTTTCAATTAATATATATATATGTATAACTTTAACTAAATGTAATACTTTAATATGACCAAACTAAAAAAAATATTTGGTTGGTTGAATACAAATATTTGTTTTGAATTTAAAGTACCTTTTCATTTTGTCTGAAATTGTTGACAACACTTAAAGAAATTTTATGGTGTGATTCAATCAATAATAAAAGTTGAAACATTAATTTGTATAAAGAACGTCCTAAATCTAATAAAAGTTCTGTTGTAGCTGGATCAAATGTCATAAAACTATTACCAGAACCAGATACACTTTCGACGGCATTGCTTGGATCCACATCGCTGAATAAAGCCAATTTACATGATGTTTTTACAGAGTCTAAACACTAAAAATTTTTTTTTTTTTAATAAAAAATATTTTCACTCAATTAATTTTAGTAATTTAATATTTTACCTCTAAGGCGTGATCTTTGCGATAGAAAAATGTTTCCAAATGCTCTTGTATTTCAAGTACATTAAATTTCAATGCTTCGAATAGTCTGGGTGTTGTTGGATATGATTGATTACACCATATACGTGGTGGTTCAGATTTTGATGTTAATAATTCAGACAAAATTGATATTCGATTACCCAATGGTGCTCCCATACCAGTAAAATATTTACGTGAATCTTTTGCTATTGATACAGATTTACTTGTTAGCTCTCGTATTAATTTAAATAAATTTTGTAACAATTCGACGGCATGTGCAGATGGTTGATTAATTAAGAGCGTTTGTAATTGTTTTCTCCAATTTTCTTCGCCTTCATCACGAATTGGTGCACGAAATGATATTAAGCCTTGTAAGTGAGGTGATGCGTTACATGGTGTAATATCACCTAGATCTCCGGCACTTGAACCACTTGTATCGCTTCTTGAGACTGAATCTCGGCGTGGTCTTTCACGTAAACTTAATGATGTTGGTGGACCAACTATAAAAGTTGATTTTAAAAATGGTTGACGATGGTGATCTTCATCAATTGGAGATTCAGATTCGACTTCTTCATCAGAAGAATCATCAGCGGTATGACGTTTTCTTTTACGTAATATTGGAGTCTTTTCGCTTAAACTTTCTTCATGAGTTGAATGTCCACCTTTTGAACCAGTAACTGGTTCACTATCACCACCCTCAGATAATGGACGTCGACGTACACCCCAATTAAAGTTATCGGTAGATTCGCCTTCAATACTTTCACTTTCATATTCTAAGAAATCAAAATCTTTGAATACACCAAAATCAGGCTGACCATCATCACGTCTTGAACCACCGCTTAAATCACCTTGTGGACCAGAAGTTTCTTCTGTACTTGAAGCAGCCGATGATTGTCTTTCCAATAAATCAGAGGATTGACTGAATATTACCTAATATCACAAAGAAAAATAAACAGACAAGAACAAAAAATAAAATCATTTTTAGTTTTGAAATAATAAATCAAAATTTTTCCTTTTAAAATTATTTTTGTTTTTTTTTGTTTATATCTAACTAACTAAACATTTTTTAACAAAATACTTCTAGCTTAAACACACAACTACATATCGACAGTGCATTAGCTATTTTTTTTTTTAATTGGCTTAAATTGGCATTTGAAACAAGCAAGTATGTAAGTTCATTTTTTGACTAAATCTTTAAACGAAAATCAAATCTTACAGATTGCCGATATGATTGGTTAGTAGATCCAGAAAGAAACGATGTGCTAAATGTCTGGAAATATATTGTGTTTTTTTTTTGTATTTTAAATTGCAATAAATATTAATTAATTACAAATTAAAATTAAATAACTAAATGAATTGATTTTCGAATTGAATTTCGCATTTCGTGATGAAAATTAAAAATTTCCAATTCCAAATTTTAAATTATAATTAAAATTTAAATGTAGTTTTGATTTTAAAATCTTAATTTTGAACGTTTTTAAGGTAAACATTTAATTTTAAACTACATAATTTGGTTAGTTATACTAAGTTTTCTGAAGAAATTTTAGTAATCAAATATAGAATATAAAAAATTCATGTAAAATTAGTTTTTGAAGTTGTTATTAAATTGGAAGTAAAGGAAATATCGGTGTAAAGATTTTTTTAATTGATTTTGGTATAAATAGTTTAGTGCATATTTTACTGATCTCTTAAAATAAATGGATTGAATATGTTTTTTGATCTCTTAAAGAATTTCGAATTAATGTTAGGTGGCACGACTTCCCGATATGTCAAATCTTATGCCAAATGTTTTAGGGCAAATTATTTGTTATAAAAATGGTGTTAATATTATAACATCTCATATATTATAAGAGATCTGTTAATAATTATGTCTGTTAATAATTAGATCTGCTTATAAGAGTTCTTATAATTATTATGAATGAAAATCTTCTTTTTGTAAGATAGTAAATATGCTATTCTGTGTTTACATTTTGCTGCTGACTGTGATATTGCTGTTTCTAAGAATTACATAATTATATGTGACCCAACTAATAAATATTTAAAAAAGTTGGTCCACACGGAAAATATGTGAATTTAATGATTTTGTATAAGAACTTTAGAAAATTAAAAATTATAACCATGTGTAAAATTTAAAAAATATATTGTGTTTCTGATTTATTATAAGTTTTGTTTTTATTAAAAATTGGCCTTTTTATGTTTAATATTAGATTCTTTAATTTAAATTTTAATTTAATTTAAATTTAAACAATTAGATTCAACAGCATTTGGTTGTTTGAATTTATAAACGATTTAAAGAAACTGCAATAATTAACAATTGCATTTTGTTACAAGTTTCATTTATAGAAACGAATATAAATTCGTTAGTTTAAGGCTTAGGTTAAATTTACACTGTTTAGCATTTAGTAGAATTATTAAAAATTTTTATAGAAAATTTGGATAATACAGACTATTATAGAAACATTTACGATTACGGATATGAATTTTTTGTTATCTAAAGGAGTTACGAAACTTATAAAATCGAAAAATCATCTTTTGTGTTCCTAAATTACATTTTATGTACATATAAGCAGTTCTGTATCTTCTTATTTATCTTTTTTTTAGTGCATAAAAACGAAATATTATAAAAAGCCTTGTGAAAAAAAAAATTGTTAATATTATAATTAAATGGCAATTTTACAAAAAAATAAAAAATTAAAATTGTTGGTGCATTGGTTTTAGTACAACTCTTTGTTGTTATTTCAAAAAATTTTATTTTTATGTGTTCTGTGGCATTAGAATTGTGTTTGTTAATTTTTTAAAAGGAAGTGTGATTTTAGTTTCTTTGCTGAATATTGTAAAATTTGGTTTACCTTGGAGCAAATGGAATTAATGTAATCATCCTAATTTTAATATTAAATGTAAATTTAGAAAGAAAAAAATGTTTTGGTTTTAATTATTTGTTAATATTATTTGAAAAAAAAAAAATAAAACGTTTAATTAATAATTTAATAATAGTATTTAAAAAAAAAAGGAAACATGCAAAGGAAATTTATATTTTATATTTTTTTGATTAAGGATTTATATTTAAATACTTAATGGGCATTAAGCTGTTAAAGCTTAAAAATCCCTTAAATTTAACAAAAATAAATACGTAGTTATGTAAAATATATAAAACGAATTATATTACTTTTATAAAAATCGAAACTTACAGATGGGCTCTTTGGTAATCCAACTCTTTGTCCACATGTCGTTAATAAATTAACTAAACATTCACGAACACGGCTTTGACACATCCAAGGACGTTTCCATCCACTTAATGGAACTGTATCAGCAGGTGATAAACTTGCACTTCGTCTTGGTGAATTTGGTGTACCTGAATGCTGTTGTTGTTGTTGAAGTTGTTGACTATTAATACCATTACTATTAATGTTATTATTGTTTTGTAATTGTTGCTGATGTTGTTGTGAATTTGATACTGCAGAGGATGATGATGATATCATATTAACATTATTACGGTTTTGATTTGTAATTGCAGAATTTGATATTAAAGATTGTTGTACATTCCCTGATATTAATGTATTAGTTGTTGATACTGTTGATCCTAAACTAGAATTAGTTATTGTAGTTGAAGCAGTATTTACTGGTGAAGATGATGTTAAATCATTTTCATTTTTAAGTAGAATTCTTCGTCCAATTAATGGTGTTTGCGATACATCAAATGTAAACTCCATTGTTCTACCAGCTAATTCTTTTTTACAAAATACTTCTGAATCAGAATAACTACCATAAAAACTAAATGAAAAACCACTACTACTGCACATTTCTGATGGTGGTACAACTTGTAAGCTAGAACTTCGTGTTACAACTAATTTTAATATTTTTAATGCTTCCTTATATTGTGGTGCCTAACATAATGGAAAATAAATGAATCGTTAATTAATTATAAATTAAGTTTATTATATTTGAGCAAATAATAAAACTAATTCGTATCCTATTATTTTATTTAAGTATACAATTTCTTGTATCAATAATAAGAATAATTGTTTATTTAATTGGTTTCATAATAATTTACCTCTAAATATTTGCCTATAACTCGTAAAAGATCACTATTAATTGTCTGTGCTTGTGGGGATGATAAATCAACATAATGTAGCATACAATGTATGACATTTAATACTGGAATTTGAATTTGTTGTGGTCCTTTTTCAAGTATTTCAATCAAAAATGCTAACATATGCAATCCCATATGTGCATATGTATCATATAAGTATTTTACTACACATTTTGTCCATTGAAACGATTCTTTACTAAATGTTTTTCGGCTATACAATGTCATTACTGTACCTAAATTTTCTAATTTAGCACCTAATTCTGATGAAACTTGTGCAATATTTTCAGCACTTCGTATACAAACTTCATTTGCATCTTCATAATGTAAAAGCATATATGGTAGCAATGCGATTACATTCATAGGAAATGCACAACTTTGTGTTGGATCACACACTGGAAGACTAGATAATGGTGACAATTGTGATAGTAAAGTTATTGTTTGCTCATAGGTACTCGAATGTGTACATCCCTAAACGAAAAATAAAGAGTTTAGACTTATCAAAAACAAAAAAATTTTTTGATTGTTATAGATCTTAAATTAACTGGATTTTTCTTACTTTTAGTAATAGTGCGTGTACACCCGGATAACCAGCCCATTTCAATTGTTGTTGAAGCTTTTCGACTTTATCTCGAGCATCTGGTCTATCTAATGGTAAACGATGTAACACTCTCCCTAATAGCCTTAGCGCTAATAAAAATTCATGTTCGTAATCACTCTCAAGAAGCGATACAGCCAACCAAAATAATTGAGCTAAAATTGTCATTTTGTCGTCCTTGGCAAAAAAAATGTTAAAATATAAATGCTTAAAGTATTATCAACTTTAAAAAATTTTATCTTACTTGTGTTGCAGTGTCACCTAGCATTTTAAGACTTTGTGCACTCCTTGAACGAGATAAAGCAGAACGAAATTGAATACCATTACGTTCTATTTCTAATACGGTAGCTGATGCTCGATTACGAAGATCAACTGAAACAGAGTTTATATATATTTTTAAAATGTTTCAAATCTTCAAAATTTAAACTGATAATAACCACATTTTTAAAAGGAAAATATTATACATATTAATATAACATGCAAATGTGAAAAAATCTTACCTTGCTTATCGCAAGGTGAATTTGTTGATTTTCTGGTACAATAAGAAACTGAATAACTTGTGCTTCTTGCATGACTTGGAATAGCAAAACTAGGAGATTGCGGTGCAGCACCAGACGGTGATTTTTTACCTGGTAAAACCGAGCCTTGTCCATCTTTATTGTTCAGATTTGGCGTGCTTTTGAAGATATCTTTCATAACGTCTAATGGTCTAAAATCTGAATCTAAACTGTCAACTGCCGCTTCTAGTGTTAACAACAATTCTGTTACATATCCTTGCATATCTTCACCTTGCTCAGCAACAGTTTCCACTAAACGTGATAAAATATCTGATAACATTCGAGAATTAATAGGAACATTTAGGGCACGAAAGATTTGTAAACATCTGCCTGCATAATGTCTGGATGAGCAACTTAAACCTAGTTGTAGGGCAGTTTGAGCCCAACGTTCAGCAATTCTTGCATGTGGATAACTATCAGCGAAAACTTTTACCATATGTTTCAAAAAGCACGATAACTGTTCAGCTGATTTAACAGCCCAAACTATAATAACATATGAAAACAATTCAGATTTGAATGATGATTTCTATATTTTTTTTACCTTTCGCTGTAATGTCTTCATAGTTCCAAAGAGGTTGAGAATTATCTTGTGATAAGAATTTAATTAATCCTTTAATAACATGTGAAATAGGCATGGTCGGTCCGGGTTGTGGAGGACTATTCTCCTCTGTTACAATTAAGGGTACTTCATTGTTTTCAGTTGTGTTAGGATTTGTTGGAACAGGCGAAGTGATACTCAACTGAGGCTGGTTTTGTATTTGCTGTTGCTGATTTTGTTGTGGTTGCAGTTGATGTTGCTGTGTTGATTGCTGTTGTGTTTGTTGAACTTGTTGTTGTTGCGGTGGTTGTAATGTAGTAGTAGACAAATTATTATTTGGTGCCCCAAATAAATAACTGTCAAATTCTTGGCTAGGCTCTTATATAAATATAGATTAAATTACATAGTATATTGTTAAATATTAAAAATATATAACTAATTATTATTTTATATACCAGTAAAAACATTGCTGATTACAGGTAGAGGTGGTATTGATAATCCTAAATTTAACTTAGCTGTATCGCTATTTAATAATATCCTTGCTACAATTAAATGGTCATTATGTTCGGCCAAAACCATCTTCGTTTATAAGGAAAAAAAAAATTTGAATCTTATTACATTTTTTTCTACTCGGGAATAAAAATAATTTACCAAGAGATTCAAACAAAGTTGCTTGCAATGATCTCTAACAATAATTCTATTATGATCTAAGCCTAAGAACATTATGTGAAGCATAAGAGGTAAATGCAATGTCCAATCAATTCCTGGTATACCATCGACAACAATGTCAGTTAATAACATCACAGCAACGTTACATCTGAAACAATTTTTTATTTATATTAAATAAATTTAGGAATCTTTTATGTATTTTAGAAAAAATAATATTTTTAAACAATAAGAAAAATTGTAGCGGCGGCAGAATAACACACAATTATGCTTATTAAGAAAAACTCTGGTTGATTGATACGAATATTGATACCTGTTTACTTTATTTATTGATTGTTTAATATCAAAGAATAAATTTAAAACAGGAAAATAATTTTTTGAAAAAATTTTTACCTATGAAATCCGCTTATTGGCAAACTAACATCTGGCAAGAATTCTGTTAATGGTGCAAAAAAACCACCATATTCTGGCATTGGTAATGGATGTGGGGCTAATGGAGGATCGGAACGCAATTCAACATTTTCTTCTTGTTGCATCTAATCAAAAAAAAAATATGTTAAATCAATGAAATATTATAATTATATATATTTACATCTTGATCATTTATTAGGATATCTTCTGGTCTTGGTAAAATTGTTGGTCCGGATGCTGCTCGTATTTTTTCACAACCACGAGGTGGTCTTGTTCCCTGAGAAAATGCTCTAATACCACTGTCTGATTTACATGTACTGGAGAAAAGAGTATTTAAACATTATGTGAGATTTTATTAAAAATTAAAAATAATATAATGTAAGGATTTAACAATTTATGAGCTTCAAATTTAGCAAAAGATTTATTAAAATATCACGAATTACAAATATTTAGTTTAAAATTATTGAAATTCTTTAAAATTATTCAATATTATTTAATTTATAAAACCAAATACCCAGTTTTAATAGGATCTTCACCACTATGACGTTTTGTATGTATCGTTCCTTTTTCAACAGTTAAATCTTGTATTCTTGAATCATTAATACCACCAGCTGTTTGACCTATATATTTATTTATTGTATTTATAAAATTATTATTTTATCAAATAATTTCGTTTTATATTCAATTGAGCATTTTAATTTTCATAGTGCATATTTACCATCAGAATGACTTGAAGCTTTTCTCATACTAGTTAATCTATAAAATGGTGGGGTTTCAGTACGTTCAATTAAACAATTTAATGTTTCAACCGTTTGCAATTCTGTCATTAATTCATCTAATAAACGGTCTGGACATGTTCTTGCTAAATAGAGAGCAACACGTTTTGCCTTAATAAACAAAAGTAATATTAAATTAAATGGCTAGTATTAATCAGGAATAAAATTAAATTTTATGAAGAACAAAAAAAAATATGATTATTATTATCGTATACATAAAATGTGACTTAATATTATATTTGATAATATTAAAAGATTCATACAAACATTTTTGTTAAGAAATATAAGAGTTTGTTTAAGTAGACCACCAAAACTTACATAAGGTAAAAGTTCATTTGGTGCCATTCCAGACATAATAACCAAATATCGTAAGATTACTTTTAAATTATTTGGCCAAAATTGACATAATGTTCCCCAAAGCTCTTCAATATCACGAGGATGGGAGTCGGCGAACTGTAAAGCAAACATAATTGATTTCAAGAAATTAAGTAAAGAAGTAAAAATTAAATTAAATAAATATTAAATATTTATGTTTTAAAAAAAAAATTTTCAATTCACTTTTGCTGTTATGTAGAATAAATTATTTAAAATCATTTCTGTAGCTTCAGTTGAACCAGATCCTTCACGTCTGCCTCTTGTTCCAGAATCCGGAAAATACTATTTATTAAAATAAAATAAGGAAGAGAGAGAGAGAAAAAAAATACATATTAATATCCTATAAAATGTAAGAAAATATTATTGAAATTATTTTACCATTATGTACGATAAAGGTGTTGCTGGTGGAACACTAGTTGCTATCAATTCCATATTTTCTAACCATGGTAAAAGGCATTGTAATAATAACGAACGTACTTCATCACGGGAAGTTTGTAAACGATAAGTGATTTCTGAAAAATAAAAAGATAATAAAATATTTGATAATTAATAAATTAGAAATTTTTGTTGTATTAAAAAAACGATAACATTTATTGCTGTTTACGCCTATAAATTAAGAAATTTCACTACAGTGATATTTTTATTACTATTTTTAGGCATTTACATGCTTAACATATTATTGAAAAGTGTTATGAAAGAACAAAACTACTTTGTTCATCTTAATTATTTCTTTTCGGTTAAATCAAAGAAACTCCTTTCTAACTTTTACAATAATGTTGGTGCCGATTTCGGAATTAGTGCTCGTGAATGAAAGTGTAAAATTGTATTAGATTTACAATACGAAATATGTACATATTTAAACATTTTACAGCGTGACTTTGTAAAAAAATTCAATATTAAGTATTTTTGTTGAGTAGAACAAAAACAGATAAAGTTTTTGTATAGAATTAGGTTTCGATAATAAAAAGTAATCTAAATAAAGGCATTTTTGTCGAAACAAGAAACATGTTAAATACAATTAAGGGTTTAAAACTAAATTTTTACTAAATTTTGTTTCTTGTGTTTAAAATAATTTTTAAAATATTCTGAAAAAATAAATGTATTAAAAATACCAACTTTTAAATTTGTTTTTCTACTTACCAGAGAACATAGACATTGTTAATTCTGGTCTTAATTGGGCAATAGTTTTTGATAAAAATCTTTGAGATCGACAATATGCATTACTAAGTAAAGCATCTAAAGTACCAGCTTTTTCATCTTCTGTAAAAATAAAAATGTAAGAAAAATGTAATTATTAAAAAAATTTAAAATAAAGAAAAATTAATTTAATTAAATTTATATAAAAATCTGACACCTTAAGAGCTAACCTAAAGACCACATTATTGGGTTTTGGCGTTTCCCAAGGTTCTAGTAAAATTAATTCATAAATTAAAACACATTTAGAGCATAGACAGTTCGAAACTCCGCTAAAAATAACTACAGTTATATTTCTCTAATACTGAGAAATAAATTTCTGTCTTGAACTTGATATTTGAAATTTTGTGTCATCACATAGTACCTACCATCATTTCTGTGCACAATGCGGTTGGTAATAAATAAAAAAAAGTTTAACAAAAACAAAAGAAAAAAGCATTTGCAAAAATTAATGAAGAAGTAAAAATGCAACGCAAGATAAATGTAAAAGAGAAACGAAGTGCTCTTTCTCTTCGCATCAACTTCATCACAATTCACAATATTATTTTATTATTGTTTTAGGAAGATTCAACAAGTTTTTTTATTCTCTTCTTTAACTCTATAATTTTCTATGTTCTCTTTTTCTGAATTGAAAACTTTTACCGATTCGTGGCAGCAAAAAAAAACCAAAAGGATAATATTTGCTGACATATAAAGTTTGTTATCCTTAATTTTACTTAAAGAATTCAGCTATTACGAGTACTTTATTAAAGCATCTTATTATTATTCTTATTAAAATATTATTTATTTACACAGTATCAGTAAAATATGAATTTAGAGAAGAATATATAAATTTATAATTGAATAAAATTAAATAAATATGGATAAGATTTGCCATTAAACTATTAAATTGAATGGAAAACTTTAAAAATATTAATAATATTAAATAACTGAAACAAAATTCAACAGGTTAGACCTATATAATTAAAAACTTTAACAGGATTTTAAGAGCAAAATTTTAATATTTCTTTTAAAAGAATAATTTAATACTACATTTAGTTTTAATGATTCATATTAAGTACCAAGTTTAAGAGAAATTTCTAATTCAAATCGAAGAGATTAAATTAGAGAAAAAGCTTTTTTATAAAATCAAATATTTTTGAATTTCTAAAAAAGCTTTTCAATTTAATTTCAATTTCAAATGAAATAAACTTTTAACAAAATATTTTATCATAACATTAAAATTAGAGAAAATGATAAGGAGAAAGCATAATACAAGAATTTACCGTAAATTGCAAATAAATTTTTTCTACCTTAATCCATAACGTGCGGTCCCAAAACTCTTGTACTCGTATTGTGGAAAAAAAAATTAAATTTTCAATTAATCAAAAAACAAAATAAAAATTTTCACCGGAAAGAGAGGAATTTAGATAAATAAATAATTTTATAGATTATTGATTTTTAGTGTTTTCAATAAAACATAAAAAAAACGTGGAGCTCTGATTTAAATTTTAGTGTCTGGAAGGTAGTAAAACATGTATTATGCAGAAAATTGAATGGAAAAACTTACACAAAAAAAAAATTTTCTTGTTAAATTTTTCTATTAAATTGGAAATGCTCAATTAACGATGGTTTTCTTGTTAATTTTAATTTCGAAATAGTTTTAAATATTTGGCTATTTTGTTTTTATAAAGCTAATTTTAAAAATTTTCAATGAATTATTTCTTATGCACATTTTGTTTAAAAAAGTTTTTGCATTTCACAGTTCTTTTATTTTTTTTTTTTTGGAAATTTAAAGAAAAAAAATGTTTACCAAAAAAACAAAAATTTATTCAAATATTCTGGAAACTACATTTAAAATATTTTGGGATTTTCATTTATTGTTGGATCAGTGCGCAATTAAACAAAAAAAAGGTAAAAAGAAAAATTTCCCTCCAAATAATGAACGGGCCCGTAGGAAATTTTTAATGAAAATTATTAATGATACATCGACAGACCTTTGACTAACCAGTGAAGGATCTTTATTATATTTCATTTGTTGTGTATAGCAATTAAATTTTTACAATTTTGGAAAGGAAATTAAATTAGTTACAATAAAGCATCAACATTTTCTTTATCAACTTCTTAAAGAACTGTAAAAAAACATTCGTGTGCTTAATTGATATTTTATAAAAATGAGAATTTATTATCGATTTATATAAGTGATTTTGGAAGTGATAAGAAAATTAAATTTTAAATTTGATTTTTTAATAAAATGTTTTCTAAAAATATTTGCTCTATGTAATTTTGTATACAATTGTGTTAACAATTGAATAATTTTGTATTGAGTTGTGTTAACAATTTGAGTACTAATGTAAGAACTGAACAAATTACAATATTATTAATAAGAGCATTAATAAATTTTTATATAAAAAATTAAATAAATTTTTAATAATATTATGAAAATAAATATTCTCAATTATTATTTTTAACAAAACAAAATCATTCTCTTTTAGTATTTCTCTGCACATCGAAATATTTATGAAAATTATTGTTATAAGAAAAACAAAATTTTATAATAATTTTTTTACTTTCTCATCGAATACATGGAACATTGAATATACTAGATATATACAGTTTCATTATCGTATATCGTATTTAAGGAAACCTGACGCACATGTTAAAAAATTACAAAAATAAATAAAGAAAAAAAAATTTTTTTTTTGTACTTCACCACTTTCTCTAAAATTTTCCTTTTTTTAACAATGAATAACTTCATTAAATTGTATAAGAGTTTCAGTTTCTTTATTTTCAGTTTCGTGATTTTAGTTTAATTTTACTCCTCTTAAATAATAAGAGGAGTAAAATAAATGATATTCCATAAATGCAAATAAAATTTTTAGTCCTACTTAAATTTTATACGTATAATGGTGAAAATGGTGTATTTATATTTACCGTTTGTTAATTAGTAGAAATTGTTTCGTGAAATTTATTATTAATTTATTGGAATGCTCTATCGTAACTCGAATTCCCTCAAAAGTTCGTCAATTATTCCAGATAACAAATCGAGTTGTTTGATTCAACAAAATTTGATCAATTCGTGTCATAGCCAAAATAAACTGTTATATAAACGCATTTCATCGCATAACTTTCCTTATTGTTTGCAATGCGATCGGTAAAAAATTGTTCAATGCCTGGAAACTACTTAAGTTTTATAAACTTGTACAATTTTGCCGTTAAGAGAAAAACGATATTAAAGCGTGAAATGAATTTGTGAATAAAAACACGAGTTCAAGATTATGATTAATCATAACAATATTTAGTAAGTTACACTGAAAAAAAATATAATAAGAACATATTCAATGTTTGGATATTTAATTTGAAGCGCTGAACGAATAGATTCATTTAAATGTAGCAATATAACCAATATATAAATTAATTTACTTGATTAATAAAAATAAATGATAATGCAGTTTTTATGATTTAGGTTCTATAACAAAAAAAAATTGGTTATTTAGGGTTTCCATTCAAGTATATACACAAATTTACACTAGCGGTATGATATAAAATGCAGAAAAGCAAAAATTTATAAATTTTTTTTGGAATAATCATAAAAATTTCTCTTAAATTATTTGTGTACATACAAGTATAAGTGAAAAATACTTATTATTCTTTAAGGACATTTTCCTGTGTTCGCAGTTTTTTATCTTATTTTGAATATAATTTATATACATAAATAATATTTGGGATTTATTAATATATATGTACATATATAAAATTTTTTTTTATATTAAAATTAGCCTTGAATTATCGTTATAAAGCTATAAAACTAAAGTCCGTGTTCAAAATCAATAAATAGATTTTTTTTTTATATATTAAAATTAAAGAATATATTTTACCTTTTTCATTTTCAATGTTTAATGGACCCACAGCACCAAAAAATCTTTTATCCAATATTTGTAATAATTGTAAAGCAGTTGAATGTATTTCAACTCTAGGACAGCCTGTCATTAATAATGTTACATTTATAACTGATGTATAATGATCACATGGATATTCCCTGAAAGTATGCAATGTAAATTATAGTAATTTGACATTTTTCAATGTTGCAAATAATATAGAAATAAAAAAAATGTCAATTAAATTTCGAATATAAAATTTGTAGAACATAAAATTCGGGTATAATACAATTATGTATTATAAAAAATGTTGCTGATTTTCACAAATTCAAAAAAAAATATATTTTTTTTTTTTTTGAGTACCTTCCTATACCAATGAGTATTAATAATTTGATTAGATTTTAGGTAACAAATAAGTTTATGGTAAAATTTAATACACAAGTCGAAGTTTAGTAAGAGTATATACTGCAAAAACAATATTGCAAATACCGTAACTTGATAAATATGCAATACATTTTTTAACTATTTTATAAAATCAAAGCAGTTCTAATGTTTTAACTGGCACTACTCATACTAATTTCGCTAAATTGCGAAAAATTAGCCAAGTTTGTGAACAAATTAACTCCGTTAGCAACATTTGTTTATTAACACAAATATAGTGTAGTTTTCGCTATATTTTATATTTCGCTTACTATATTTTATATGATTCGCTATATATCGCGATATACAGTGAACCTACTATATTTTATACGAAAAAATCTTAATTAAAAGTGCTTTCCGTTGAATGAATAACGTACAAAATTGTGTGTTTTCTAATATAATTTTTTGTTTTATAGCAAATCAACAGAACTATGTCGTTTACGATCAATTTGATATTAAAAAATTCGCTTATATAGATTAATTCCATTTCTTATTGTATATTATAAGCACTCTATTTTGCAATATAATTGAAATTACATATTAGTTTTATAATAATTTACAAATTATTTAAGATTAGTTTCCAAAATAAATGCATGAAAATCTTAATATTCAAATTTTTTAACAATATTAAGAATTTTACATTTATTTTTCAAACAAGAGTATAAGGGCATATATACTAGAATAAATGTGCGTAACTGCTCCTTCAAATATTATACTGATATGTTTAAGAGTATTATACACCTGAAGTGTTATATTATTGTATATATGTATAATAGTCTCATAATATTAAATGGAACGCAAACACTATTGTTATAAACGAGAATTTTTTTTCATGTTTTTGTTATACATGTTATACATGTATGATTTATTCCAACTCTTAATAAATTTTTGCAAATTCTGTGCAAGATAAATGTTAGGAATTTAGGGAGTTTTTTTTTTGCTTTTGCTTTTTGTTGGAAAATAATTTTCTAAAAATAATCCTTTAAATCTGTAGCAAAGATTATTTACGTAAATTCATATTCCATGCTACAAATATGTGTGTAATCTCATGAGAATTTTAAATATTTAGTGGAGCAGAAATATTATGTATGGGTGCATATTTCAGGTTTTTTTTTTATTAAAATATTTGCTTTCAATTATGGTATACAATCCTATAGTAAATTTTTCTAAATAAAAAAAAATTAACAATCAATTTTTAGCCACTGACCTTTTAACTTCAAAATTTATATATGTATATATAGGTATTAATCATTGACTTCATATATATAGACCTTTTCCGATATTCAATTCAGTTTTTGTTGTTGTTTTTTTTTTTTATGTACTATTAAAATTTATTATTCCATAGTGGAATAGTTTTTTGTTTTTCCTCTTATTTTTGTTAGTGACTGCTTTCGTAAATTATATTTTATGTAACGGTATAAAATATAATTTTAGAATCACGAATTTACTTCCATATCGTATGAGGAGATTTAAAGGATTTACAAATTCAACCATATGGGAAAGAGTCTAGACTTAATAGTAAATAAAACAAAAAAAGAGAATTCTCATTGTTTAATGGAACAATTTTTTAATTTGGTATCATGTGTAAATATATTTTTTAAATTTGTATGACAATTACGTATGCAGTAGCTCATTTTATAGCTTATGTCTTATATAGTATCATTAGCTTGCTATTATAGAAGCAAAAATATTGTAATAAAGAAGAATTAAATAGCAAATTAAAGACGGGAAATTGTTTTTTTTTTTTAAGAATAACTTTGAATTGGCGAAATTGTAATTCTGGTCTTAAAACTAGAATGCAACTTTTCAGGTTGGTTATAAAACTGAATTGGTTGTAATTTAAGCATAACATATCAAATTCTAGAACTTCTTCTTATTCGTATTTTTTAATTTAATGTTGAAATTAATTAAGAGAACATTAAAAATTTCACGATTTTTTTCATTTATATCCATTTTGTCTCTTATGTGAAGTGAGTGCATTTAACATTTGCTTCTAAATTCACTAACTTTTACTCAAAATAATTAAAATTGCCATTAATGTGATCTCAATTAAATAAAAAGTTACAACTGAACTAACATCAGAATTGAGTTCTAAAAATTCAAAATTAATTAGATTTATAAAATTTGTTTAAAATTTTGGTCCTTCAATAGAAAATCATTTAAATTGAAGTTCGATTCGTACGAGACTAACGGTATTTTATTATTATATATGTTTATTTCTTACTAGGAATATGAAATGTTTTAGTAAAAATAAGTTTGTTTTAGTGCAAATTAAATTATCAAAACCAGCTTATTTGCCCCACAGCAAATGCATGAATTTATTCATCAAACCTGTTACTTCCTTTATTATTCTGGTCTAATCTTTTTTGATATACCAACACATTCATTTAGAAATTTTATTTTAATATTAAATATTTTTAGTTTGTATTTAATTAATTTTGAAACGTTTTAATTTATTATACTTTATTTTATTAAAATTAAAAGAGGGAATCCTTAATTTATTTATTTATTTATTTTTATCTCCTCATATAATTCAATTAAAGTCCTTTTGATGTTTTCTTATCTATATTTTATTATTGAATTTTCTATTTTAGGGAATTCTTTATGAATACTTTTAAATATTATCATAGATAAAATTAATAAAAAAAAATAAGCATAAATTCTGAACATACAAAATAACTTTATATATAAAGTGGTGTAAGAGTTAGATTAAGATGTTAAAGATAATAGAATTGATAAGGAATATAAAAAAAAATGAGACATGATGTCAAGGCTCTTTCTCTTTTAATAAGATTGCCAAAACTTATACATATACATAGGTAAATTTTATATTTTTATTAATCTCCAAGAATTTTATCACGTCTATTTGGAAATTTTGTAATTTTATGGAAATCAATATGCAAACATTTCTTCAACTTAGATTTTAAAAGAAATTCGGATATAAAATATAAAAGAGATATAAAAATTTAAGTAAATCCGTTCAATATATAGATTTTGTAAAATATCTAAAATTAGCCCAATTAATTCCTCAGTTGAATTCGGATAAAATATAAACACAATGGGTCAAATGGTAGTTTATTTATACGTTTCTCTTACATAGAGAAATTTCCATTGAAATTTCCATTGAAAAACCAAAATGTGAGGAAATTAATTTTGTAGTAAAAATTCATTAGGAAAATATTTAAAAAAATTCTTATTTACAATTTTAATATTAAATTTTAATAACACATGAAAATTTTGTAGTTTTAGGAGTGCATAACTCCGTAAAAATTCTTATAGCTCAATACTTATCAAATCTTAAAAAAATACTTTTGGCAACTTGCAGCAAAGAACATATTTTTATTTTCTACAAAAATATTATAAGAAAGGGCTATTCTAATTTTCAGATATTTGAGGGCCTCTTTTTGTTTCAATAACATTTGAAGGGTTCTAATTTTTTTTGTTGCAAAAATTTTTAATTCTCTTATTAATGTAAATAATTTTCGTATTGAAGCAAATAATATTGTAGGGTGATGAAATACACACATACTTAAAGCAGTGTAATGAAGTGCAAACATTTTGTTAAAACAGTTTGTTATAAAAAATGTGTTCCGAAATTGCAGTGTATACACAGTGCTACATGCAGTGTAGTCGATAAATGAAAAAATTTCTCAGTCCCCAGTAATTATGAGAAATTATTAAAAATGCTCTATCCCTTCTTATTTAACCAGAAAACGTGTTTAAAATTTTTCAAATGATTTTTTTCAAATATCTTTAAAAAAATATTTTTGCTATAGAACATTATCGTAAAGCGCTGAATATAAAAGTTTAATATAAGAATTTTTTCCAAGGAAATTATTATTGTAAATAAGGAAAAATAATTATAATAGAAAAGTTTTTGTTTTTGATTCTTAGAAAAGTATTTTATTAATGAAAGATGTATAACAACACGTAAAAAGTAAATTTTTTGTTTTATACCAAATTTTATACTTGAAATAACTTAAGTCCTTTTTCTGTTATACATATATGAGATTTGTAAGTGTAAAAATTTTCTTAGAAACTTTTTTGTTTATTTTTTTTTTTATTTTCTTTTTAAGTAAAAGTAAATTAATTCTTATGAATTTTTTTTTTATAATTTTATTATTATTATTGATGTCAATTTGTCAAATTATAACTCTTGTTAAGTTTAGATTTAAAAAGATTTATCAAAAAAGAATTCTTGAGTTTTATGAAACTCAGTTTACATATTGTTCTACTAAACAAATAAACAGAATAGTCTCGATTTCATTAATAAGTTATTTTGATTTTGGTGTAATAAGAATATACAAGAAAATAAAAATACCTACTGTTATATATAATGTTATATAACAGGTAATATATAATGTTATATATGTAAAAATTATTAAAATATTGCGTGTTTTCAATTCTTTAGAGTATAAAACATTTTATAGATGTAATCGGTAAATTCAAAATGCCGGCCGACAACATTTTTGCTTCTGACAGTCACCAACCGGTATTCAACATTAAATTGCTGAAATTTTTTTCTTGCATATCTACTTTTGTATACAACTTTTTCATGAAACCGGTTGGCAATTGCTTTAGTCAAAGTATCGATTTTGGTATTTTACTTAAATGTTATTTCATTAAATAAAATTAGCTTATCCTTTTCAAAATTTTCCAAATTTTTAAAAAATTTTAATAATACGACAAGCAACTGCCATTACTAATTATGCAATATTTACTTTTTACATTATTATTATGGTTACACTATAAAAATATAGACATCTGTTGAAAATATTAAAAGTTACAATGCTCTTGTTAACTGCAATATCGATTAAAATTAATAATATCAAATGAATCTGATGCGCATCTTACATTATGGATTACACCTTATTACTTTAGAATAGTTTAATAGTTTGTGTACATTAAAAACTGTTCATATTCATTCCATATATATTGGAATATAACGCAATCTCTAAACGTTCATAACAATACTTGACTCCTAGATTTGTGTAGTTTGGAATGTTATATATACTTGGAGTTGTATAACACATTCACAGTGTTATATACTCGGGAAATGACTCGTAAGCATTAGATCAGCAATTATCATTTCAATAAAAATTAAAAAAAAAAAAAACCAATTTTAATATACAATTTAATATACAAATAAAATAAAATTAAAATTATGATAAAAATAAATTAATTTATTTATTCAATACTAAAATTTGTTCCCAATATTCAAAACATTTTGAACTTCTACTATAATAACACGAATTGAAAGAAAAGTAACTATATGATTTCAGTGGCTTCAAGCACAAACGACTTAAGTCTGTTTTAGTGATTTCGAGATAAATGCATTTTAAACTTTAAATTAAATTTTGAAAAAAGTTGTGAAGTTTTTTGAACCAATTTTTTTTTTGATTGAAAGATAATTAAAAAATTAAGCGATTAACTCACAATCTGAAGTAAAACAACTAATAGTATTCTCATAATTATGAAAAAAGTGAGATAGGCGGTTATACAAAATTTATAAAAAGCACTTTGCAAAGCATAACTCGACTTAGGCGATTTGTGAAAAATTACTTTTGCATTTTCGTCAAACTTAAGTCGACTTAAGCTGTTGTTGCAAAACTGAAGGTATGGTTTTAGGTGACTTAAGTTATACTAAAAAGGGAAGAAATATATATATTATTTTTAGGTTATTTGATTTTTCACTCTTTTTTCAAATCATTGTCATTAAAAACATAAATTGAGGTAAAAAATGAATAAACTTCAAGTAAAAATTATTTCTAAAAGTTTAAAAATAATTTTTTCATTAAATTTAAGAAAGGTGACAGTATCTTTTATTCTCTCTCGGATTCTCCAACTAAATATGGATGAGTATCTGCTAAATCTCCAGTCTTAATCTTTTTGTAAAATTTGTGAACCAAAGGATCAATAAATTGCATCAAGTACTCTAAGTTTTTCTTTTTTGGTACTAATTTTCTCTTCTTCTTCAATTTGGAGCATGTCTTGAAAATCTAACTAGTTAACACCTCGTCTTAAAATATAAAAAATCTTTGTATAAACTGCTCTTGTAAAATATTTTTGGAAGTCAATTTTTTGAAATCTGTGGTGCGACTCTTTCCACTTAAGAGAATTTCAAAAGGTAATTCAATTACAAAAAGGCTTCATTGTGCAACGGATCTGACAAAGTTGTTACATTATTGTAAAAATGAGCACATAAAGTAATCTCTAAAATGAGTTTATGAGTTTTGTGTTTGTTATTTTATTTATGTACTATAGTCCATATGACTTCCTTACTTGTTCATAATGATACTAAATGCGAATTAATTAAAATTTTTAAATCGAAAGCAAACTGAAATCGAGTGTGAGTCATTACAACTACTGTAATGAAAAGTCAAATTTGATAGTGAACTCGAACTAGTATAGAAAATAATAATTCGATACTTGTGACAATTAAATCTTGGAGACGTATTATTAATTACATATAGAGAATGGTTTGTGAGTCAGTTTTTCTCTAAGTTCTGCCGTAAAAAGTATATAGATCTCCGTAAAAAGTTGTGGCAAAGTAAATTGGTTCGGAATTTGCTCTCCTATCATAGAGTATATGAGTATTTGATTATCAAATAAACAAAGAATATTGTAAGTTTGCTCGACATTTTTATTTTAGTTGTCAGCATTTACTTTTCAATTAAGACTCCATACAAATTGACCACGAGTCAGTTTCGAGCGTTCATGTACTTGAGTGCATTCAGGAAGCCCGGTCGCGAAAGATGAAGCGAATTTTTCTAACCGTTCGGCAAATTGTAAAAGGATTTTTCTTAAAAGAATAAAAGTAGAAAGCCTTTCATATTTTTTTATCTCTACAGATATGTTCACATGCCCAATAGGACTCGAAAACTTGCTTTTGAATGTTGTCAATTTTAAAATCAGGATCGTTAATACAGTCACCACGACCAAAGTCAATTGCGGTTTTCAAAACTGTATTAACTTCGGTTTTCAAAGTAAGATCTGTTGTGTAAATACTTGTTTATTTACTATAGGACCAGTTTCGCTAATTTCTATGCTTTAAAACACTTTGAATCCGTTATGCTAGTTTCAAATATATTGCAATACCTATAACATCCGCCACAATCATCTCAGCTCTCCTAGCAAGTTCCAAATTTTTTAATGTACATTTATTAAGCGTGAATAAAGTTTATATTGGATAATTTTTGCATTATTTAACAATTTCCAACATCAGCACATTTAAAAACAATAATAAATAACTGTCTTTGTAAAAAATACTTCCTTCGAAATAACAAAAATATAATAAATATTTGAAAATCGAAGAAATTTAATCTTACGGAAATGAGTAATAAAAAGTATAACAAAATATTGTTATTCCCAGATGCAACAATTTTATTTATTGAAAACCCTTGCATATTATAATAATTTGAATTTCCTAACAAAATGTGTTTTACTAGTGTATAATAAAAGTATTGCTTTGTAATACAATAATTAAAATAAAAACTCTTGTTAAACACAAAAATTTTATCTTCCTAATAACATGTGTTTTACAAGGGCGTAATAAGACAACACTTTGTTTAATAATACAATTATGTTAGACCACAAAGGCAAAACAATCTACCATCAGGTAGCTAGCCACGTGTCATTTTAACATGGGAACTCCGTCAATTGAAAAAAACATTTGTCGCAGGTAAATCACGAAATGACCTACAAGATTATTATTGTTAAATAAAAAAATTCAAATCTTAAACATGGGATATTTGGGTAATTAGAGCATTAATAATGCAGGTAACTTCTGCAGATGTTTTATATTTTGGGTTAAAAAATACAACTATCTTACTTGTCGCTGAATGTAAGATTTAATTTTAACTATAGTGAACAAGTTTTAAACCATGGACATAAAGTACCTACACTATATATCACATAAAATAATATGTTAAGCGTTATAAAATATTTTTTATTATAAAAAACTAAAAAATATTCTATACTAATTATGTATTATTTCGAACACTAAACGCTTAACTTTGATTTTTGGTTCTTATTTGCACGCGTTATAAAAACCTAACTCAACATAAGAAGCCTTTTGGAATATAATTGTATTTGCAATAATCGCCTAACTCGAGATGAGTTTAAAAAACCACCAATTATTATTTTACACAAATCGCTTATGTCGAGTTAGTATTTAAAAAAACTCAAAATTAATTTTGCAACAAAAGCTTAACTCGAGATAAGCGGTTATAAAAATTCATATATGAAAAAAAAAATGTCACCAATATTGATTTGCAACAATAGCCTATCTCGAAATAAGTGGTTTGTCAAAAACATAAAAAAGATGTTTTCTGCTCCTAACTCGAAATAGGCGGTTAGTGCAAGTGCACATAGCTACCATTTCGAGTTAGGTCATGTGTGAATTCGACAATAACTCCGGCTACAACAGTCGTAGAACCACCAAATTTTGTGAGCATATGAAACTCAAAGCGGAGAATTCGCTGGTAAACATATCTCATTTTTGTCTTAACTCGAGTTAGGCGGTTTGTGTTTGAGGCCACTGATTTCTTTTCGAAGTCCTTATTTTTTTTTTTATTTAATAAGCTAAAATTTCTATGAAAAAAGGATAATAAGGATTTCGTTATACATACCATAATATTTATAAAAATAAATACTTTTGTTATTGTGTTTGTATGCTTATTTTTTGAAATCAAAATGTAAGATATTTGAAGAAAATAGTAGAATAACCTTAATTTAAATGAAAAAAGGCACACTGAACCTCATAATTTTATTAATAGAGAAAATCCTTTTTTCATATATTTAAGAATAATTTAATATTTTGTAAAAGTTAAAAATTAAAATTTTGTTCGATGTTGCTATGTAAGTTTTTCTTTTTATTTTAGTAAAAATATTATTTATTTAGTATTTTAAATATTTATAATTATAGAATAAATAAATTCGAAGTTTGTCAAATAAATTTCACATAATGGGCTTCCATTAAACATTTTTGCCATTGATTCTATGAAAATTTAAAAATTAATTCAGGAGGTTCTAGAAAAGGAGAACAAGAAAATTTACTTTTTTTTTTATTGAACGTACTTTGAAAATTTCTTCAAATAACCTTCTTTTGAATATACATACATAGATAATATTTATTTTGATTTATTTGAGCTTTCTTTGATTATTAGATTTTTTTTTTTTGCAATTTTGGAGTTTTATTTTTCTAGTCCTACTAGATGCAATGCTTCTCCTCTTACGATATCTACTTTTCATCATTTTTTTTTCTTTTTGCCCCCCAAAAATTATATTATTATTATTTTGAATATTTGATATTTTTCTTGTTTATCATATTTCAAACTTTTGCCACTAAATAAAATTTTCTATTGTTTCCGGTTCAAATGTCAAGAAACGAATATAAAAATGTAATTTTAAATGGTCTAGACAGTGGGTTTTTAGACCCCTTTTTTTTCTTTTTATTTTTTTTTTTAATATTAATATATTATTTTACAAAAATGATTGATTTGAAATTTTAGTTTTTTTTTTTTTCAAAAAATTTAATATAAACTTTTTGATTTTATATATGTACAATGTATTTAATGTGTATTGAACTTGAAAATATTTTCTAAATAAATTTTATATTGTATAAGAGCATTAATAATAAATGTGGTAAAATTAAATATAAATATTTTTTTACGGTTCATTAATGGAATAGAAACTGAATGCTTGAAATAATTGTTAACTTACCTTGCACTAAATATTGATGCTAATGAAAGAAAACATGCATCAGCTTCGCGTGGCACAGATGTGTAACATCTATCAATAACCCATTCTAATAATTGACCAATATCAGGATTGGATTCCAATAATACTACAACTGTATCACGAGCCAATTGATAAATCTAAGAGTTTTTTAAAAACCATAATACAAAAAAAAAACAATTAAATAATTTATTATGTTAAAAAGTAATTGACGTTTTTTAGGCAGATTTATAAGGTTAACAAAAATTTACAGATTTTACAATTTACAAAATTTTTAAATTGCACAAAAAAGAAAATAATAAATAATAAAGTATAAGCAAAATAACATTTTACAATAAGAACAAGTGTGGTTATCATTATTTGCAAATCAAATTTTACGTTCAGGTTATTTACAGATAAGAAGATATGAGAACAGAGGCGCACCATCATAAATGAGTTTAATTTATTTTACTCACTTTTTCTTCTCTTGATGTTAATAATAAGTCTAACCATTTATAAATGATACCGTCCTCAGATAAATGATTTGAATTAAATATAGGACCACAACATAGAAGTGCCGACATTGCCTACAAACAAGAAAAAATCAATGATCAATGTATGAATATTTTAACATTTCATTCTACTTTTAAAATTAAACTTAAAATAATAATTCTTGAATAATCAAGAATAATCTAATTGTGTGATTATATCAGTATTATTATATAATATGAGTAATGAATAATGATATAGTATGAGTATATAGTATGAGTAACAAGTAAATTTTTATGAACTTACTTGTAAAGCACTAAATTGTAATTTTTCTTCTTCAGTTGTATTACCGATTTGTGATGATATTCCTAAAGGTTTAGAAAAATTTCCACTCCATGTTGCAAATAAATTAAATAGATTTCGTTTTATATCACGAGATAATAATGTAACACAGGATTCAACTAAAAATGATAAAAATAAAATTAACTTATATGAAAAGATAAAGAAATATTTAAGAAAAAAAATTACTTACGTGAAAAATTTTTTATCATTTTTCTTATAAAATTACAAAAATGTGTTTTAACTTCTCGTATATTTGCATTATCTTTATCAGTTTCAGCTTCTAAATATAATCGAGCACCTTCAATATATTCAACAAAAGTTGGATGTAAAGACATTGTATCACGCTCAAGAACACATGTACTGCAAATAAAATATTGAAAGAATATTAATATCAATGAAATTAATCTAAATTAAAATTTACAAATCGAAAAATAATTTTATCATTCAGCATTCTTAAACTAAAAAGTACAATTTGTTATTAGTAGGTATTTGTCAAAATTTTGTCAAAGGGTTAGAATGTTATTTTTTTTTTAGACATTTAATGCTCCATCTTCTGTGAAATTATGAAATTATAAAATTTTTAAGTACAAGTATTAAGTTTAGAATTTAAAATAAAATTCATTTCTCTAATTTTTTAATTAATGTAAATTGTAATGTAAAATTGAATTTTGAATATAATATTTAAATTAAGAGTTGAATTAATTTAATTATCATATCAGTTTGTTAAAATGATCTTAAATTAATTCAAAATTGTACTTACCTAACACCAAATGTACCATTTTCAGCAATTTTTTCTAATACACGAACCAACTGTAATCGTAATGCATCACGTCTCCTTCTTCTTCTCATATTCTCTTGTTTTCTATCCACAGCCTCTCTAATATATACAACTAATTCCTCCATTAGATCCCTAAAAGCATAAAAAAAATGTTTTTAATAATACATATTAATAATAATGTATAAAATTCTAATTAAACAAAATTAGACACAATAGTATAATAAATAATTAATGCTAAATATTAATTTTCATAATTGAATTATGAAAAATGAATCTGAAATATAAATGATTTCTTCTCAATACCTTTATATTTCCAGGAATTTTTTTAATGTTAAAAGTTCATTTACTTGACTATAATTAATTAACTTGAATAAAAACTATATTTTGAATATTTGTAGCTAGTACATTATCAACTACAGAGACCAATAAAAGATATAAATCTTAACTTAAAACCAGAGAAAAAATATAAATATGATATGGCATAACAGAATATATGTATATTAAGGGGGATCGCATGGTAAGCCACTTCACGGTTTTTCTAATATTTTATAGTTTTTTTTTTCAGTTTTTTACTCTTTTTGTACTTTCATTAAAAAATGGACGCAAAATTACGATAAAAAAAAAAATTAAACGTCAGGGTCAATAAGATATAGAAAAAAGGGAAAAAGAAAAAAGTATTTTGTGTTTTACTTTTAATTACAAACTCATTATCCCTATTTTGCCTCGTTATTGTTATTGTTGCTCTTTTAGTACTTTTCAATATTTTCTTTTTTTTACTAAATTATCCATTAACTTTTCAATATAACAAAAATTACAAACACAAGTTAAACATCATGTTACCTTCAATTATGTCAGAGTTTTTATGATGATATACTTTCATTTTTATAATCAAATAAAAATAAGAAATTATAAAAGGTATTATGAATTTCACTCTTTGTTAACTTTGATAAAGATGTGTCAATTCAGAAAATTGTCCTAAAACAATTTCAGTTGTTTAAAAATACTATTTAGAAAGAGTGATTCTTTATTTACATTACTTTTATTAACGTAATTCTCTCTCATTGCATATCTTTTTGGAGGAAACGAAAAAACGATGTTAAAGACGGGATCCTGTATCTGGTTATTTAATTGACTAAGTTAGGAGAAAATAAATGAATATCATATATGTATGTGTATTTGTATAATATAATTTTCGAAAACCAATTTGTATGTAAAATTTTTAGTGAAACTATTTTAACCTGTTAACCGACTAATTTTTCTTAGACAGCTCGATTTACTGTGCTGAATTAATTTCAAGCGAAGACGCATAATTACGAAATTTTATTTACAATTTTCTTTTTCGGCGTGACGCACATATACGACATTAACTGAAAAATGAACTTTTGAAATTGACGCATATATACGACATAATCTCTTAACAGGTTAAATATTGTAGAAATTTCATAAATTTACTTATATCTTATTATTTTCTAGCACAAATTATTTCAATTTCATTTTCTTTGTTATTTTCATTATATAAAAGTAGTTTAGTATTATACAGGTATAATAATTATACAACTAAATTCATTAATGTGGCTAGTTTTATCCATCAAAAATTACATTACCATTTTTTGTTCTTAAAAAGGTAATAAAAAGGATAAGAGTTTTTTTAAAAGTAAAATTTACATAAAATAATGTTTTATTCTTAAAAAAAATTATATTATACTATAATAGTATAATATTCTTGTTTTGATAAAATGAAGTTGTTGTAATAATGGTTTTCGCTTTTTTTGCAATCGAAGTTGGTTTGCTTTTAATAATGTAACGCAATAATATCATAATTACATTGTGTAATTTGGCAACACTAAAATTATTTGAGTATGGTTTGAAGTATGAATTAAAAATTCTTATGTAAATAAAAATTTCTTTATTAAAATAGTTTTAAATTTTAAACTTGCACCATAACGTGTTAAATTGCTATATTGAATATAGTGCAAAAATTTAATGAACACGATATGAGACATGTAATTGTCAAAAATTTCGTATTAGCGCAGCGCCATACACAAATTGTGCCGTGCAACAATATACATTTGTTGTTATAAAAGTAGGGGACTCAAAATTGCACTGTCACCTCCACATGGTGAATTCCGGTAATGGCGGGGAATAGAAAGGTGATTGAAATGACTAAAATTACATTCTTGCCGTAGCCATGTCTTACGGAGAATCCGTTCCAGAATGACATGTCCCCAGAAGAGGCCAGAGAATACAAGAAAATGCTAGAAAAGTTGAGAACCTGCGCAGTTGTTACAACCAAACATTCCCAGAAGAAGGGTCAGAAAGTAACACTCCTGATGCAGGACTCTTAAAGAAGATGTCATTGTAAGATAACGCTGAGAAAAGATTTTGGGAACAATTCTCAACAATGCCCAAAAAAAACTTCTTACTTAGAGGTCCAAAAAAGACTGTACTTCATAGTAGCTCAAATCAATGTAGATATTGCTTATGATTTGCGGTCAAATGAAAAGGTATCCGACGTTTAGATGGGGAAAATAAATGTTATAATAAACTCACATAGAACAAACTTAAATTGTATGAAAATTTTTTATGAGGGCTGTTTAACGAAAAAGAAAAAAACTTAATTTATTTTTTGCATTCTTTTATTTTTGTTTTTCATGCACAAAAAAATTTCTTTGAGCTTTAATGCACAAAAACAAAAACGGGACGACGAGCTTAAACTGATTTCGAAAAAGAAAAAAAGTTTTATCAAAAATCATCCATCAGACAAGTGGAAACAATTTTGGAACTTGGCAATTAAAATTTAATTATAAAATGGCATTTTGCGATTTTAATTTTTTAATAAAATTTTCATATACATATACGTAATTAAAATAACATTAAAAAATCGAGAACGATTCTTTATCATTGACCTTTTATCATTAAAAAAAATTTGACTTTTAATTTCATTGGAAAAGTTTTCACAACGTTTTTTTTTTTTTTTGCTTTTCTTGTACCTATTTTGAATCCAAAAACCTTGTTTCATAGTGTCTATAGTAAATTTATCAATGTCATTTAGAAGTTTTTGTCCTTGACATCGACATAGAAAATGTCATTAAAGGATTATGGCTTTTATTTTGTTTTTTGTTTCTTTCTAAATAGTTTAAACCAAACAAATTTAAGAAAAACTAAAATTTTCCAAAATTTACACGCATATTGAAAGATTAATTTAAAATTATGTATGTATGTATTGAATATTTAAAACAATTTTATTTATATAATATGCAAATGAATTTTCGATTAGTATGTATTTTTAGATCTTAACCTGGATCAAATTAGAACAGGATTTAATTTACATTATTGTATTTAAAAAAAAAAAAAATGGAATTTTGGAATTTTTAAATTTTATAAATTATTATTTAACACTTTTGAAGACTAATACTTTCTTCATGTTATTATTTTTTACATCTAAAAATAAAATTTTAAGGATTATATGGGGCTAGACATACAATACGAGTTATTAGATTTTAGAAGAAAAAAAATTCTAATTTTAAAAAGAAAATAAAAAAGAAATTTTTAAAATCAATTTAATTTTTATCAATTCTTAATTTTGAAAGTGTAAATTTTAAAGCGTAAAAATTTGCTCAAAACTTTGTTGAAAATAAGTTAAGAAATATGTTCTTCACATTTAATTGTAGTTTTACTGTTCAAAATTGAACTTAAAATTATTACGACCGGCTCATATTCTTTCCATTCGCTTTTTAAGCACGCTAAATTGTAATTTGGCAATTCATAATTAAACCGTTTAATAAATATGTTTTCAATTTACGAAAAAAGCAGAAATATATTGACTTGCTTTGTTTAATGTAGTATAATAACTAAATGAATAAATTTCTGTTGTTTTACCAGTGTATGACAAAATAACAAATTAATTGTTCAAACAAAAAAAAACCAAAAACTTTTTATACAAAAAAAACTGTTTCTTCTACAATCATTGCCTTCCAAATTATCGCTAATCAAAATTGGAATAATTTTAACTATGTGTTGACAACTCGTTTCTTGAAAATTATAAGCTTCACTGAATTTTGAAATAAAAGAAAAAAGTAAAGGTTTTTAGACCATTAATTAGAAAAGAAAAATAATAAAAATAATTTCTTTTGAATTTTATCATTCACCTAAAAGTATGCAATAAAAATTTGATCTTCTCAAATTTTAGTATAACAGTAGGTAACTGTTATATTTTTCTCAAAATTTTTATTTTTTAATAGAATATAATAATATAATACATACTCGTATGTCATAATAAAAACTAAAATGTCATAATAATGTCATACTTACTTTAAAGCGTCATGATTTATCATTCCTAAAGCATTTACAGCTGCATCACGTACATCATTTACTTCACATCTTAAAAGATTAACAATTAATTTATATAATGCTACAGGTGATGCTGAACCCATTGCAGATTTATCACTACGATCAGCATTTAATGAGTCCGGTGATGAACTAGAATAATTTTATTAAATATTTTTTTTTGGGTTTATTAAATTAATTAAGTATGTTTTAAGAAAAAAAATTATGATATATGGTATGTTATGTTTTAATGGTATGGTTACAAAAAAAAAAAAAAAATTGAAATATATTAAAAATTATGTAAAATGAATAAAAATTGGGAGATTTTTAATTTTTTCATTTTCATTCATAAATTAATATTGTTAGAGGGCGGGATTCATACATACATTTTACATAATATTTCTATATTATTAATTAAATTTTATACATACATTTCATATATTAAATATATATATATATAAGGTCTTGTTATACACTCATGCTTTCACATACATAATTATTATATTTATTTTGTGTAATTTTTTTTTATTATAAAAAATTATTTTATAAAACTTTTTTTTTAATTAGCTTTTTTTTTTTTAATATTGTTAGAAGAAAAAAATTGTGTTTTTGGAAAGGGGAGATTCTCTAAAAATATTCGGTTTTTTCCCTGGGAAAAAATTAAGTTATAATTGTATTTGTATTAAAAAAAAATTAATTAACAAAAGAACCAAAATATTTATTTGTACAGGAAAAGTTTAAAATTTTTTTTTTGGAAAAAATATTTAACAAGAAACCATTTAAATTTTATTATGTATGTAAAAAAAATAACAAAAATGTTAAAATTAAAAGTAAATTTTTTTTTTACATTATTGGGATATACATACATATAAAAAATATTTTTTAATGTATACAAGTAATATTATAAAAAAAAGGTAGATTATGTAATTGAAAATTCGTAATATTAAATTTCTCTTATAATAATATTGAGATTACGATTTAAAAGTAAGGGGGATAAAATTCTACAAAATCACAATATGATATTTGGGGAAAAAAATTAGAGATTTTAAAATTAATTTATTTAATTTGGCAAAAAAATTAAAGCTTTAAATGTGGTAAAAAATAACATGATTACCGAAATTGCATGAATTTATTAAATTGGGTGCAGTAAATACAAAGTAATATACCCATTTTGACAGTTGGTTTATTATAATTGTATAAAATGATTTCCGTACACCTTACATACTTTAATTTAAATTTATTTTTCTTTTAGGAAAGACTACTTATTGTGCAAATTTTAATGACAAATTTTCGTAATTATGGCTATATTTATAAAAAATTATAATAATTATTGGGAACTAAGTAAATATTATTATTGCACAATTTATTCTTTTTCTAAAGTAATGAAAACGAATATCCAGGAATTTATCATCGTTTAAAAATTTAAAAAAGAAAATGTAATATTTTTTAAAAATCTGTGCATATTTCTTTGATATACACTATAGTATATTTGTTCTTTCTAGAAATTAATCCCATTCAGATTTCGTCAAATCTTCAATAGCAATATCTTCATCATTTGCAATATGATATTGTCTTGCCTCTTAGGGTTTTCCTTTTGTCTATTTGAAAATGAAAATGTTTGTTTTAATTTTTTAGTTTCTTAATCGCTTAATAATTAAATACGATATTACATACAAAATTTATTTTAACAATTCGAATATATAAAATATTTTTAATGAATAAAGTTAATTGCAACTGCTGTATATAGAGGGCGCTAATTTTTAATTTTTCAATTTCAATTAATTTCAATTAATTTTATATATATATTTCATTTACATTATAAAGTAAATTTAAATTCTTTATGAAAAATGATTTAATTTTGAATATTTTATTTATAATGATAAGCTTCCATTTCATGAGAATGAATTATTGAAATAACATAAAAAAAAATAAATAACAAAGAACACAAATGATTTTTTTTTACCAATGACAAGAATTTTTTTTTTTAATTTTTCGAAAATCAATATTCGATTTTTTAATATTCGAAATTCGAAATCATATGTTTATGTATAATTTTCGAAATTAAAAATTTGACAACGATAAATAAATTTTTTATGAATAATGAAAAATATTTTAAGAAATTATTTGATTTTTTTTTTGTTTTTTTTTTTTTTCATTACCCAAGTCTTTTTTGACGTGCTTCTTTTCTACCATAGGATAACGGCAATGTAAATCTTGTTACAATTCCTTCTGGACCAAATACATTGGATGGAATGTTGTCCAATGAATCAGACAAGGAACGTGTATCCGATTGATCTTGTAAACTTTTAGTTTAATTGGATTTTTGTTTTTATTCATAATTTATTTTGATTTTGTGTTTTTTTTTTTCAAGTTCGATTTAATAAATTGATGATAGTTATTTTTTTTTTAAATTATGTTAAGTTACATAATAGTTTTTATGTTATAATAATATAAAAAAAGGGGAAAAAATGAAAAAAAAAAAATAATAAAATAAATTGTATAATTATCAATTAAAATTTTTAAATACCGTTTTATATAATTTATATATACATATATGTATTATATAATCAAATACATATACGTATATATTAAGTGTAAACCCACATAGTGAGTTTAACGTAAAATTTTATTCAGAGACTCGAGGTCAATAAATTTTTTATAATAATTACAAATTAAGAAATTCTTATACTTATAATTAAATTATTTTAAATAATTTAATATAAATAAAATAATAAATCTTTGCCGTACCATTTATAGAATGTTCGGGTTCTTTTTTAAAATATTTGAAATTTTGCATTGCAATCAAAGATTTGTTTTGTTTAAAAATCTTCACAATGAAAAAATAATTATTTCTGTAATAAACTAATTCAAATATAATTTTATAAATTTTTACAAATTTACAATTGAAAATTCTAATAATTTTAAAATGGTATTGTAATTGTCAACTTACATACATTTGTATGTATGTTATAAGTATGTATAAATAAAATCGAGTCTCTGATTCTGATTTTCTTTTTGTTAGTTTATAAAAACTTTCTTGTTGATAAATGTATTTATAAAATCTATATTTATATAAATCTGATTTAAATAAAAATGTAATAACAAAAAAAAAAAAGACCTCAAAACATAACATTAAAAGAAGCAAAAAACAACACAAAAAAAGAAAATTTTTGAAATTTTACAATAAATTTGAGCTGCCAGTAAAATTGTTAAATTCAACAAAATGATAAAATGACAATAGTGACATTGTGTAAAGTGTGTTGTATAGAAGTTTAATGTTATGGCATCAATAAGCACGCATGTATGTATGTATTCGTAAAACAGTAACAAAAAATGTAAATGTTTAAAACGAGGCTTCATTTTTTTAAATTTCGCTATTTTGAAAACCAAGTACTTTTTCAAGATGAAACAAATTTTTAAATTCTTTTTTTTTTTTCGTAAATAGCTATGTACAAACAAACATAAAAAATTTTTTAACACATTTATACAAAACCGTATTTATTAAAATATGAAATGAATCGTGCAAAAATAATTAACAAAACCAAATTTAAAAAAAAAAATAGACTTTGTTGTGATGGTAGAAAATTTTTTAATTTAAAAAAAAAGTTGCTAGTATTTTTTAATTTCTAATATCTTAAAGCTTATAAAAATTTTTAAAGTGTAATTAAATCAGAATCTTAGAGTCACAGAAAATGTAACCTCCTCTGGTTATCCCTCTAACATAGTGATGAGCAACTTTTTTTTAAATTGGGCTAAATGAGAAAAAGTAATCGTTTCCCGGGCCGCAGTTATAGCAGTTTTATTTTCTATTTTCAGTAATAAGTAAGTAATCTTAGATATTATAATTATTTTCTTAAACTTAAACATGTTATTATTAAAAAAGGGATTGAAAAATTATTATAAGAAAAAATAAAAATAAGTATTAAAAGTTTTAATGAGAAATTTGACACTGCTTCTTGTTGACAAGTTTATAGAAATATTTGCTTGGTGAGAATTATATAAGCGTGGTTTTTAAATTTTTTAAAATTTTATCAAACTTATTTTATTATTTTGTTTGTATTGATGAAAATTAACCGATTCAAACCATGCTAAAGTTAAAAATTCGTATAAGAAATAGATATGTATGTATATTGAATTAAATGTTTTAGACTGTTTTAAAATAAAACGTTGTACAAAAGATCTGAGTACGTATTAAGCATGCTACGAAAAGCCAACATTTAACCAAAAAAAATATTGTCATTGGGAAATTTTTTTTTTTAAACAATAAGTAAAAAAGTGAATAAGTGAAACAAACTTAATTTTTTTAATTTAAGTCGCAAAAAAAAAAATTTGTTGGGCCGCAAAAAAAAACATTTGTCGGGAGAAGGTTGCTCATCACTGCTCTAACACATTCCTTTCAAAAAATAAACTTTATATTTGATTTGTATGGTAAAAATTAAGGAACAATAAATAAAATAAATAATTTGGAATAAAATTTTCTTTAAAAATTCATTTTCTTAAATTTATTTAGGATTTTTTTAAGATTTGTGTATGCATAATTAAAATCATGTTTGTATGTATGTACATATATAAAATGTTAAAAACAATTACTTTTAGATGCTTTGGTTAACAAAAATCTCATAATACCACGCATTAATCTAGTAATTGACTATTTTTTTTTTTGATACATTTGCAAATAAATACAAGAGCTATAAATAAACTGTTTATTCTGTCTGCACTATTACGATATCTTTTACTGTTTCTGTTTTTATACCCTGCACTTCGTGAAGGGTATATTAACTTTGGTATGGAGTTTGTAACTACTTGAAGGAGTCATCTGCGGTATGGACATATATATATATTCTTGCTCAGCGTAAAATTCTGCGTCGATTTAGACATGTCCGTCCGTCCGTCCGTCCGTCCGTCCGTTCGTCCGATCGCACGATAACTCAAAAACGAATAATGCAATCGACACCAAACTTTCACAAGTTTTTTCTTTTGTGCCAAGGACGAACCCTATTGTTATTGGACTAAGTCGGACAACGGGTTCGGGTAGCTGCCATACAACTCCAAGAGTTTATTTTAAATATTTCAAAAACTAATAAAGCTATAAATATAAAATTTTGTATACGTGTGTCCAATTATATTCTACACATGCTTGAAAAATTATAATGGGATAGCTGCACCGGTTCGGGTGGCTGCCATACAACTCCAACGGCAAATTTTTTATATTCGGCAAAATAATAAAGTCAGATTCATGAAACTTGGCAGTCATGTGTCCAATTATAGGTCAAATATATTTCTGAAATTTTAGAGGAATTGCTTGACAGGTTCGGGTATCTGCCATACAACTCCAGAAGCTAATTTTAAACATTTGGAAAAATAATAAAGTCAGATTCATGAAACTTGGCAGTCATGTGTCCAATTACAGGTCAAATATATTTCTAAAGTTTTGGTGGAATTGCTTGACAGGTTCGAGTAGCTCCCATACAAGTCTAAAAGCTTATTTTAAATATTTGGAAAAATAATAAAGTCAAATTCATGAGACTTGGCAGTCGTGTGTCCAATTATAGGTCAAACATATTTCTAAAGTTTTGGTGGGATTGCTTGACAGGTTCGAGTAGCTCCCATACAAGTTTAAAAGCTTATTCTTAATATTTGGAAAAATAATAAAGTCAGATTCATGAAACTTGGCAGTTGTGTGTCCGATTATAAATCAGATATATTTGTGAAGTTTTTATGGAACTGCTTGACAGGTTCGAGTAGCCCCCATACAAGTCTAAAAGCTTACTTTAAATATTTGGAAAAATAATAAAGTCAGATTCATGAAACTTGGCAGTCGGATGTCTAATTATAGGTCAGACATGTCCGTGAACTTTCTATAGAATGATTTCACAGGTTCGAGTAATTGCTATACAATAACGAAAGGTGCAGGGTATAATTCAATCGGCTTATACCGATTGAAACGTTTTTACTTGTTTTTGTTTAACCTTGGAAATAAAAAAATTAATTCAATGAAAAATCCTTACGGTTAATTTTTTATTTTATTTCAGTTTTTGTTTTTTTTGTTTTCGGAACAGAATGTTGTGATTATATTCTGTAAATGTTGTACATTATTTTTGTATATATACTCGTATATACTCATCGATTATTATAATGGGAAACAAGTGTATCGAAATAAAAGCTATGTATATTAGAAGGTACGCATTTTCGATTATTCAAAGATATTATTTTAGTTTTAGAACTTAACATTGCTATAGTTCTTTTTTGTTTCTATTAATGTATCTCTCATATAATATAATTTATACATATATGTACATATATATAGAGTGATTCTGGAAGGAGGAAAATATTATATACATAGTATTTATTTAAGTGAGTTAATCGAAAATTATTAAAAATTATTAAAATTTTTGTTAAGAATTTGATGTCAAAACTCAAGTGTTTTCGAGGTAAAATAATTTTAAGAAAATTTTATGAAACATGTTGAAGCGTAAAGCGCTACATATTTTTAGCGAAAACATCCGCTTGGTATAAAAATATGGTCTACAAATAAAAGATTTTTGAAGACTGCAATCAAGAGTTTGAATTCAAAGTATTGCTTTCGAGTCTGACATAGTTTTATAAGTATTATAAGTTTATTGAGTAGAGGCAAAATATCAAATTTGCAATTTAAAATTTTAAAAGTTTTGATAGAATCGCAAAAAACTGATTCAAAAAAATTTTTGTTAGTAATGAAATTTTGAAATAAATTGATTTTTTAAACAGTGTCACTGAAATCTAACAAATTTTTTAGTAATATTTTAATATTTTCTATAATTTTTGAGTAAAAATATATTTTTTAAGTTTGTTCTAACTCGAGGAAGCTCATACTAAAAAAAAAAGTGTTATTCAATTTTCAAAACTATGATGAATGTTATATTGTATAATCTTTATATGCAAAGTCACCCTGTATTTGTTGAAATAATATATTTAAAAGGTGTATACGTATGTATACATACATTCTTTTCTCTTTATTTCTATAGACACGTTTTGTGTTAATAAATTAGAAGACACGCGTAAATCCAAAATTTTTAACTCATCTTTTTTAACCTTATTTTAACATTTTTTTATTATAAGGTTTCTCTTATACATAATATATAGAAAGTGGGAAAAAAATTTTTTGTTTTTACAATATTGCAGAATTTCTAATTATAATAAAAAAAAACGGCTTATTAGGATAATCTTAATTTTCTTGTACTTATTTTAAATGTAATTTTAATTTATATCACACTTAATACTAAATAAAAATAAAAAGAACATCTAAGGGTTTTGAAAATAATTAATTTTTTTCATATAATTTTGATTATCATAATGAAATGAAAAATTTCTATTAAAAATTAATTGAGTTGCGGTATGGTTTAGTAGTATGAAATTGTAATCTAATTGTAATCGAATTTACTATAAACGAAAATTCCTATAGGTAATTTGAAAATTTTAAAGGGATTCCGATAATTTTTAATTTATTTCTAAACAATTTTTTTAGTTTTACTATCTTAATGAATTTGAAATGGGATTCGATTAGGTAAATAAGATTTCAAAATAAGGGGGCAAACATATTAAAGGACTGAATTTTGTATCTCAATTTTTCTGTCATCGATTTCAGTTTCGAATACGTAAAATATCACGTAAAAATATTAAAAATTTTCCAAACAAAATCATTAAATGATGACTAAATTTTATATATTTAAAAAAAAAAATTAAAAACATAATATTCTTTACATATTAAAATGGAGAGTAAAAAGAAGAGATGATAATATAATATTTGGAGCTTCTTCAAATTTACGAACATACTTCTGAAAACGAGTGTATTTCGAGTATAACATAATTGCTTTTTTAATATACTAAAAGAAAACAAAAAATAAACGACAAGCCTTTAACAATTCCTTCATCCCTTACTTACGTCATTATTTAAAATTCTAAGATTAAAATATATTTTAAACGCATAGCTTATGTGCATATATATATATATATATATGTATATATATGCACAAAGTATATTAATATATACGAAAAAATTTATAAATAATATAATAATTTAGTTCAAGTTCAAGGATAACATTTTACTTTGTTTTGTTTTTCAAACGAGGATAATAGAAAATAAATTGATTTTAATAGGCATAGAATAAAATTTTATTTAAGTATGTGTATTGTTTTTTATTAGGCTAAATACCTGTACGATGTTCATGATATTGGTAACTGTTGACTATATACAAATATTAAATAAAATTGAGATAAAACAAAAAAAACAGCAAAATTTAAATATTTATTGCTTTTACTGCTTGAGATTGGCTTGAGATACCATCCAATTCAAGAAAAAAAAAGAAAAAAAAATCTCCTTTATTGATTCATTAAAAAACACACTGACATTCACGTATATAAAAATATATTTGCTTGGTGTGTAATTTTATACATTTTAACAACAACGTTATGAATAAAAAGTTTTTATTTAAAAAGGGAAATTTTTTGGTATACATGAAAGTCCTTTTTCCTTTTTTAAGGCAATAAATGAAAATTATTATTATTTTTGAAAATTGTCAACTTGGGATGAAATCTCTTTCTCTATTTGTATTTTGAGATGAATATGACAGAAAATTAAATCATAAAATTTTCGGGGAAAAATTTTGGGAAATTTTTAATTTTTGTATATTAGTTTTTGATTGTTTTATAAAATTAAGTTAATAAGAGATTGTATAACATAGAATGATTTACAATATTACAAAAAATAAAAAAAATTTGTAATACACAATTAATTTAATGAAAAAGATGTAATTTTTGGTTTGTATAATAGAAACAAATTTATAATAAATTTATCATTATTCACGAAATATGTGTATATTTTCAAAAATCACAAAATAGGTCGTAATATATCGCGATATATACCGAAAAATGTGCAGTATTAATGTTCACAAGCAAATGTTGCAAATAAAATGTGTTCAGAAACATTTCTAACTTATCAAAAAAATATTTAAATATTATTATGGCTAGCGCAGTTAAATCGCCTGAATTGCTTTTAAAAAATTGTAACAACTTTAAAAAATGCTAACTACTTGCCTGAACTGTTTTACATTTTTAAAATGTCTGATACGATTGATAGTGAATTAACGGTAAGAAAATATAATCTTAATTAAAAATTACAGGAATGAGAAAATGACATAAACATAACACTGTGAATTCAAAAAATAGCATCAGTTTTTATACAACTGTCAAAAATGTATTGCACATGTATGACAATACTGTTTCGCAGTATGTACTCGTATTACGTTTATAAAAATTTCTAATGTTACAAAAACTTGGTTAAAATTTGAAATTTTAGGAAATGATTTAATTGTTTTTTTTTTTTTTCAAATTTTTTATTTAAAAATGAGAAAATTTCTAATGAGAATTCCTTTTTTTATAGTGAAAAGTGTGTTACCAACATAATTACGTTATGGAGGTTAGTATTAAATCAAAGAGCAACTTTCATTTTCCTTTTCTAGTTTTTTAAAAAAAAAGTATAAAGTTTACATAAAGGAAATGAAATCTTTTATATTTTAAGACATCTGCATACTGATCCGGGCAGTTTTAAGACCATAAAAATTTAATTTTTAATGAAAAACAAATAATCTGAAACATAGTTACTACAAAATACATATACATTACATATTTTTACCGTTCTATAATTAATTTCATATTCAATTGGTTAAAAACAAGCTTATTATATTAATTATCTTTATTAATTTTAAATTTCTTCAATTTTTTCAAAATATCAATCAGAAATATAACAATGAAATTAATAAAAAAAAATAATTCTACAAGTTAAAGATGATACAGAACTCTTATCTAACATACTAAATAACTAAACTCATCAAACAAAAACATAACATTGAATTTAAATTTACACAAAAACATAAAAGTGCACAACATTATATTTGATTTTTATGTATGTATGTATAAATTTTATTTTATCAGTAAAATAATTAACATAGATATTACATACTTATATGAAATAAATGAGTATATACAAACTGAATATTTCATTTTTGTGTATATTTTAGGTGTTTGTAAAATAAGATTGTATGATATTTTCATTATTTAAATTTATATGAAATGAATAGCACGATTTAATTTTGAAATAATTTAACGTAACATTAACGAATAAACTTTTAGCAAGGTGAGTAAACTATAAATTGTATGGAATTAGAAATAGTAAACTTTGTTTTGTAAAAAAAACACAAAATAAAGTTTACAATTTAATTAAAGAAATTCGAAATGTAAATTATAATAGTAAAAATTGTAATTGCGAATTAAATTAAATTCGAAAAATATATTTGAAATAAAAAAATATCATTCAATCTTTTATGAATTTATTATGGAGTGAAGAGACACAAAAAAACAAACAAAGTTTAATAGTTTTTAGACTACTTTCAGTAATTTGAAACATTATTTTAATGGAAAATTTATGGGATAGTATACAAGATGTTATTAGAGGAAAACGATTACTTTAATTTTTAGTTTTTTCGTTTACTATAAAGTTTTAATCGCCTTACCTTAAACTCAAATCTGGTGAAGCACAACGTACTGCTACACTTGGTATTTGTGGTACAACTCTCATTGCTAATGCAACTTGATTACGCCATAATTTCAAATATAAATCTTTTTGACTTTCTGTTGGTAATTTTTTTGTTGGTGCTGAACTACGTAAAAGTGAAGCACGATTATCGCTAACAGGACTGTAAAGAAAAAAAAAAAAAAGAACAACCATGAAAATGTTTTCCAAGCTACATATACATATATCAAATTGTATTTTGCAAATACATGTATGTAAAACAAATTTAAATTTTGCCGATACTTACGTAGGATCAATAACATTAAATAATGTGGTGAGCCGAGCATAACAAATAGGCCATGCTTGTGCTACAGCAGAGGGACAATGTTGTAAAATATTTTGCCGTTCCATGAAACCGAATAATAATACTGACCAAGGATCAACTTGTTGTTGCTGTGGACTACTTGATTGTGATAAATTCAATGTTGAGGTAGAAGATTTTGAAGAATCTTTTTAAAACCAACAACAAACAAAGAATAATAATTAAAATATACATATGTCCGTACATATTTTATAATTTCTTATTAAATAATTCAGAAAGAACTTTTACCATCTGTATATCCAGAGGCCCATACTCCACTAGATCTTTCTGTAATCCATTGCAAATCAACTGTTGTGGCATTCATTATTGCAATTTTCTCTGTTTGAGGTAGATGTGGTATACACTTTTCCAAAACCTTTGTGAAAAACAAAAAAAATTGTCAAACAATAAGCATATAGACACATAAGAGTATTGTAGTATTACTTGTGGCAAACATTTATCAATGGCATCTAATAAAGGTGGTTCTGTTTCGGGTATACCTAAAGCTCTCATTAGCATTTTTACTTCTTTTAAAATCATTACAGCTAGTTTTCTTAAAAATGGTTTAGAATTACAAAGTTGTACTAAAGCAAAGCCTTCTACGTAATGCAAAGTCGTAATCAAAGGGATTTCATTTTTTTTATTGCCGCATGTTGTTTCAGTAGCATTGATAACTGTTGTTTGTGTCATACTTGATACACCGCTTGAATTTACACTTGAGCTACCACTAGATGTAGTATTTGAAATGGACGGTTTCTGTATTATTTGGGATGTTTGATTTGATGATGTTTGCTGAGGAACTGAATTATCTTTACCACCAGGTCCTATATTATTTGGTCCGTTATTGTTAGTATTTACGCCATTCATATTTTGTGTGAAAATTACAGTCTTCGTAGAACCAGTATTGCTTCCAATTGTTGTATTTAAGTTTGTTACTGATGATCTCCAAGTATTTAAAAATACTAAAAGTACTCTGGTACAATTTTCCAATAACTGAGGGAAAGTGTCAGTAACGTCTCTGACAAGGAATTGTACATATCCATGTATAATATCTTGCCGCCAGTCTGGAAAATCGATAACCAAAGTTTGTAAAGATTGATGTGTTAACATGCGAAGCTCTTCATCCATATGAACAGTGAGTCGAGATAACATATCAACCAATTCTTGAGATGTCATAGTATCCGGAATTAAACGGGGCACAGCCGCAACACATGTTCTAAATAAATCTATACGAGGTTTCCGTTCACCTGTTAGCATTTCATCAGGCTCTTTATTTTGATTTTGCGTATTTGTCATCATTAGCGGACGTCCATAGTGAACATCAAGAGCTCTTAAGATATCAACAAAAACCCTTCGCACATGTGGAAAATAAGTTGACATGCCTATGCTGCGTGCTGTGTCATCGGTTAACATTTTGTTTAAATAAGTTTTCTTTACCCGAAGCGTATTTCCCGATGGTAAAACACCTACAGTTCTCGGCATAGGTGGTTCGCCATCTTTTTGTTGTAAAGAATCCGCTACTACAAGAAATGCTCTTAATCCAATACTCATTCTTTCCGGTGTCATAATAATCTTAAATAATAAAAATAACAAATAAAGCAACATATTTTGTGTGTAAGTAAATTTAGTATTGTACCTTAATTGAGCGTCCAACGCATAGTAAATCATATACAATTTCACGCATTGCAAAATCCAATCTTTCTTGTGCAATAAATTGAATTATTTTGACAAAAATATTTAATGGTGTATCACGTGGAATAACACCTTTTGAACCTTTTGGAAATAAAGAATTTACAATGCTTTGCAATCTTGAATGAGTAGCTGAATTCGATTCACATTTAATCCTAATCATGTAAACCCAAAGTAAGCGATAAAGTGATTCTAAAGCTACACGGCTCATTTTTGGATCACGATTTTTTAAATTACTTAAACACATAGCTAAGAAACAATGCCAATTACTTAAGAAAAAATTTTTCTGTGAGACACACAACAAGCACGTAACGAGTGGAAACAATGCCAAACGATGCTTAGATTTGGTTGAAGCATCCAAAGTTTGTACGTATAAGAGATCCACGAAATTTTTAACACATGGTACATTTACTTCATTTTTTACTGCTGCGGCTACGGGTACTAAAATTTCGACAAACAAGCCAGCTAGAGCATGTTTAATGTCCTTATCTTTTACTTCTAAAAAATACTGTGCACATTCATGCATAAATTGAAATGACGCTTCAAATTCTTCGATTGGCACCATTTTAACACGGAAAAATTTCATTCCCATTAATAAACTAATAATACTTTGTGTTGTAGTAGGACTTGATTCCTTTGCTCTAAGATCCTTTAATTCGCTCATAAATCGCTTTCTTACGGATGAAAAACGACTTTGTGCTAAGACTCCTATAACCTCAGCATACAAATCAGCTATCATATGTATATTATGAGCGTTTGGATTATTTTGTAGTCCTTCTTTATATTTAAAATGTTTAAAAGCTAAATTTTCGATATTTTTTATTAAATCCTCATGACCTGGATGAAATGGAAGCTGTTTAAGAATTTCTATTAGCGCTAAACAAAAAATGAATTCCACAGCGGCTTCACGTCTTTGCAACTGAAAATCTAAATCAATATTATTTGGTTTTGGTGAAATTTTTTCGACCCTCTTTAGATCATTTTTAATTTCGGTGTCGGATAATTGTCGTCTATGCCAGGCAAGCAGTGTATGAAGTAATGACGGCAGACAATGTTCTGACATTGATCCAAAAGCGCAAATCAACTGATCGAATTGTGGATCTTCACCACGTTGTAATAATTTTGCTAAGTTTTTATCAGCACTTTCTATCATAACTGATTCAATTTTCTTTTCAGCTTGTTGAGTAAAATCACTAAAGAGATTTCGCATAACAATTTCACCTGGTCTTAGACCCATGTCGCCACTCGTTTGTAAATCTACTATAGATGTTCTAGATGGTATACCCCAGGGTAACAGGGCCTGTCTACTGGAATTTTGAACAACTAATCTAGAAGCATCAGAACCTAAAATATATAAGTTATTTCAAGGATTTTATATTATAAACAATTTTTTTGTTGTTTTATACCTATATTATTGGCATTAGCTTGGAAATCATTGTAAATTGCTTCGGAATTGGTGTTAATTGTTTTTGGTGGTTGTATAGATCCAACATTGGTATTTTTTGCAAATACTTTTGGTGTATTAGCTAACTGATCATTAAGTACTGAATTACGATTACTTAAAGGTTGTAATACCTGTTGGTTGTCATTTAAGGGAACTTGTTGATTTTCATCTAATTGCAACAAGGTTGCAGGTAAATTAGAGCCGGATGCATGCAATTCATTTGGTTGGCTTGAATCTGTAAATAAAAATAGTTGTGTTTTAAATAAATGGTTAAATTTAAAAATATAAATTAAGAATGCTTATAATTATTGGAGCAAGTAATTATCCAATAACATCTTCATTAAAAGAAATTGAAATTCGATCAAAAAATATTTAATTTTTTAGATTTTCAGTTTTTCTGTTAACTTCATGTAAGCATACATACTTAAAATATAAAAGCCTGATGATTTTGTCAGCATTTAAGTATGTGTAATGAGCCAACAATAGTGAAAAAATAAAGAAATATGTGAACTAAAATGAATAATGTACGTTAAATCCAAATAAATACTATTTATTTGTATTTAAGATACATAATTATAACAGAGAAATAACAGAGAAATTTGAGAAATGCTAAATATCTTTCTAGCAAATGTTATTTCCTTCCTTTGTTACTCATCTACTAATTATAATTCAATCTTTCTATTTTATTTGCAATAAACTGTGTATGTATTTGTTATGACAATCATAACAGTTAAAATATTTTTTTATTAAAATCGGTGTTACCATTTTACTACAATTATAGTATGCCTTAATGCCTATTAACATCGAAGAGTAAATTTAGAAATTTATTATAATTGTACTCATATGCATATCAAAAGACCTTCCCAAATAAATTAAATCTGTAAATTTTTTTTTTTTTTATTTATTTTCTTTGACAATAAATCATTTTCTGTCTATTAAATTGATTATTGGCTTTAATATAAAATATCGAATTTTTTAGTTTATAAAACTAAACTATTAAAATTATGACAAAATTATTTGAGCAAATACATAAGTTGATAAGAATTTCCGTTAGTTCAATGTCGAATCAGTCGAATAAATTGAAAAAGTTTATTTCTTATTTTTGATTAATCTTCTGAATATAATTTTAAAAGGGTGTTTGTAATACAAATAGTACAATATGGATGTTGACATAGAGAATATGAAAAAAATTTGTTCTTTAACCTTTAAATCTTTATACACCTTTACTTATATTGCATACACATATTCATTCATATCCAATATGTGTGTATGTATAAGGAATAAACTATCCGCCAAAAGCTTCTTAAACACCACGTTTTTTAATCATATACCTACATATTAGAATTTTTTCTTTATTTTTACATAATTTGTTTATTTATATGCAAGGTAGATAAACCGTCATAATGCAATTATAAAAAAAAAAAAAATTAAAGAATATCAGCACAAAAAAAGAAAAATGAAAATATTTAATATTTTTAATAAATTCTATACTATAAGGTACGTGAAAAATCTTCATACGAAATATTTGAAAAAAAAAATATATATCCAAATTTTTAATATTATAAATTGCAGATTTGTAATTTTTAATATTATATATTGATGATTGATAATGCACGACTTGAAAGATCAGTTGGTCATCTCTAGCTCTACCCAAACGCCCAATGAAAACAACTCTCCGAGACCGATATTTCTGCTAAATCCGAACAACATTTTCGGGAAAATATCCCACAACGATATACCCTCAAACGAATGTCAACTTAAGCTGTCCCTTCTCTTATAAATCAAAGGTTCACCATCATTCCGAAGACGCGTTTCCCTTTTCTCACAGAACACGTAAGATCAATTAATTTAATTAATAAAAAAAATTGTGAGAATTATATTGACCAAAATAAAAATTTGGTTCTAAATTGAACACTTCCGTATATCAGTTAAAATTGAATATATGTATATAAAACATATATTATTAGATATAAATTAAATAACATCAATCATAATTCTTATTTATAAACGATTTTAAACATAACATTTAACAATATGAATATTAAAATATATTATAAACGAAAATTTTATTTTATAACAGCATTTGCTAATCTTATAAATTTAAGAAAAAATTAAAAGGAACTAATATTATGTATAAATAAATTCTAAAGATTTTTTTACTTACATTTTTACAAAAAAAAAGAAATACGTGCCTAGAAAACAAGTGCCTACGTATGCTACTCGCATTATTTTATAAGTTACGAAAGAATTAAAAATAGGAAACAAATTACAAATGAGTTTTACATTTTTACCTTTCCATCTTCTAAATCCTTGAAAATTCCATAACATTAAAATATTTAAATTATATTTTTACTGTTATACTTTTTACTGTTATATTTTTTTTTTTTAACAAAATTTTCTCTTTTAGTTCTTTTCAAAAAATAAATTCTTTTATTTTAATTTTAATCTTTTTTCTATATTTAATAAAAAATCTTTTCCGGTTTAATACTACTCTTCTTAAAGATCACTGAACTAAAAATTTATAAGTGCACAAAAAAACAAAAAAAAAAAAACAAAATTAATATTTAAAAATAATAAAAATTTTTTAATAATTTTTGTACAAAGATTTTCTTATTTTTTCCATATTTCATGAGGCCCCGACGTGCGACAAAACTTGAACTTCAACTGAAGATATTTTTAACCTTGAATCATTTTTCCTAGCCAATTAGCATTAATTATTATTATTGAATTTTATAGTTTATTTAATTTTATTATAAATTTTATATGTTTGTTTTTTATTTTGCTTTCTTTTCATAATATTTTTTCGCAAAGCGTTTGTTGTACCTTTAAAATATTTTTTTTTTTTTTTTTTAGTGTTGAAATTAAAGGTAATATGTACAACATTATATATAAAAATATTATAGTGTTCTGCTTTTAATATATTTTTGCATAAATGTGATAAATAATAATTTTATTTAATAATATGTTACAATTGATGTTCGAATTTGATTTATTAAAGAATTACAGATTATTTCTAATTAAATGTATATTTAATAATAAATGTATCGTGTGTCCAATGTGATGATTTGGTTAATATTGTAATATAGACTAATTGGTAGAGATTGAATTTTAAGGTATCGACATTTGGAAGCAAATAGTGTTGGCCTACTAAAAGTTGGAAGGAAGATGATAGTAATTTATCATTATAAATAAATCAAAGCGAAAAGCTTAGTTATGCTCTCTTATGAGGGTGATATTGCTATGAATCTGATTTTAATTAAAATTCTGTAAATTAAATTGAGGATTTAAATAGCAATATTTTAAAAAAAAAAAATTTTAATATGCTGCAGTCAACATTTGAATTTAAAATTGAATTTGAATTTGACTAAAATATTTGAGATTGGATATTAAGTTAATAGAGAACAAAAAAAAAATATAGGTAAAAAATTTAGTTAAAATATTTTAATAAAATAATTCTCTAATAAAATTCAATATTTCATATTTGATTTTATAATATTTTTAATTTATTTAATTGTGTTTAGTAAATATAAAAATTTTAATTTATAATAAAAAAAAAAAAAAACAAATTGCAAATCGTATTTTTATGACAAATAAAATTAACCAATTTCTAAGCTTTTTAAAAATAATTTTTCTGACCACAATTAATAAGCATTGAATTTTATACAACACTTAAGTGTTATTAAAAAATTAGTGTGTTATCGAAATTTTAAATACTTAAAACAGTGCCAATATGTTATGAAGATTATAATAAATTTCACTTTCACGCAGTAACACAATTAATGTGATAGTGTTCTAAAAAAGAAAAAAAAAAACAAAATGGATTCAAAATGCATATAAATTTATTGTAAATGTATTATGAAAATCAAATTTCTGAATAGTACACATATCAAAAAATTGATATTGAATACTTTGTTATAATAGTAATAATAAATGCATTTTTGATAATAAATTATCTTATATTTTTTTTTCAAAAAGATTAAAGTTATTATTAAAATTTATTTGTATTTAAGTGATAAAATAAAATTTCTATTTATTATTTAAATTTATATGTAATTTTGTTCAGTTAATATTAAAATTGAATTTAATTATTCAACATTTAATAAAAAATACTTTGAAATCAAATGATTTTCGAATAATTAATTGATATTTTAATTAAGAATATTTTGTAATACTATAAAACTTGAATATTTGATTACATTTTATTTTTACTGAGGTTTTTTAAATTGAATTCCAGAGAACAATATTGTTATTCAAGTAAGTATGATAGTAATATATAAAATAATTTGATTCTGAAATTTAATTTAAAATATTTAATAAATATTAATTTACATTAAATTTATATTTAAATAGATTTGTTAATTTATTTTGAATTAGATTTTAGTGTTTTTATATAATTAATTCTATTAATCTTTAATTGAAAAATAAAATAAAACATATTTAAGATGGAATAAATTATGAATAATAATAAATATTATAAAACATTTTATTAGTTAATAATTAATCATTAAGGCAAGTTAATATTAAATTTACAATTATGCTTGTTTGTTGCATATCAAAAATAATTTTATGTTTATTAGAATTATTCAAATATTATGTGGAATTATAATCAATATAATATTAACTAATATTTTATTTATTAAGATAGTTATTTAAAATATAATTTTCAATAATTAAAATTTCATTCTTATTTGAAATTTTAAAGTATATGACAAAACAGTGCTGTATGACGAAATTTTTTTCACATATATTTTATACAAGAAATATTTATTTAAAATTTTTATTAAATTTTTCATATTGAAAATTATTTTATGAGTAATTTAAAAAAAAAATACAATACAAAAACCTCAAACAATTAATAAAAAATTTTAATGTATTTATGTATGACAGTGCTTGTTAAATATTATTTTTATTAAAAAAAAAAACCAATATTATTTTTTTTTTAATTTTCCTATGAATCATTGTTTTAATATTATTCTGATTGGGTACACCCATATAACTGTTATATTAAATATATATTAAATTTTCATTTCATTTCAACAATCCTTATAGTTAAAATTTCAAACATCAAACGTAACATATTTTTTGGCGTATATATATAATTGTATATTTAAAAATACAATAAGTATATATATAGAATTAAAAATTAAATAAATTCCCAAAATATTTTAATTCATAAATTCACTAACACAAAATAAACATTTAAATACAAAATTATTTTCAAATTTTATATTAAAAATGTACAATAAAATATCCAAATAGGTACAATATAAAATTATAATAGTATAACAAATTTCTTTGACATCACATTTGAAAATTGTCCATTGCCATATATTTCAAATTAAAATAAATATAAATTGTTTTTAATATTATTGTACATTAAAAATATTTTTATTATTTATTATTATTATTTTTTTATTATTCTTGTTTCTGCTTATTAAATAAATACATTGATCTATCTGTATAACAGAATAATAAAAAAAAAAAAAACGATTAAAAGAAAATTATTTGTTCAACAATAATTTTCTTAAAATATTCTGAATAAAATCTAAACATACCAAGAAAAACGCGATTTTCGCTTGAAAAGCGAAAAAACACTGTGAAAAAATGCAAATACAAAATAATATATTTTGTAATTAAGAGAGAATAAAATAAAATTGGAATACAACGTAAAATAAAGAAAAAAATATTTATTTTTATATATATAAAGATATTTAAAGCTTTTTTACACCACCATTCATATGTAATAGAGCATACGTTTTCACTCCCTAATAAACGCTTAAAAAAATATATTTTTTTTACCACCCTGTAAAACTATACAAAAGAAAACATGCAAAGCAAAAAAAAAGAAAAATTTAAATACGTTAGAATGAAAATACGAACAAAAAATTAATAAATTAGATAATATGTATTAAAATATTAGTTGAACTTGTTAACTATAGGAATGTCTTTTTAATATAAATAAAATTTTTCCAAAAAAAAAAAACCAATTTGAAATTTCAATTGTTAAAGTCGCATGTTTTGACATCATTACATATGATTCTAAAATTTGACATTTTATCTTCAAACTAACCACAAACTCTTACAGAAAATTATGCAGGATATTATGCAGAAAATAGCAAAAAAAAAAAATACGTAGTTTATGGCTGAAAAATATGAAATAAGTCAAATGCGTTATCAACTTGTAAAATTGAATAGAGAGGTTCGTGCTACATAGTGTTCAGTTACAACAGTTTTTTTAACTTAGAATGAGCTAAAATTTTTTTTTTAAAAAAAAGATGAATAATTTTAAAATTTAATTTTTAAATGTATACAACATTAGTATTCTTCTGCTCAAATTGAATTCAGATATTTAAAAAAAATTTACAAACCGCTGACATAATTAAAAATTCATTATCTTTTTTTTTAAACTTGTAAAATAACTTTCTTCCTAATTTAAATTATGCACCCTTATTGTAAATCTCATTCGTACTACTGAAATTCAGAAATATTACGAATTTCATATTGTGAATTCCGAAGAAATAAAATTGTATTCAGAAATTCATAATAGAGTAATTATGAATTACACTTGTAATGAAAATAAATGTTAAAATTTTACAAATGAAATTTTTAAACGTAGATAGCCAGTATTCAAGAGTGGTCTGTTAATTTTTGTTTATTTGTTTTAAATACTTGTTTATTATCCAATCGCAAATTCCTTTCTCGATTTTCTCCTTCTTCTAAAACAACTACAGTAAAGGAAAACAAGTTCAAATTAATTATTAATTTTTTGTCAATTTAAATAAAATGTCTATTATTATTTTTAAATATCTACTATGAAATTTGAAAAATTTAAATGTTGGCACTTGATTGATCGATTTCGACACGCCAAAAAATAATGTAGCCATTGCAGATTCCTAATCTCACAAGTGAAATTTATAATTACTTAAAAGCCAACGTGCGTAAACTAGTTTGAAATTCATGGAATTCTACGAGTCAGATTTACAATAAGGGTGATGATATTTGTATTTTCGTTTTAAATATTTATTGGAATCGTTTGAAATATATATATATATATATATATATATATATGGAAATCGGCATTACAAATAAATGAAACAGTTTTAAATTTCTGTTATCATAATATTGGTTTACTACTAATTCTAAACAAAGAATTATTATAATTATCATAAAGAAATTGAAAATATTATTAATATTTATTTATTTATTGGTGTATCTTTAATAGTCAAAAATAAAATACTAAATAGTATTTTCAATATTTTATGAACTAATCAATTACAATATAATTTAAAATAATCTTACCTAATTTTCTACAACATACGTTATAAATCATTAATAACCACTATAATACTATTTACAAAAAAAAGAAAAAAATGCGAATAAGAAGAGTCAAATAATAATCGATTTGATTTATATATCCATAATAAATATTATCCACATAATATCTATAACTATAATAACTTTTATACAATTTAATAAACATTTAAAGCTCATTTAGTTTTCCAATTTTTTCACTAAGTGATTAAACAAATTTCTGATATAAATTCGTTAATTTCACTAAAACTATATTTATATAATATTTGTTTAACAAATATAATTGGAAGAAAATTTATAAAAATCATATTTATTTGTTACATTGTTATTTACTCCAAAATATTATAATTTTAATAGTTACAATTATGTAAGAAAATAATATTTGAATAATGCAATAAATACAAATAAAAAGAATTACACCGTGAGGAAAAAAAAAAAAAGAATTACAATAAACAAAGTAAATAAGTTTCTCAATCGTTTTATAATATAAATAAATAAAATTTGGAAAGCTTTCATTTATTTTCACCCTTTGTGTAAATATATTACCACTATAAATTACAATACAACAAATTATTAAGGCAATTGAACAGAATATTGTTATCATAAAGGTTCTGGTTGTTTTTTTATTATTATTATTATTATTTTGTGATTCTTTCTTTAATTTTAATGCGACCATTAAGTTAACATTAATTATTGTGATAAAGCGATAACATGTGTTGTGATAAGAATGCGTCTTTCCCTACTTAAAAAAAAATATGAAATAGCTTATTTATTTTATACTGGCCGTATTGTAAACTTATTTGAATTTCAAATAAATTCCAAATTACGTTCCAAAATCCGTAAAAACATGCTTAAAGTTTTCAAAGATTTTTTAAATATTTTTTTATTTTGAAATGCTGCAAAAATGTTTTAAATTTAAAAGGATTTACATATAGAAAAATGTGACATATACAAAATCTGGAAAAACAAAAATAGGGGGAATTATCGATAATTCAGATATGCAATGAAAGTTCTAAACTAAATTTTTAAAATTTTCTTGCATTGTGAACTTATAAATCTGCAAAAACTGAATATTTTACTTTCGTAGCTGAGCCGAAAAATTACAAACAAAAAAAAACGAATTTTTTTTTAACCAAAATTGTCGATTTTTTTTTTAGCAGAAATTTATCCAACATGATATTTCTGCACATTATGAATTTTTTAATCTATCGAACGTGGTTTTTATTAAGGCCTAAGTTATAGTTAAAGAAATATCAAAAATCCCCTAGTCAGTTCCTTCCCACTTATGATGCATGAAAAGAGTTTCAATATTAAAGGTAGCACTTTACGTGCTTGTCTGAATTAAAGAATATCATCTTGTTTTTCGCTGAGTATCTACTATGCGTAATAATTTAATACGTGCCTATATACAAAAAAAAATTAAATAGTTTATGATACGAAGTATTGAAGGAGTTCGGGAAGTACCATAAGGAAATCAGCTTTTTACAAATACTAATTAAATTTTAGTATTAAAATTTTCTAAATTTGATTTTTAAGTTTAAATATTTTGTACATACTAATTGTTTGTAGTATTTAATTTTTATATTTTGGTTTTTTTATCGAAAAAAGATATGATCAATTTTTGTGTTATCAAAAATGTTCATAGGTATTGAATAAAAAAAAAAAAAATTAACCATTATTAATTTTATCATTAAAATTTTCACTTTGTTTAAAATTATCAGCTGGAAGAACCTTCAACTTCTTTGAAATTTACAAAGAACAATGGATTGTTGATGCAAAAATCTTTTAAAATATTCCAATTTTTTTCTATAAAACAATTATATTAAAATTAAACAGTTTATTAAGGAATAATTTTGAATATGAAATGAAGTAAGCTATTAAATATACTTGAAATGATTAATTTAATAAGTTTTTAATATAAATTCAGTTAAATTTTAAATAAAATTTCAATATAAATGCCTTGATATTCCCAATATCAAGAGCAAATAAAAAATAATCTTCAATAATTAAATCTTGTAAGTAGTAATGTAGTATAGATAGTAACATATATATACGTATCTAATAAATTGGATGGGCATACCTAACTATACCTACTCACGTATCTATCTAATTGTAAAATAAATTTCGTTTTCCTGTGTATATCAAGTGTGTATAAAAATCTGGAGTTATCCAAGTATACCTATATATATATATTATTATTATTATTATGTACATATATATAGGGCCATGTATATCAAAATAAAAACATTAAGTGCATATCACCAGAAATTGCACTAAAATCTACCAGGTGTTTAGATTTTATAAATAGAATTTATAAGCGAAAATATTAAGTATACAATAAAAATATTGATTTTTTTGCCGGCTTTATTTTTCCTTTTTTTTTTGTTTTCATATTATGAAACATTCATATATATTTTATCTTATGGGTATTTAAAATAAAATATACTTATAGGACCTTTTTTTTGGAATTAAAGTTAAAAATTCTTTTCAATGAAGATGCCGTCTACACCCTAATTGTTCTTTCGTTTTGTTTTTTTTTATATAAGTACCTATAACATATAATCGATTAAATATGTGGAGTCGCAATTGAAAATCTTTATAGAGAAATTGAAAATTTTGAGTTTAAATTTTAATATATTTCAAGTTTTTTAATTAAAATTGCCAATTATATTTTAAATAAAGAAACACCATTGTTTTTGATACTTGATATTCTTTTCCGGAAGATTTTCTAAAAAAAAGAAAAAAATGGATGGTAGGTGGTAATTTATCTTACCAGTTTGAGTTTCATCGTCTGTTATTTCTTCAATATTCTCTTGAACGTTTTCCATTATAGAAATTTTATTAACTTAACTAATTTCCAATAATTTAATCATTTAAATTATTAATCGTTTTTATTTATAAAAGCATTATTTTAAAAAATAATTTCTTTTTATAATATTAACACTTTTTCAGTTATCACTAAAATTTTATAAATTTCTCGATTGTCAAATAAGATCAGCTGTTCTATTTTCTCCTTCATATTTTGTACTAAAATTGTTCTAAACTCGATTAATTCTCATTTTAATCAGTTTACATTCAGCAAATTACTTAGTGAATTTGATTTTTCATTGCTTGTCATGGGGATTTTAATAAAATTAAAATAAAAAACTCCAGATTTTAAGAATTACTAAAAAAATAAAAATTAAAATCACAAAAATTTAAAGAAATTTTATATTTTTCATTTGAAATTCAAGAACAAAAATTTGTATTGATTGTTTCATCATATTTGTATTGCCCTCAAAATTTTATAGGAAATTAGATTAGTTTGGATTGAGCAAATACATTTAGGTATGTAAAATAGTGAGTTCAACCTTATTACGGCGGCGCGGTAAATCTACTTTTTCAACAAAACAAAAGTTTTTCTTAATTCTCAGTAGTTCTCTGTAGTCAATTTATTATAAAAATGTAATTATTTGCATACTGCAGTACTATTCTTGCATTTTAAAATATGTATAAAAATCTTGATCGCCATTATGCAACGGAATATATTTTTACAAAAAAAGTATAAAAATTATCATTAATTAATTCTTTTTGAATTATTCTTAAGAAAATTTACTTTTAGTTCCCTAAACTTCTGTTGAAAAACTTTGTTGCATACAAATTTTTTTGATAAGTGTTATTGTAGATTCACCTTTAAAACATGTGTACTAAAAATTAATGCATGCGTATTTCATTTTAGGTAGAATAATAACAAAAATCATATGATTGCTTGTTGTCACGGCAACAATATTCTTACTTCAAAATTTGACATTACTTGATGAGGAGGAGAAATTATTTATATTTTATTATTTTCCTGGTTGATATTTTGGTTCCGCAAAAAATAAAACATTCTTTTCCGTATTTTAAGAAAATAGTACAATGGAAGTTCAAGTTCATCCATTAACAAATGATCCGACTGCGGCTTGGAAGGAACTTTCACGTACACAGAGAGTGATTAAAGGTAATGAAGGTTATATATTTAAAAAATAAAATACATTTGAATTCTAAGTTATGAAATATGAAAATAAATCATTGATAGCAATATTGAAATTGAGAATAAATTGAAAAGTGTTAATCCATTCTCGAAAAATTTATAGTAAATGTATATTCACATTCAATTGAATAATATGGTTAATGTGACAAATATTTAAAAACGATATTACCTAAGAGGGGCTTAAAAAGGTTAATGTTCTATAGCCATGTGTTTGTAATAAATGATTCATGTAACAAGAATCGTTCATCACTTTTTGTCAATAAACTTTTACTTTTATATTCAAAAATATTTTGCACATTACCATTTCTATTTCAGTCACAATGAAACCACCATCAACCACTTGCCCTTACAATAAACTTCGGATAGTATGTATGTCTGATACACATTCGCTTACACCTTATATTAAGGTAATAAACTACCTACATAGATATATACTTGAGAATAAATGTGCAAAATGCAATAATTTGTAATATAATTTTTAGTTTGATATACCTGATGGCGATATATTCATTCATGCAGGAGATTTTACAAAATGTGGAAGATTACAAGAAGTTACAGAATTTAATGAATGGATAGGTCGTTTACCTCATAAGTAAATTATATATTTACATACATACCTAGCTATATTTTACTGATTTTAATTTATTTAAAAAAAGGCACAAACTGGTGATAGCAGGAAATCATGAACTTAGTTTTGATAACAGTTTTACACATCCATTTCAAAATAAACAATCATTAGAACGGTATGTAAAACTTAAAAATTTGCAAGAAATTGTATATGCTTACATATGTCCAAGTGTGTATAATTTATATAACATTTTAGAACAAAAGGTGCTGGTCTTTCAATATTGGACGAAATACCTACATTGGGGAATGAAAAAAAGAATTTAGAGGAGGCAGTACAAACCCAAAATATTAAAGATTATCTTACAAATTGTTATTATATCGAAGATGAAATGATTGAAATAAATGGTATCAAAATATATGGTACACCATGGCAGCCAGAATTTTGTAAATGGGCTTTTAACGTTCCACGTGGAAGGCATTGTCTTGATATGTGGAATAAAATTCCAGCAGGAGTCGACATACTTATAACCCATACACCACCTGTTGGCCATGGTGATCTATGTTGCTCTGGAGTTAGAGCTGGTTGCGTTGAATTACTATCAACCGTACAACAAAGAGTAAGAAAATGCTACTTCATTTTTATAATTATTATTAGTGTTTTCATGAAACTAAAAAAATTTAAGGTTAAACCAAAGTATCATGTTTTTGGACATATACATGAAGGTTATGGTATAACATCAGATGGTAGAATTATCTTTGTAAATGCTTCAACTTGTGACATCAATTATTATCCAAATAATCCCCCAATTGTATTTGATATTGCTTTACCAAAAGGCTATGAAAAAAACTAAAAGAAGTGTTCATTGAAAATTTCGTTAATTTATAACTTCAAATTTTGCAGATTACAGCTCATTGTAAATAGAAAAGAAAATTTATAAAAAATGTGAAATATTTATAGAAAATAATTGTATTCAAATTTTTAAAATGCATGCGCTTATTAGTTAAGTGTCTCGTTAAATTTTAAAACGAGAAAATATTTAATAATTACCATAACAATATTTAATTAAATCCCTTATTTTTTGAAAATAAATTATTTATGCATATGTATTTTGTAAGTATTGTATTTTTTGATTGAATTTTTATGTAACTTTTTTTTTTTTAATTTTTTTTGGGAATTTATTGTTAGAACGATATAAAAAAAATATTGCAACCAAAATGATTTTATTTAATAATAAAAATATATATATTTAAAATTTTATAATTAGAAAAAAATATGAGCATGTATAATTATAATAGGATGATTTCATTAATTCGTATGATTCGAAAAATTAAACACTTTTTAAAATTATATGCATTTAAATAAACATGTATATCATAAAATATTAAAAAATTGATTGTGAAATATAGATTTCAAAAATAAATTGCCACAATTTAAATATTAAAAAGAATTTCTTAATATATATTATTATATCGTAGAAATCTAGTCAACTTCGAATTTGTGAAATCAAAATTTTTAATTACAATATAAGTTTAAATTAATAAAAAAAAACTTTTGATAGTAATATAAATATAAGTATGTTTTAATTCAATCAATTATTTGTCAATTTCAATCAACAATTGCGTAACTATTATAATATTATGGTGGTTTAGTATAAACTTTTATTTAATACAAGGTCGTTAAGCGTGTTAAGGAAGGTAGGTGTGGGTGATAACTGATAAGTAACACACGCTTTTAATTTCTTTGCTTATCTACAGAACGAACGATTTTAGAAATCAATTCCATCTTCAACACATGCAAAGTTACGATCTATGGCTTTTTCGATATTTAAAGAATTAACTTTTAACTCTTCTAAGAAACTCTCTATTACAAATAACTTGCCGCAGTTTTAAGGAATAACGAAAAAACTGCGATTTAAAACATGAGCATCCCTATAATTTTATTCAATAATTTTATTATATTAATTCCTTTTTGTAATTATAAATAAAAATAAATTTATTATATCCTTAAAAAATAATTATGGTTTTACGAAGCAAAATATTTATAACAATATTTTATAACTTAATTAAATGCTACTTGTTTTACCAAATTTTTGTAAAAGATTCATACATTTTTTTTTTTTATAAATTTTATAATACAATTTAATTAAATTTCATATAATATAACACATCATTTAAAATTTATAATTCTATGAATTTAATTTTATAATGGATAAATTTTTTTCTACTTAATTATAGAGATTTTATTTTGTAAAGAATGAAATTTATTATTAAAAATTGAAATAATTTATAAATTAATTTGGAGTTTCTTTATAAAATTTAAATTTAAAATCTTTGAATCACAATTATTAATATTAAAAATATTGAAAAATTTCTATATATTTTTCCACTCAGTTCTTGTATAGTTAAGAATTACACTTTAATATCATTAATAATTAAAATTCCCTTTTTTTTTTCATATTTATATTTACATATGATTACGTGAAAATTATCAAGGAATTCTGAATTTTATATTTTTTAAATACATTTTACAAAACAATATACACAATATAAGTAGGCATTTTAAACCTCAGTATCGTTTATAATGAATTTTCCTTTCATAATATATTTCTCAATTTTGATTTTTAATGGCATGAGTACATTCAAAATTATAAAATTAACATTTTTCTTTCTGCAGACAAATTTCTGCAACATTATACCATTAAAAAATATAAAATTCACACAATTTATTGTATATTAAAATTTTCTAATATAATTTTAATATACAATAAATTCATAATGTTCAATCATTTTTTAAAGATTGTTTTATTCTATTCCAAAACATTAATTTTAGTTCGTTATCCTTTTGGAAATTACCAGTTGTTGCCGGCCACTTAATATAAGTTCGTAAGTCCATTAAATGTTGCAATGCCCTTGGTCTAATATTATTTGGTATTTCTTCTAATAAAACTAATACTAGTGGATTACCTTGAGGATCAAATAACCTAAAAATAAAAATTAAATAAATAGTCTGAAATTATGTAAATTTTGATATAACAGTAATGAAATTATATATTTAAGAAACTATAGTAAAAAAAAAATATATCGGTAGGTATTTAAATAAAAATAATACAAACTTTAACAAAAATATAACAAATTCTATTTTCTTTTTATTATAAATTATTTTATTTACCTTTTTTGAGCAAATTGCATTTCAAATTTACACCAATTACTTTGTAAAAAACTATTTGATATAACTAATAATAAACTTCTTGATTTATCCATATGAAATATTATATTTTCCCAAATAGTTAAGCCCACCTAAAAATTTTCAATATAAAATTTAATTAATATTTTTTTAATTAATTTATAAAAATTGTGATTTTATACCTTAAATTCACGTTCATGTAAGCAAATTTTTAATTCTTTATCAGAATCCATATTTGGTATTAATTCTTCTAAAATCCATTCTCTATCATGATCCGAATAACTTACAAATACATCATATTTATAATTTTCATTATTATTTAATTCTGAATTATAATTTATATTTTTTCCATTTATAAAACCAAAATATTTTTTAATTTTATGTATTATTTTTTTAATTTTCTCTTTTTTAAAATAACCAATTGCAAAAATTGTTGATACGGCAACAAATACAACAACACCACATATTAAAATTTTTGCTGTTTCATTTAATTCTTCATAAGTTATATCTTTACTTTTGCAATGTGAAATATCATTTAATTTGAAATATTTTGTACCACTAAAACACCAATAATCTTCTTCATTATAATCTAATAATTGAAATGTATATTCATGTTCATAATTTACATCATTTGAATGAAAATTTTCAATAGATGTAGAATTTTTTAAATTTTCTAAACTTTCAATATATTGATTATAGTATTGTTCTATTAAAACTTGATTCATTAAATGATCCCAAGCACCAGATGGTACTTTTTTATATAAATAATTTACAAAATCTTCACCTTTATTATTACTATTTCCATTTTTGTCAGCATGATCAATAAGTGATCTTAGATAACATTTACAAACGAAATTATTTTTACCTAAAATAAAAATAAAAATTAATAATGTTAAATGATATTTTATATTTTATATAAAAAGATAAATCTTTAAATTTTAAATTCTTGTCCTATTAATACGGATACCTAAACTTAAATATTGTGTACTTTACAATCGATTCTAACTTAATGAGTAATTTGCAACGAAAATTAAAATTTTTGAACTTTTATGTATGGGTTTAAAATAGAGTTGCCAACATAGTTATAAGTACGAAATAAAAATTTCTCGAAACATTCCGTGAAAGCTTTGATTTCATGCACATATCATTCGATCTGATTTAAAAGTGATAAAATTTAAATCGTTTCATATTTTCAAAATAAAGATTAAAAATCAAGGTTGCCTCTTCGCAAAGATACTATTTTTTCGTAATTTTCTCAACATTGTAAAGGAATTAGTTTTGCACTCTAAATTGCTATACTAATATAATAATATTAGTCATAAGAATAAAATTTTAACAAATTCTTATCACAAAACTATACATGCATACCTACATACATACATATATAATAAAATATTTGGTCAGAAGTATAATATACATATGAAAAAACAAGTATGATAAGATGTACATATAATTGTTTACAGGTGTTAGAACAATTTGATGTGGGGTAAAAACACACAATTGTCAATCAATTAAATTATTTTGCTTTATATTTTAAAGTACTTATTTTTCAAACATTATTATTATTAATATTTAATACTAAGTGTTGTTGTTGTTATTAAATAAATATTTTAAAGAAATAGAAAAATGTATATGAATGTGTCTTATTATGAAAAATGTTATTCTGTACAATATAAGTATGAGCAGAAAGAGGTTAAATTAAATATAATTACTTACTTAATGCCATAAAATCCATTTTCTTAAAATCTTTATACATTTCCGGTGTAATCATATTAATATTATTTTCTTGTATATTTAATATTTTTAAAGCAGTATTATTTTTAAATATTTGATAATACCAATTTCCAATATGATTTGCACTTAAATCTAAATATCGTAATTTTCTTAAAGTTGAAAATGTTTCATTTGTTAATGAATTTATATTATTTACTGATAAATTTAAATATTCTAATTTTTTTAATTTTCCCAACCAAAAAATTTTTTTAATTGCTGAATCAGATAACCATAAAACTTTTAAACTATTCTCTAATCCTTGAAATGAATTATTATTTAAATTAATTGCAACATATGGATTACCAGATAAATCTAAAACTTCAATTGATTCTCTTGAAAATATTTGATTATCTAACATTTGAATTGATGATAAACATAAACCTAAATATTTTAAATTATTATTAAAATGATGAAATGCTTTTGTTTTTGGTGATATTCTTGTTCTTGAAAAATTAATATATTCTAATTTTGTTAAATTTTTAAATGTATTTTCATCTATTGACATACCACCAATTTCTAATAATTCAATATATGATTCAAATGATAAAAATTCATCATTATTATATAAATGTAAATTCATTGATGATAAATCTAAATTATTTAGATTTGGTAAAATTGAGAATGTATCATCTGTTATTCTTATTATATTATTTTTAGATAAATTTAATGTATGTAAATTAGTTAAATTTACAAACATATTTTTTACAATATATTGAATATTACAATTTGCAAGATTTAAATGTTCTAAATCAATCATTTTTGGAAATCGAGCCCATCCAATCATTGAGTAAATATTATCTAAAATGACAAAATAAAAAATAAATAATTAATTTGAAATTTTAAAATATAAGATTTATTAAAATTAAAAAAATTGTAATTCTTTTTTAGAATTGTTTTATATTTCCCTAACTATCCTAAGTAACCTAACTTGACTGATTAAAATCTTGCTCAGCAGCTAATTTTAATAATGTTTACAAGTTTATTAGAATCTTAAAACAATAAGAATTTGTCTTGTCCTAGAGTGTTTTAGGCAAGAATTTTTTAAGTTATATTTTTCTAATTGTATTTAAGAAAGCTTTATTTATAGCTATATTACAAAAAAGAAAAAAATAACTTGTGTAATTAAATTTAATACTGGAATATTGTATTCGAAAATTGTTTACTTAATTTTCATTTTTATATTTTCTTATCGAAATTCACTATAAATATTTTTAATATTAATTTTATCTATTATAATTTTTATAGTACATATACAATAGTCTGAAATTTAAATTTTTAGGTTAATTAAACTTGATATATATAATAAATGATAAAGTGAAATAATGAAATTAATATATTTATATGTATATACGTTATTCATAATTATAATAATTTATTATAGAAGTTATGACCTAGTTCCTGGCTTTTAGGTGTATATATACTTTAAAATCTTGTTACTAAATTAATTTACTAAATTAAACTTAGGTTATTATTATTAGAGTAATTTTTAATCTGAAGACGTACATGCTATGATGTAATTATAATAACATCCTAAAATACAATTTAATCTCTCATGAAATTGGGTTTGAATTTAGTTTGGCATCCTTTTGATTTAAAGAATTAAAAATTCGTTGTATTAAATTGTATGAAAATCCTAAAAGAAAAGAAATTTTCAATATTTAGCTACTTATACTTTTAAAACTCAAATTTACTTCAAAATATAAAAGTTATCTAAGCAATTTAGTATAATCCTTTTATTTTTATATAGGATTATTGAAATTGTCTCGACCTGGTTACAAAAAAGAAAAAAAAAGTAAAATGTACTACTATTATTCTTTGTAGAAAAATAAAAGAATAAGAATGATTGCTATACTGATTAATAGTGATTTCTAATGAATTAATGTATGAACATTTTGTATAATCAGTCATTAATATTAATTAGCAAGTATTTATATAAGACATACACATATGTATATATTTTAAATTTAAACGTGTATGTGTAAAAAGAGGGAAAGTAATTAAAGATTTTTCTTATCATAGTCACGAAATTCAAATTATTTTTTTTTTTATTATTATTCTTTATCAGTTAATACTAGTTACTAATTTGATACTGAAAATATATGCATACAAATAAAATTGAGTTAGTGAGTAAAATGACAAAGTAAATCATTTGAGTTTATATGGCAAGACTTGAATATGGGTGAATAATATAATAAATATATATTAATATAATAAGTATGATTAAGTATATAATTGCAATCAATAATGGAAAATTTTTAACCTGCACTTTGGATGACAATGTAAGTATATTCCAAGTTATTTTTATATAAGCTCTCTTTTATTGTAAAAATAATTTCTTTTAATTGGGATATAGTTTTGCACTACATAGTTTTTTTACGACTTTTTGAAGAAATGGTTCTTATAAATAGCAATTTATCATAATATAAGAGCAATCAGTTTACAGCAAAGCATTTTATATGAATATGTGTGGGAATGAAAATTTAATTTTTTATATTTACCATTGTGATTTTGCATTGCATTATAATTTACAAAGAAATTATTTCCATGTAAATCCAAATATTTTAATGTATATTTCATTAGGCTCAATGAAATATATGGTACTACTGTTAAATTATTTTCAGCTAATTTTAATGCTTTAACACCATCCAATCGATGTGAAAGATTTTTTAATGTTCGAAGAATTTCTTCCTCTTCACAGATACTCATATTTGATAAATCCAATTCTGATCCTAAAAAAAAAAATAAAAAAAAAAAATAAATAAATAAATTTAATTTACTATTCCAGATTTAAAAATATTTTAAAAATGTTTACACAAATACATAAAAGATAAAATTCAAAAGCTTTAAAACTATTATTAAAATTATGACATTTTTAAGTGGTGGGCTCTTAAATAAAAATGTATGATTAGTGTGCTCGATAAGAAATTTAAATCGAATTTAATTTGGTTAAAAATTATAGATAATCGATTATCTATAATTAAAAGTTGTGTATCATTCATAAAAAATTACTAATGATAATTTTTTATATAAGATGAGAGCGTGCCTTCGATTAATTGAAAAAGAAAAATATAATAAAAATCATAAACAGAAGTTCATGCATAATAGGTTTTTGATTAAAAGTAAAGTGTCTTTTAAATCGAAATTTTATTTTAAGTGAAAGTTTCTTTTTACATATATAATCATTGTGTAAAATGTAAATAATATAAAATGGCACCCATTTACCTTTTGCACCCCAAAGCAAAGATCTTTACAATTTTACGAAAGATTGATGGATTTAGTAAAGAAGCTATGAGAACCAATAAATGAAAACCACATAAAAGACTGAAATTTGCTTAAATATTAATTTTTTTGTTTTTTATATTCCTTTTATCTTGATTCAAAGTTTTATCTTTTAATTTCAGACTTTTCTTTTAAAATATTAAAATATTTTAACAAGGAATATTCAAAATTTTCCATATAAAAAATTTCAATTCTTATGAATCAAACGAATCAAACTTAACGAATACGTTGTGGTCTGCAAGTATTTTGCCTTCTCTAATATTTTCAACAAAGAGGGTTGTAAAAATAAATATATAAATAATCATTATCATTTTTATTAAAAATAAAAATTTTATCATATTATATCGTAACATTTATTGACATACGAGTATAAGATAATATTACTCAATTAAATTTTTTATTATTGTCTCTTGATATTTTAAATTTCATAAGAAATTCTTTCGGAAAAAAATAAACAGGTCTAAATTTATTTAATATTTTTATCTTGATTATGTGGCCATTTATTATTTTTACATTATATGCTATACCACGAAGTCAATGGTTTATAAAATAGGTTATTTCGTTAAAACAATTCAAAAAATGAATGTTTTTAGGGAACAAACTATTTCATTTACATTATAAAGTGATATTATAAAGAGATCACAATACGTTAAGTATATTCTTTTATTTCATACTTTTGGGAGATGAAATTGTACAAATAAGAATTCTAAAGTTACAAGGTAAGAACACATTACTACCGTCACCTTTCTACTGTTATTTGTAGATGTATTTTATGTAAATTTATTTAGAGATAGGAAAAAAATTCCTTCTAGAAAAAGAGGATGGTTGCGAGATTCTGTACTTGTGCAAAATATTCATTTTGCTGACATTTGTAAACACATATCTTTTTAGGAGAATATTCACCTTCGATGTTCTTGCTCATTTTATTCTGTCAAAAAGTTCATTAGACCTGGTTTTATTATGAGTTTATCAGAATGGTGAAATGTTTTCATAGTTCCGTCAAGTAAAATTATGTTTTATATTGGCATTTAATATTTTAATTAGAATGACTCTACTATAATATATTAATTGTTTTTATGTTTTTGCACTTTAACGTGATGTAAAATTTGCTAAAGTTTTTTTTATTCCAATTAATAAGAGATAAGTTAACAATCGATATGTCGATATAGATATCGATAATTTTTCTTTTGTTGATTTTTAATTATTATACATAAATAAATATTTTTTAATGCGTATATTTCGAAATTTAAAAACAAGTCAAATAATTATATGCGAGCATGTTAAATTAAGGTGTAAGACTTAATAACCGAAAATTACCGGAACATTTTAATCAAAATTAAATAAAAGAAGAAAAAAACAAAACGAAATTTATGAGGCGACGCCGTATTAATGATTAATCAAATTTGCTTTTTTTAATTATAGAAATTCAAAAAATTTTTCTCATATTATAAGATGACTGGAGCACAAAAAAAACATTATCATGGCGAAAACATGTTAACATGGCTGAGATTGTAAATAATATTTTGACACTTTTATTAAATATAAATTTTAAACAATAATCTAGTTACAATAAAATTAGATTATTTTAATTGATTTCTGTATTAAATTTTAATCTATTTTATTGTACATTATTTATTTGAAAAACGAAGAACGTTTTTTTTACCATAACAAAACAAATGGTTTCTTCCTTGATTTATATGCGTTTTATCTCGATGACTATGTATTTTTATGTCGCACAAAATTGAAACAATAATATTTTTTAAAAGAAAATTGAAATACATACATCTGGTAACTATTTTCCTAAATCAAGAGTAGGTTCAGCTTAATTTAGATTTGATTTAAAAAATCTTATATCTTTATCCATAATGTTACAAGATTAGAATCTTATACTTTTATTCATGAATTAGATATATTAACCAAATTTTGAATGAACATAGGTAAGACAAAGAGGAACTCAAATCAATGAGAAAATGTTATTCGAATTAATGATTTAAATTACCTTTTCGAGATTTGCACGGCAATAAAGTCGGAATAAGATATTGAGAAAATGTTATTAACGCCTTTTATAATAGGCTTAAATGCATTAAAAATTGACATAAACCACATTTTATAATTATTTTCAAATATAACACTTGATTATTTTATTGGTAACACCATGACAGTGTCTTAATCTGCAGGTATCGTCATTAAGAAATTAAGTAGGTAACATTATTTTTTTTTTTGATAACTTTAAGATTCAAAAAAAATTCTAATGACGTTTGTTGATAACATTATGATTTGGTTTTAAATATTTTATGTCACTTGAGAGCAAGATCGTTTCTTCTCCATTATTTTGTTTTTTGAAGTATTATTTAAAAGTGTGCGTATGATAAACACCTCGTTTATCAGTTGATATTTTTTGGACTATGAACTTGAATAAGGTGAAGATAAGGTTTTGTAAAAGTATATGTGCTTTGTAAGTTTTTACTGTGTATCATATATCAAGTTCTAGAGTTAAAGTGCATATATATATATATATATGATATATTTGTAACAATCTGTCTGCAAATGTTTTGCTCATTTATTTAGAAACTTTTGAAAAATTTAAAAATAAAAATTAATTGTAAAATACTACAGTAATTTGCGAAATATTTACAATAAAGAGAGGGTAAAGTAAACAATACTCGCACTTTTTTGATAAGTGTGCTAATTTCTAGAAATCTGAAATTTTAGCATTGCATAATTATGAAAATTTTCTTTTGTCAAAATGAAGTTTTTTTCTCACTATCATTCTTTCTTAAATTTTGACATCTCAAAGTGAGCTCAATTTCGATTTTGTGTATACCACTTTGCAACCACTAACTTGATCCAAGTTTTTATTTGTCATTTGATTAATCCTCGAAATAAAAAATTTTTATTTTGTTTCTAAAACCTGCATGTAAATATTTTGCTAAAAACAGTTTTTTTTTTCTAATCAATTATTTTATCATATCAATTGTTTTATAAATAAATAATGATAATCGAAATATTGGATTACCAAACATGTAATTAATATCAATTATACTTACTTATATTATTCAATGAGAATTATTACTGTCGATTTTGAAAGTTCTTTAGGTTCATTCATAATTGTACATAAAAGTTTATTTCGTTAATGAATTTGAAATACGCAATTTAAATATGTATTTGTTATGTGTTATTTTTTTATTATTGTTTTAGTGTTGTAACATAATTGTGTTTTAATAATAACATGTTTTATATGTAATATTAATGTTGTTTATGTGTACAAACCTGCATTAAGAAATGTTATCCAATTATAATCTTCTGGCTTAAAATTATCCATTAAACAATTTATATTTTCAGTGACAGATGATGTTTCATCAGTGCTATATGACGTTTTCTCTTGTAAATATCTTACACCTACATTATTTATATTTAATTTACTTTTTTTATTTATTAAATACTTTGGTATCCAACCATTTTCGCTATTATCATTATTATTATTCATTTTATTTTCTTTTTTATCATATATTTTAAATTTTTTATTAGGAATTAATTTTTTCTGATCAAAATCTATATTAAAATTTTGTAATAAATTTAATTGATTTTCTGAATTTTGATGTTCTAATTGATATTTATTATTATTATTAATGTAAACACTTTTACCTTCATTACAAAATATTTGTGTAACTATTGTAATAATTATTATTTGAACTAAAATTTTAATTGTTAAACAATTCATTTTTAATTGATTTTATTGAAAATTATTTTATATTAAAATTATAAAATTATATTATAATTTGTGTTATTTTCACTTTTATGCTACTTTCAAAGTTAAAGTTATGTAATTAATTAAAATTTTAAGTACACGTATAATGAACATATGTATTATATATTTTCGGAAAAATGCACAAAAAAATATTTATAAAATTTACGGGTTTGTCGAATTAGATTTCACTTTCCGACGAATTGCGCTTAACTAAAAAGAAAATAAAAAGTCAATAAATAGATTTATTAAATGAATTTATTTATTGAATATTTTTTTTATATATTTAACTTGAATAGATTTCAATCATATCGAATTCTTATCGGGCAGGTTGTATTGATAAGAATAAAAAAAAGTGTATAATAAAAAAAGATATAGGAGGAAAAATAAAAAAAAAAAAAACAGCGAAATCGCTATGTAGGTATTTGTATGTAGGACTATAATTTTTTTTTTATATATCGCGCGAGCAATATACTTGATAACGTTTTTGTTTTTTAGCCTGTAACTCTTATGTTTTGTTTAATTTAAAGAAGGAAAGTGGCTTAAATTGCTATTTTTTCTTGCAAGACAGTTATTCCTTCAATACTGGGAAAATTTGTATAAGCTGTCATTAACGAATTTCTTAAAACAAATTCTTTTTATAGATTTAAAAAGGATAACAAATCCTTTTGAAAGATTTAGTTAGATAATTCTGAAATTTTTGCGCGGATATGTAACGAATTTCCTATATAAAATCGTTTATTTGTCCTTCTAATTAAATACATGTATGTATGTCAATTACTTGGCAGATTTGTCAATTTTATCTTAAAGAGGATTTCGCAAAAAAAAAAAAGAACAATATTTTTAAATATAATGAAAGACTAGAAGTATGTATGTTTTTTATATATAGAATTGTTCTACAACACAACAAGAACAGAAGTTTCTAACTTCATATAAACTATCACATAAAGTATAAATCAATTTGCACGAGAATTCCTTTTTTTAGAAAGTTTATTGAAACTTTTAAGTACCTACATACGAGTATGTGTACATGAAAAATAAACTTACAATAAACTTCAGATATAAGAATAAATAAATATTTTGTTTTGTTTTTAAAATATTTCAATATATTATCGTTATTTTATCTTAATCTTTATTAAATAAATTGTAAATTTACTAAAGCAAACACAATAATAATAACTTAAACTACCTATTAGACTGATTAATTGAATGGGTCGTGCTTATATGTTTAGTATGTCAGTATTAAAATGAAATAAATATTTATAGCATAATAAAAGTTACCTATATTTTTTGTTTAAAAATATTATTTCTTTTAAGACAATTAACGTTTTCATTTGTTCTAATTAATAACAATAAATAGAATTTTAAAAATAGAATATTATAAAAGTATAAGTAAAAACAAAGTTTATATATAAGTAAATATATTGATGTATTATGTCAACACACGATGAAAGTTCACGGACTTTAAATTTAGATATAAAATATTTTACAAATTCTTTGTAAACAAAGGGTTAAGAAAGTGTAAAAGTAAGAGGTGCTTCGTCATTCTAAGTTCATTTGAAGAATAAAACTAGAATTTCGGATTTGATATATTTCGGACAAGGAGAACCCGTAAATTGTGAACAAAAATATAAAATTATTCTGACAAAAAATAAATTGATCAAATAAAATAATTTTGTGAAATCAAATTAATTAAGTCAAAATAAATTTTATTTTTATTATTAACAAAATTTTTTTCTTTAAATGAACGATGAATTTCAATATAAACTAGTTAATTTTATTTGGCGGTTATTTTTTCTAATCAGTATAAAATATTAGTAAAACGACAGTTGTTTTCCGTTAAAAGGCAATATGTTTATTATATTTGACGACAGAGGCGCTTTAATCGAAAATAAAATGTCAGTATTTGGCTGTTGGTTGAAATGACATTTATCTTGCAAATCAATCCCAACAACAAATCAAACAAAAACAATAAATAAAGATAAATAAACAACATTTTGCCGACTATAGTTATCAGGAAAAAAGAATTAAAATTATAAAGATATTAAAAGTGAGAAATAAATTAATATGTCGCAAGAAAATAAGGGACAGCAAATAGAATATGTTACTTTAATTAGTGATGACTCCGATAATGATGTTGAGGTTACAAATGTTTCAAAAATTGATAATGGAGGGAATGAAAGATCTTCGAAAGATGAAAACTCCGAGGAAGCTGAAGGTAGACGTGTAAGTCGCAGAAAAAAACCAAGAGTTGATTATGCCAATACAAAACAAGGTGATCCAATCGATACGAAGCCATCAACATCAACTACACCGGCACCCGGTGTTGCAAGTATAAATCCTGACCGGAAATTTGATAATAACGTAAAGAATCGGAAAAGGGAGCATTCCAGGTCACCATCTGATCGTAAGGATCCCGAAGTAAAAGAATTACCTCCAACTAATCCAAACGAGTACAAAGAAATTTTAACTGGTCTTGAAGGAGCTGCTTTTCAGTCAAGATTACCTTTTGATAAGATGACATCGGCTGAGGCCGCTTGTTTCACTGAAATCACAAAAAATGGTTTGATTGCGCAAAGGGTTTTTCTTAATATTCGTAATAGATTACTTCAAATGTGGATTGAAAATCCCAAATTGCAATTAACTGTTGAAAATGCATTAAGAGATATTGAGACTCCTTTTGATAGTGATGATGTTTTATTAAAAAAAATACATGCTTTTCTTGAAAGACATGGTTTCATTAATTTTGGAATATTTAAACGTTTAAAACCACTGCCACTAAAGAAGTTGGGGAAAGTTATTGTTATTGGTGCAGGCATATCAGGACTTTCTGCAGCTCAACAATTGCAACAATTTGGTATGGATGTGATTGTTCTAGAAGCTAGAGATCGAGTCGGTGGACGTATCGCTACTTTTAGAAAAAATAATTACATTGCCGATTTGGGAGCAATGGTAGTGACAGGTATTTTTTAGAAACTTATTTCTTTATTCATGTACAAAGATACTCGTATTCAAATATCTATTGATTTTTAGGTATTTGGGGCAATCCTATGACAATTTTAAGCAAACAAACAGGAATGGAAATGGTTCCAATAAGACCATCTTGTCCTTTGTATGGTGCTGGAGGAAAACCCGTTCCAAAGCATAAAGATGATATGGTATTGAATTTAAGTATTTTATTAGTATGTTCATACAAATTATTTTGATCATTACAGGTCGAAAGAGAATTTAATCGACTTCTTGAATCTGCCAGTTATTTATCTCACCAACTTGATTTTAATTATGCTGGTAATAATCCTGTTTCTCTAGGTCAGGCTCTTGAATGGATAATTAAATTACAAGAGAAACATGTTAAAGAAAAACAAGTTCAGCACTTGAATAATGTGACATCAATTCAAAAAAGCATTATACAGAATAAAGAAAGACATTTAAAATTAATTGACAAATTAAAAGGACTAAGAGCAACATATCAAGATCTAATAAAAACTCGACCAGTAAAGACTCCTGAAAATGAGCAAGTTGTAATTGCTCATGAATTCCAAATAAAATATGTTATATATGAGTATAATAAGGCTTTTAATGAATTTCAAGCTTTGAAAGAGGATGAAAAAATTTTGTCAGCAAAATTAAAAGAAATAGAATCAAACCCGCCAAGGTAACTCAGTTAATTTAAAGCATATTCACATCAACAACTTTTCTTTCTTGGTTTTTAGTGATGTTTATTTGTCGTCCAAGGATAGGCAAATCTTAGATTGGCACTTTGCAAATTTGGAATTTGCTAATGCAACACCTTTAAGTAATTTATCTTTGAAGCATTGGGATCAAGACGATGATTTTGAATTTATAGGGAATCACACTACAGGTTAGTAGTTTTAATATTATATAAATATATTATTAAAATTATATGCTACAAAAAAACACAATGGTTTACCATTTTGAATCTCAAAGTGTATTCATCATCATAATATATTCTTATATATCAAAAATAAAACATTCCAACATAAAAAGTAAAAAATAGTTCCCGTAACAGCCTCGTTATTATTTTTCATATTTGTGATTTCTCTCTTGAAATAAATACCATCTTAACATAAGAACATAAATCATTTGTGTATTAAATAGAAGTACGTAGTGCTATTAATATGTATTTTTTTTAATTAAATAAATTTTAAAACTAAAAACATAAATCGATGTGCTAAAAAAATCATAGTATCCAGCTATATGTTATTACTTCTAATTTGAGTTAAATATTTAACACATTGTTTGTTTTTTTGTTTTAGAATCAGAATTTTTAGCGATTTTTTTTTGTTGTTTTTAAAATTATATTTATATAGAATTGTTGTAAACTTGTATTAATTACATTTCCAAAAACTCATTAATAAATTTATATATCCGTTCTGGATTAACTAAATGTATATGATGTGTTCCGGGTACTTTATGCATTATAACAACTTCAGCACTAGTTTTAATATGATCAATTATTTCATCATATACATCAAATTTCATACCAGGTTCTGCTCTAATATTTAGTACTTTACATTTAATACGTTCAGCATAGCTTAATACTTGCTCCTTTGAAAACATACCTAAACCACTGACTTTAAGTCTGAGATCTCTAGCGAATGCATAACCTTCTCTGTCTAAATGTTGTGGTACAGGATTCATACCACGTTTCATTAAAATTTCAACACCTTGCTTGTCAACTGATCCATCGTATGCATGTAAAACTAATTCTATAACTTCATTATAAGTATAAGATGGTATCTTTGATTCAGGTAATTCTTCATAATCCAAAAATTTATCAATAGAATGACCAGTAATAGCTGCTTGTTTTTTTAAGCAACGTACAGATGGACCGGGTATATCAATACTTATATATTTATCAACTTCATTTGGAAAACATGCTGCATACATAAATGCTAAAGCACCACCTAAAATTTAAATAGAAATGATAACTTAATTAAAACTAGTACTTATAATGCTATTATGTTACAAAATTTGAATAACAAAGAAAAAATTTTTCTCACTACAGAAACTAGGATTCCAAATTACATGAATATGAACGATGTTTATATGTCTTTTGTTTGTGCTAAGCTTTTAATTAATACATATTACGCAGTTTCGTTATAATTTAACCAGAGAAAATTCCAAATTTGATTACAATTTTTCATTCAGAAATAGATATGATTAGTTTCAGTTATGGACTTTACATGATTTAAAGTTTTTCCGTTTGCGGTAATGTTGGTTGCATATTGAATATTAATATATAAAGTTTTATGTTTTTATAAAATTATTTATCTACATTACTCAATTCCTAATCATAAGTAATTATTTGAAATTATAAAATAAATATTTATTTAATCCAGTCGGTTCCTGCAAAATGTGATTATTGATTTTTGTTTGGAAAAGCTGCCTATTATTATCTTTTTTATCTATCGTTATCTTGTACTAATAAATTACTCATCCTAGTGATTTGCAAAAAAATTATATTAAACATAATTTCATATTTTACTTGTAATTTTGAAAAATCTATATTTAATTATTTTATCTAAATGTTTCCTATCAACTTATTAAAGTAAAAACTATTAATATATTATCAATTTAATTTTACCTAATGAATGACCAAGTAATATAACATTTTTCCATTGATGTTTTCTAACAATACGCCGAATTAATGATATACCATCCCAAAATAAATAATAATGCATTCCCTGTGGGTATTTTGATGATTTACCGTGACCGGGTAAATCTATACATAGAACTGGATGTTTTGGTGTTAATAATGGTATCAGGCGATCAAATGTACCAGCATTATCTTGCCAACCATGTATAGCAATTATTGGCTGTTTGTTACGAGGACCCCACCATTTACCGCATACTAAACCCCATGGTACAGATATAGATACTTCTTCCCATGTTTTCATGTCTGAATCAGGATGATTTTGTTCGATTGTGCTATTATTAGTAGATGAAGATTCATTGGATGTAGGTATTGCTCCTTCGTTTTTTAGTATTACATTTCCATTTGATTGTAAATGAAGTTTTCCGTTTAAAGTGTTATTTTCTGTTGTGTTGTTTTCCATTTTCGTTTTTTTTTAATTCTAAATTTAATAGCTTCTCAAAGAATTAAAATAAAACATAAATTTTTGCAGCAATTCGTTGATGTTAACTTTCTTTCCCGACTCAATTATGTAATAATATTAATTTTTTAATATTTCAAAAAAAAAAAAACTTTTTTAAAATTATTTTAAATTTATTTAAAACTGTTGAAGGAATGTAAATACTAAAAACCGAAAATAATACAATAGATCCGTTGTCTACTAAAACATTGTTTTTTTGTAGTTACTTAACATCTGATTTCTTTGAAAAACAAATTATACTGTAAAGAAAAATAAGCTTGATTTGCAAATGCGATGTGAATTATACTTGACACATATTACGATTTACGAAACAATTTCAATTAAAAAACATATGTTTAAGTAGTTCGTGTTTGTGCATTTGTGCACTTGAAAACTTCACAATTTTTCAAAGGTAAAAAAAGCAAAGCAATACTAAATTTTTGATAAACAGCTGTAATTTATAAAAGCTTGTTTATACCATAATGAAAAATCAGTTCACAATAGAAAATAAAAAACGTTTTAAAATCTTTTCTTATTGCCAGAGATAGAAAACTGTTATGCTAAACGTCAAATAGAATACTCGTTTCAATAGTAGTTTTTTTGAACACAGATTTTGTGTGAATTAAAAGTTATTTGTATTAAATTTAAATAAAAGCGTGAAAAATAAAATCTTACAAAATAAATTTTCAAAAGTTTTTAAATACTTATTAGAAAAAAACCAATCTTGGAGGAATAAAAACATTCAAACCACTTTTTTATCTAATTGTGTCTATGAAAACTTTAAAAAAACTTATTTAGATTAGTGATGATAACGTAAAAAAGCTTGTTTTTGTCGTGAAAGCAGTTACAGTTGTCACAGGGTTGTGTATTTTTATTTTTTTGCTTTACTACTTTATTTTTTGAAATAATTTGTTTGGTTATAAAATATTTTTTAAACAGTTGAAAACCCGGCTGAACAAAATTTTCAATACGAATAATTTACAATCTATATATAAACACTTGGATATCCAAAATTTATGCAAGGTTTTACCTAAAACGAAAAAGTTACATATTACCAGGAGTAGATATATAATGTAATTTAAAATGATTTGTATGCAACGTGTTATCATCTGTCTAACGTGATATTTTTCGTAAACAGAAATGAACATATATTTGGTTCGTGTCTTTAATATAGTTTTTTAATGTTTTTTGAATTCTTGAATTTATCGTCAAGAATTTATCTTTCAGATTTAGTGTGCAAGTGAGTTTCTTATACGTACACCTTTGTTAGGTATTCGTAACAAAGTATGAATGCATTTTATCTTAATGAAAATTTCTTCATGCAACTGCAGAACAGATGGATGACGTAATCAAAGGAACGAGTTAAAGGCAGAAAAATTATTCATTAAAAAAATTTTTGGACTCGAACTGGACTCGAACCAGTGACCTCCCGCTTTCTAGGCGGACGCTCTACCAACTGAGCTACAGAGGCATGAAGAAATTGCATACTTTTGTTTACTGCAACATATAACGTAAATGACACAAATTTTATTAATTAAATTAATCTTATTTCCTGCCGAGAAAAGTAGAAACCACTTACTTTAGAGATATATTTTAAGGTTTTAAAATGTAATAAAATTCTATACGTTAGTCCGTATAGAATAAAATTCACGTTTTTTTTTTTTTTTTTTTTATTTATATATATATACTGCAACTAAGCCCAAAGGGTTTATCTAGCAATTTAGTTTTCGTAAAATTATATCACGGTTTGTGGGATTCCATCCATTGATGAGTTGTCCCAATGTAGATAAGTTGTTAAACTTTCATTTAGTTAAAGCGCTAAGTCCAGTGGCTTTGTTCTTTTTAGTCTTCTCATAGTTTCATTGTTCTCATTGATAATCTGGATCATATTAATGTTTTGATGATTTTGAAGTCTATTTCGGTGCTTTGTAGCATTGATTTTAATTTCTTCTTCTACTGTGGTTATTCCAAGGTCTCTATGTAAAGTATCGTTACGGATAAACCATGGTGCATTGGTGATGGTTCTTAAAATTTTGTTTTGGCATCGTTGGATGATATGTGTGTTTGTTTTTTTCGCGCATCCCCACAGTTGAATACCATAGGTTCAAATGGGTTTGATTACTTGTTTATATATCAAAAGTTTATTATGTAGATTGACTTCTGAATTTCTTCCAATTAGCCAGTTTAGTTGTCGTGCTTTTAAGTTTATTTGTTCTTTTTTCTTTTTTATATGTTCTTTCCATTTTAACTTTGCATCTAAATTCATGCCTAGGTATTTAGCGTTGTTGGAAATAGGAATTATTACATTGCTTAAGTGTACGTTTATCGGTTGAAACTCTCGATTAGTAAAAAATACATGCATTGACTTATTTCCATTTAATTTAATTCTCCACTTCTTGGTCCATAGCTCAATTTTGTCTAGGCTTGATTGCAGCTTTTCTACACACTCAGCAGAGGTGATGCCAGTAGCCATGATAGCTGTGTCGTCTGCAAATTATCCCATGGGAGTGGTATCATCTCTTGGAATGTCATTGGTGTATAATAAATATAATATAGGACCTAGGACGCTACCCTGGGGCACTCCTGCCTTTATTTCTTTGAAAGCCGAAAATTCATTATTTTGCTTCACTCTGAAATGTCTTTCTGTTAAATAGGAGGCTAGGATTTCATAATACGGCTTCGGTATTAATTCACGTAAAAATTCACGTAAACAATTTATTGTTTTCTAGGTCTAAATAATTGTTTTCTGCTGTCTAAAAAAGGTCTAAATATCGAAAATTAGCATTAAATTTTATTTTTTATTAAAAATATTCATATATCTACGTGTATATTATATATATAATAATTGTGAATATATGGGCGACATAGGGTCTCTGTTGTAGTAAATTCCTCTAAAATTGTACTGTGAAATTGACGAGTTTGATGTAAATGATTTTGCATCTTAAACGCTACTAATTTAATTAAACTAACTAATTTAATTCAATTTGATTTTTACATTATTATGAATGGTGTTAGATCTTGTTATAATATATATAAATTATTTATACTAGCAGCTTATGTATGTATGTATGTACATATATAAAAGTAATATACTGCTCTATTCCTATCTATATTTGATTATTTCAAATATTTTAAATTAGATGCAAAGTATTATACGAGTATAATTTGAAGTCTTTCATTTATGTACTTTAAATTTCGAAAGGGATCGCAAGGTTTTTTTTTATAATGTTAAAAAAAAATTAACCCTTACATTTTCAAATTAAACAATAATTTATCATTACATTTCTTTAATTATTTTTCAAGAAAAACACATGTTGCATCAGAGAAAAATTTTTTATAATGGTATCCTATAAAAGCAAAATATTTCCAATGAAATTTTAGATTACAACAGAATTAGAAAGAGCATTCGTTTTTTTTCATAAATATTTTAAACTATAAAAATGAATTTTAAACGCTCCTTTCTATAATTTTGACATACGAGTATTCAATGTTTTTTTTTCTAAAAAATGTTTCAAACGCCACCTTAACTATTAATAAGCAATTAAAAACCTTGCAGATGTAGTTATTAAAAAATATTCATTTCATCAAACCCCTATTTTTCATGTTTTCATCTTTTATATTTTTATTTTCGATTTAATCCTTTTACAAAATCCTTTTATTTAATTTGATATTTGGGTTTTAGAACAGACGAATTCATTTTGGATTTTTTTGCTCTTACTTTTATTCTAAATATAAGCCATTTGGTTTTGTTTTTGATCTTGAATTTTTTTTATAAATTTTGAGGCAGTAAAATTACTTTTTTTTTGTTTTCGTACATGATACTTATGAAAAAATCAGCGTACTTAAACCTTTAAGGAAACATTTAAGTGTAGGTTCTTCAAAAATTGCAATTCATTAGTTAAAAAAAATTATTTTTAATTTTTGTTTTTTCAATGATCATTGAAAAAAATTAATTTTTTTTTGTATTTTTTTCTTTTAATATTTTATATCTTTAGATTTTTGAGTATTTTTTAATTGACACAACGTTTAGAATTCATTCTGATAAATTTATTATTAGCATCTTTCTTAATACGATTTCAAAGGTCTGCAATTAGAATTTGCATTAATTTTAAATCTATTTAAGATAATAAAATGTTTTAAATTCGTATATGCGTACATATGTGTGTATGTGTGTATGGAAAGTCAAATAAGTTTTAGAACATTTTAGACACCTGTAGATCAGTTTGTATAATATTGAAATTAGTATGTGTACTCTAGCTTTATTATATGTGGTCCTAGCTTTATTAGTAAAATATTTTTTTTGCAATTTGAATCTTAAAAATTTATATTGCTAGTTGAATATATTTCATTTCTGTCAAAAATGGCATTTAAAAAAATGAGATTATAGAAAAATGTATTTCGATCGGGTCAGGCTACACATCAAACAATGTGAATTTGCATAATATGAAAAGTTGGCTTTACAATTTCGATATTGTTCTACGTTAAAAACGGAAATCAACCGCCGTTGTCGTTCATCGCCTTGGTTCTGTTTAAACAATTAAAATTATATTGTTTAAACAAAAATGATTTAAATCGTTTTCGATCTTATAATATTAAGGTCGATTATATTAGGGCCTTGTAATTGTAGTTGATTTAGTGAGTTGCATACAAATTTTCAGATTTCGTTATTTAATTTTTTCTCTTTCAATTTAAAATTAATACGATCTTTATTTGGTCCTTTTTTTTTACTATTTTGTATTTCGAATTGTTTAAATTCTTTTCCTTATTTTTTTTGTGATATTAAGAAAAGAAAAAAAAGGTAATAAAAAAAAAATCATTTTTTTTTTCGCTTGTTGATGTCTGAAATTGATCCGCAGAATTTTGTCAAAAGAAAAAAAGGAAGAAAATGAAAGACGGTAACTAAAGCTGATATTCTTAGAAATTGAGAGCGTTTAATAAAAAATGTATATAAGTGTATAATAATAAGGAATGATGATTTTTTTTTTGTTGATATGGGGTTGATTTCATTCCAGTTGATGAAGTTAAAGCGGAATCCTTTTTTATTTTACGATGAGAACGTTTTGTTTTTTCTTCTTTTTTTTGAGTTTCATGGTTGTTAATGAATAAAAAAGGACAAGACAAGCCTTTTTTTTCCTTTTTATTTCTATTTTAAGTATTTATTATTATTGTTATTACTATTTTTGTATTTATATAATTCCGTTTTTAAATTAAATTAAGAATTTTTTCTTTACTGTTTTTCACCTTATGGCTGAAATTTTTTTTTGTTAGATGGTTTTTATTAGATTGTTACATTATGATAACATATGCTTTTTAATAAAAATATA